AGTGTAACTCAATATCTATTGAATGTATATAATGTGATAGATCTAGCTACTCTTTGAAAGTAAGATTTCAAAATCTAATTAAGCTAAAACTATATTAAATAGAGCCTTGAAAATAATATATGGATTTTGCTCTAATTTTGTAAACATATTATAATAAATTATAAAGGTTACAACTTCAAAATTATTAGAAATCACATTTCCTAATAGTAAAATCTTATAGCTTGAAAATGCAATTTCCTATCTCTGTAACACTGCTATCTTACCACAAGTTCACATACCATTGTTTTAGATATTTAATTACTTATCTTCCTACTATCCAGCCACATAATTTTCAAAATATGATGAAAGCATTTTCACATATATAGAACGCCTAATAATTATTCTAAGAGTATGCTACTTAAACTCAGTAATTTAAAATTGTAGAATGATTAATATTCAGCAACAAATTAGATTTTGATTATATTAGTCTTGTCAAAGATTTCCAAACAAATACTCTATTAAATAATTCTACTATTAACTTCCTTAAATCAACTGTTTATGAACGTCCTTTCTCTTATCCTCTAATCATCCCTGCAATCCAATTTTTTAAAAGTGTATCCCATTAGGGAAGATTATGATTTTATATAACAATTATTTCTTTATGATGGTTTTTAGTCTTGAAAATTCTTATATTAATTTATTGTAAGAAAAAAATGATGATGGATAAACTTATAAAACTATACTGAATATTTTTGACCCCAGGTACACTAACCTAAGATTTAATTGCTTTTTACCAATCCCTTCTCTCATCTTTCTCTCATTATTCCATTAAACCCATACTTAATTCTAATAACAATTTATAATTGAACTTATATATGCAAAATTTTTAGACCTGCCCTCAAGATAATGTTTGGTATTATTATAGGCTATTTTTCTTATTAAATACGTATTCAACCTTAATGGATTCTTAAATAAACTTATGACCAATATCATTTTTATGGAGATTATAAATTTTTAAATATTAATTGCTGAGATTTATAAAATAGCATTCACTTTAATCCTAGGATACGATTTCAAATGTTATAGACTGATAGATTACAATATTTCTTAAGCAATTATTAACATCAAAAGGTAATTTCAAATTAATTCTCTTTGGATTTTAGAAAAGTAAAGCTTAAATATTATTTGAGTAAGCCTTATTGAGTAAAATAAATAAGAATGAATTTAAAGATTTTAAATAAGGTTAATGAAGGAGAAAATTCAGTCAAGAACATAATCGATTGAGGAGTTATGGCAAAATTATAACCAAAGAAAAAAAATATTGATTATTGTTACAATTCATTATCCTCTGTTATTCTTATAAAAATTAATCTAAAATAAATCACTAATAGATCTGCCACCATTAGTTTGATTTTTCAAGAAATTATTCCATATGAGAAATTTACAAAATCTAAAGTTTAAACAATTTTTAACTTTTTAATAATATTTGACTCATTTTCATTTATTTGGTTTAATATTATATGTTTATATCAAAATATTAGAAGGCTAAAGGGTTTAGGTTAAAATACTATTCTAAATATATTCTTTCCATGGACATTATTTATATATATCCATAATTCAAATTGTTTTTATATATTTAGTTTTTAAGAATTCCAATTTCTCCTTAAATTTTAATCATTTTGATAAATGCTTAAAAAAAATGCTAAACATAAGGGAATTAAATTCATTGAAGTCACATATGAAATGTTAAAAGTAAAATTATAATATATTTGCCTAGCAAAATAAGAACAGGGATATTATAAGATGGGATGAGGATGGAGTGAAAATTCAAATTCTTGATAGAGAACTATTATAAGAATTGGTTCTGCCTCAACATTTTAAACATGCCAATTATGCAAGCTTCTTGAGGTTAGAGAATAACTTTATATATGATTAGATAACTAAATCTGTATGGATTTATAAGTAGTAAAGATGAATAAGGAGCTATCACATATTATCATCCAAGTTTTGCGAAATAACAAGTTCTTATGAGAAACATATTTAAAAAAAAGAATAAAAAAGAAAAATAAAATGATTTTAACTGTTGTAGTTTTGAAGAAAATGAGTTGCCGAATTAAATGAAAGCCCTTTAATGTGAATAAGTAAAGATTCAACAAAAACTCTTTTCCTCAATTTAATATTAAATTAAAATTAAAAATAGCATGAAATTGTTTCTTTAAGTAATTTTATTTAATTATTGTAAGACTCAGCATTCTTTAGCATAAGAAGGTGAAAATCTATGTAAATAATTTATTGAAAATCTCATCTATCTAGTAAAAGGAATGAAATAAGAGTCAAGTAAGTATCAATAATAGATTATTTAGAAATTGGCTTCGATCTAATATTATAATAATAGTTCCCACAATCTATTCAAGAGGATCCCTAATCAACTTAAGTTATAAGTGAGATAGCAGATTAAAGTAATCAATATTTATTTTCCCCTACACCTCTTGGAAGAATGGAATTTGATTAAGAACAAATTACTTCTTATCAAAATTCATTACAATTGATGGGATAGTTTTCAGAATTTGGATTTGAGCTTTGATTTTTTTTTAATAATGTATCCATAAGGTTTTCCTTATATATTACTCACCTCTATTGCAATTAAATATTATAATAATAATCTTTATGATAAATCATTGTCATTAGCTAGGCTATTGATTAAATATTATTATTTAATTTTGCCAATTTCTTAAAAAACTAGAAATTTAAAATTTCTCCTATTTATGTAAATAGTAGACGCGGAAATAAAATTCAATTTGTCCAAGAACAAATAATAATATTTTATCAAATTAACTGTATTAAATACCATCAATTTATCTCAAAGTATATACTTTTGATTTGCATTTATTTTCAAATACCAAAATCAATTTACATGAAATATCACGGTGGGAAATAAATTCTTAGTTCAACATCAATAAACATAGTATTAAGTCAGTATTTCTGAGTACTATCACTCAAAATGATTAGAAAATTGTTACTACTATAAAGGGATTCAAGATCAATGAAAGTATTTGGGAGAAAACTTAACTTGATTAAGTGATATACAAATTGATTAATATATTATAATTACATCCAAGAATAAAATATCAAAAGAATTCATAAACTCCGCTATTTCTTAATGTTAATTCTGGATCAGTTTGTAAGAAATCCTTAAACTTCAAGATATTTTGTAGATCTTGTATTTCAGTTTCATCTAATTATTATCCTTATTTAATCTAAAATAGTTGTAATTATTACTTGATTTAATGCCTTTGATAGTTTGGCTTAAGTCTATTAGGCAAAATTAGCTAATTTATTATAATTAGATGCAAGGTTTTCATGTATTAAGACTACTTCTTTCATTTTGGCCTAGAGATCAGTTTATTTTTATTATTTTTGTTTTTGCTATTGTTATTGTTGCACAGGTTAAACAGTTGATTTTTAAGGCACTTCTTCATCTTTTTGTTATGAAGGTGAAAATGTGGCTAATTACCTTTATTATGGTTATTGTTACAGCCTTTAAGATTATAACTCATAACAATAAATTAGTAGGTCAAATGGTCTTACACTAAGTATAATTGAGAATAGCAAATTACTTATTTTTAAGAATTTTATCTTTGGATTTTTCGTCAGCTTCTTCTCTAATTCTATTTCCAACAAGACTGATGGCAGAATTATCCATTTATTTAGAGACAACAGAAACCCATTAATCTAAAATAATTAAAGAATATACCAAAGTTCATTGGTTTTACTTTGGTTTCTCTTTCATTAATAAAGTTGGCATAGATGTATTTTCTTAACTTGAGGTAAAACGAGAATTGATCAGAACTTGCTTTGACTAATTCAGTAGGACTCAACATAATTGTAAAATAGCAGATTTCTTGATTTCCCTTCAGTAACAACTAAAATGAATTGACAAATGAAGTCATGAATTTCTTAACATTTTTTTGTTAGAATTCCTGAGATGAGATAAATGTAATACTGCATATTTGGAGAGAGCAATAATGAAACTATCTTCGCTATACTGACCCTTAACTTGAATCATTAATTGAAGAGTGGCCAATACATGTTCAATAAGAGTTGGAGCAATGAATTTGTATTTTTCCTATTTTGGATGAAGATGTTACATCGAATTGCATTGATAGTTATAATGTTTCAATAGTTTGTTTCCAATAGTCAAGAGTTTCAGCCTTATAATCGAAAATATTTTGAGACTTGTCACCTTTACTCATATTAACAAAAATAAATTTTCATTATTATTCATTATTCTTTTAGGCATTTAATTCTTCCATCAAGGGTCCATTTTCATCGAAGAATTTAGCAAAGATCTCTACTTCTCCAATCAATTTTTCATTATCAAGCATCAATAGATCCTTAAATAGATCACAATAATTACTTTTTCTTTCTGTAATTATTCTGAACAAGCCTTAAAGATTTATATAACTTCATTCATTTTAGATATTTGTTATTGTTCTATGTCTGTAGCCTTTTTAACTCTATCTAACAAAGTATCAACTTTTAAAGTTTTTTCATCCAATTTCTTTTATTCTTCTTCCGCTAATTTAATTTCTGTTTTCAAACTCTTTTCTAAATTCTCCAATTCACTCTACATATTATCTACATCAATTTCCCCATTTTCTTGACTGACTTCATTCATGAATTATTAAGCCTATTGCACTACATATACTATTAACTATACATCTATTCTCTAAGGCTGAAATTTGTAATTCATATTTCTTCTTGGCTGATATCATTCTATCCTAATAGTGTTTAGTCAAATGAGATTCTTTTTCCTTCAATTCATGTAATTGTTTTTTCTTTTGCTTTATAACTTCTATTAGATTCTCGTCTTAAGGTTAATTTGCTGATTGAGATTAGAATGAAATAGTTGTTCTGCAATGAGTATCCTTCTTATCTTAATGAAGATTTTCATCACAGTTGAAACAAGTATTGATGTCACATTCTTTGCATCGTACAATTGCAATAAATTTGAAACAGGATTAGCATTTAAGATTATTCATATAAATTTAATAATTATTTTGTTCAAATTTAATAATGTAAGTCATATAAGAAATGATTGAGGAATTTAATACTTTAAGATAATAAGTCTATGAAGCAGAATTTAGGATTTAATAGTTCATAGATGATGAATAAATGTGTATTAAGCAATAGAAAAATTAAATGGATGAACAATAATCTCAAATTTAGAAATAAAATGCCAAAATTCAAAATGATTAATTAAACAAAATTACATTGGCTTTGACTAATTCATTGACAAGAGTGATCAAGGATCTTTATTATGATGAAGATAAGGATTTGATTATTATTAAATTATAAGAACATGGAATTGTAATTGAATTAGAGATGAAGTAAAATGAATTGAAAAGAATCAAACTTCAATAAGTAGGCAGAAGGGATTATACATTGATAGATTCAGAACATTTAAATATTGAAGAAATGCATCTAAAATTCTTAGAAAGACCTGATTAACCATTTAGTTCAATTATCATCCCTTACCTTGAGGATTTGAAATTAATTTGATTATAAAAATTATTTGAAATCTAACATTAGAATCTAGTATAATAAAATTTTGAAATAAATATGATTACCAATTCAAATTAATAAAGGAGATATTCAAAATACTTTAGTTCATTTTTAATTTTGAATCTACGATTAGAAATACTAATATTTAGTAAACTACTAGTAATTCTAAGTAATATTCCAAAAAAGGTAGGATTTAAATTCTTAGAAATATAATTAATGTGAAGTCAACCATACTTGCAACGAGTTTATATTTATTAATTTTAATTAAATTAAATGCAGACACAGCCAGATCAAGAACGTCTTAATACATAAGCAAATTAACCATAAGAACCTATCTAAAATAAGACCCCTTTTTTCGATCTAGAATCTTCAGGTGATTCTTTGGAAGATGGCAGAGTGACTAATCTATATTTTCAACGGTATTTGATTTAGTTAAAGTCAATTCAGTTTTAGGATGTTGGATTTGAGCTTTTTTGTTTTTAATTTAATTGGGACTGGATTAACGGTGATTACTTTAGAATTAATTCATTATGATTAATAACAGGAAGCAAGATTAGTGATTTTGTGGGTGATTTTTATATCAAATTTAATATTAATGGGACTGGCCTTAGTTAGAAATCAAGCAAAGCTCAAATGGAGAGAGAGTAAAGGAGATGTGTATAGTGGATTTACAAAGGAGCATGTAGAGTTGTTGATGGAAATAATCATTATTGCCGCATCTCCCTTACCTTTTTTAGATAGTATTAGTTTCTACTTTACTAATAATTTTGTTGAAGGAGATGTAAACCATACTTAAATATTATAGGTATATTATTATGCAAATGAATTACTTTGTTTGACTCTAGCGTTTCGAGTAATATTCTTTATTCGAACAACCTTATTGAATTCATATTGGCATTCTAATAGAACTGACCGAGTATGCAGTTTATATGCCAGTTAAGCTGATTATATGTTCACCATAAAATCTCTAATGAGGTAATTAGAAATCAATGAATAGAAATTAGCCATTCACAGTGAATTATAGTGCTATGATTCTTCTAATATTTGTATTTGGTTATTGTTTAAGAATATGTGAGAGTCCTTTAAATAGAATCGATGTTAGCAGCAATGATTTTAGTAGTTATGCTAATTCCATGTGGTGTGTGATAGTTACAAGCACTACTGTATTTTCTATATTAAATTTTAGTTGGGATATGGTGATTATTATACCAGAACATTATTAGGACGTTTAGTAATGAGTGTAGTTTGTATATTGGGAAACTTTGTTGTGTCCTCCATGATTGTGATCATCACAAATGAATCATATTTAACTACATTGGAAAACAAGGTTGTCATTTTAATTGATCGTTTGAGTTTAAAAAAATAAATGCAATAGGAGGCAGCAATGATTATAACCATATTTGGTCGTATGCATTATGCAAAAAGGTATTTATCACTCATTTTCTAGACATCTTGATTTGACTGAAGATGAATTTACGGATATGAGTAAAAAGATGAAAAAATATGCTATTCAATTAAAATTAACCACTCGTAAATATGTTGCAGCAAGAGCTTTGGGAAGTTAATTGGAAGAAATCAATAGTGGATTTAATTCGCTTAAAGAAAATCTCAAATAAACATCTTAGTTGTAGGAAGAATTAATAAAAGCAAATGAAAATCTTATCTATAAGATAGATAATAAATGAATAAATATACTTTTATTATAAATAAATGAAAAAATTCTTTTCAAAATTATTATGTCAATGCAATAGCGATGACCACCATCCAAATGATCATGATAAATAATAGATTTCAGACACCAATGGGAGTTCAGTTATTGTTTAAAATCATTATATATAAACCTCTAATCTCTCAAGAAATTCAAGCTTATAGGTATTACTTGCTTAAATTTCTCATGATAATTTTGAATTTCAAACCAACTTCTAACAAAAACTATTATACATTTGCAAGAAAACTCAGAAATAATTCACTTATCCAGAGGATGACTATAAAGTTAACCATAAGAACATTTTTGATTTATATTATTAGAAGACGATCAAATATGATCTAAATTTTAGATATATAGCACCTCTTTAGCTTTGTAAATATATAGCTAAAAGATGTATTGAAACTGATTATATGCTCGAAATTAACTCATAATTTAATCAGCATTCAATATAAGTAGACTGTTTTACTATCTTTTTAGTTTGCCATCGCCGGAATATTTGTTACTTCTATTGAAGCAAACACTAAAAATGCGACTTTGGGTTACCAGAATGTTGTTTAATATGATTTATAAAATAAAATTGAGATCATAAATGGAGAATTCACATAATTAGGAGGAACATTTGAGTCAAATGATGGTATCTTTATAAATCTATGCAACTATGAGAAAGTTAAATAGGGGGATCATTTTACAAAAACTATTTAGAAGTGTTTCGCTAGTAATCCTAATATTATTATTATCACAAATCAAAAAAAGACAAATTTTTTTATATAATGCAATAAATGACTTTGTTTATTTTGAAAGGCAAAAGATCATAATAAATGATGTGCACATTTTCACTATTTATTATTTTGGAAAATATTGCAATATTCAATAATAAGAATTAATTGAAGAAATCTAGAAGATATTTCCTTATAATACTAATTAATAGTATGATTTCAGTGCATCAATGAGAAATATTTTGATTGAATTGTTTTAAACTGTTAATTGTTCGAAAATACTCTCTGTACTTTTAATAACCTTAAATTAAATTAATGATAAATCAGAAATATTTAATGTCTTTCTAAAGGAACTTGAAAAATAAAAGATTTTTTCTTAAGAGAGATTAAAGCAAGTAATAATATAATCTACTTAGATTTATATTTAGGGAGCTACTTCACCCAGTACAATTAAATATCACAATCATCCAAGTTCAGTGAATAGAATTATTCAAGGTAAATAAATATAGCATCTATTAATAGAAGCTTCGTAATCATAGTCTTAAAGTTAAGCATCGTTTAATATTTTGCTACCTTCTTAGTTAAGAAATTCAGGATATAGTTCATACGAATAGCAAGCCTAATCAGCAAAATTTTAGGATGAATGATATACTTATATAAATTTAAATCATAATTTTTAAATCTTCCACATATTGATCACTGTATTTTTATAAGTATGTTAATTTAATAGTTATATTTTTACTTTTTCTTGAAAGGTGCATTTAATATGGATGACATATTCATTTTAACTAATTGATATCTTAGTGTATAATTAATAACATTAAGAAAAAGATTTTTAACTAAACATATCTTTAGGCTTATTTTGAAAATTATTTTCTCTCTTAAGTTTAATTAACTCATCAGCTCAGCTACTTTAATTCTGGTAAAATAAATTTCTATAGAATGTAGTTCATTCCTATATACCCCTTCACCTTCTTTAATGATGTAATCTTTTATCAAGTTCAATAAGATTCTTCTCACATGTCTTAAAGTTTAATTTATCATAAAATTGTCTCCAATTCTTAATCTTATTCTTTGTTCTTATGTTTTTCTAAAACTAATATTTTGTAAATATTTTTCAACTTTTAAATATTAATAAAAGAAGTTAAAAGAATCTTTTTAAATTTTTGACTTAAAATTAGTCACTTAACACCTGACACTGGTTAATTCTAATCCTTCATACTTTACAAACTTATAATAACTTTTAACATCTTCTTTGGTGTTTCCAAACTATGTAATAATATTATATGTTAGATTAATAAATATCTGTTTAGATATAATTATGATTTTGATATTATTATATTATGATTTTTCTAAACATTAAATTTGTTTTCATACTAATGATGAGATTTAGGTTTGAAATGATCTGTTCCTTTTTTAAAATATATAAATAATAAATCTATTCACTGTATCAGACCATAAAATATTTTAATTGGATAAGACAAGCAAGCATAATTACGGAATTTTTAACGCTGTTTTTTCTAAGTATATCTCAAATTCTAATAAGCAATATGAGCAAATACCAAATGAATATTTGGGAACAATCAAAGAAGAAATTGAAATGAACGCTTTTGAACATGTAAGAGCTCCAGAATAAAAGATTTCTCTCAAAGATTGCCAATCACTAACAAAGTGGATATATATGATATTTAAAGTCCGATATGATTAAATTCCTAATTGGGAAGGAAAGTATAAGTTTATTTATATAATTTTTAATGGGGTGTACATAGTTTGAAATTAAAAAGTTTAATCAAATAATTACTCGTCAATAATCCAGAAGGATAGAATATCAGCTGAATAAATAGAAAATATATTAATTTCTTATTATTATGTAATATAAGTAAGGCTTAATATAATACTTTTATAGTGGAGTGTAATAATAGATCCATCTAAGAAGCTAATCAAATAATGAGATATTGAATAGAGAGACAATTAATTAAAATAAAGAAACAGATACAAGTCATTCATTTGAATTTAAAGACTTTTAATAGCCATAATCTTCAACAAGATTAGTAAAGTTAGTCAGTAAAGTGGCTTAAAAAAGACCGATTTTTGGGTGGCTGTGTGTTTAGAAGAAGTTGACGCAGCTCCTTGTTAACAATATTTCAGATATCTTCATTGTAAAGCATGGTAGAAGAAAGAAAAAATTCCTAAATTTTATGAGAAATTATCAAATCGAATCTAGCTAAATCTGTGATAATAGCATTTAAAGCGTTGCAATTAATACATAACTATGTAAAAAAAGGTCCATAAGAAACTATTATCCTTTAACATTAAACATTTTCTCCAAATGCTATTTTGGAAATTTATCAAAAATTTTTAGGAATAAAAATAAATGAAAAGCTCTAAAGATAAAACTAGAACTTAATTTTTTTACAAATTTATTGTATTCTTATTCAAATATTTTATTGGAGAAAGTGAATTTTCATAAATTCTATCTAAGGTCTTTGAAGGTAATTATGCTATGATTCCATTCTTCAATAATAAGAATGGAATGTAAAAGCAAAGACTAAGCGTAGTAAGATTAAGCAACATGATGAACTTATGGAAAAATTATTAAACTTCACTACCAACATATAATTTTAGGAATAGCATTTAATTAATTTATAATTAGGTCTTGCAATTGCTATGGCAGATGAATTATACAATATTCTCTGTATTTACTCATATCTTTTATGCCTTGAAGTAAAGTACTAATTATATCAATGGAGAATCTACTTACAGTAGTGTAGTCAAATAAGCTTTTCATGCATTGCAAGTTGATTATTGAATAAACTTTTAACAGACTATCGTGACTCTAAAAAAAGTGCCCTTATTTTAAGCCACAAGAGGGGAATATAATATATATGATTTCTTAAGCAATTAAGTAGTAAAATATGAAGAAGTAGTTGAATTAGAACCTTCAAATTATAAGTCAAAATCATATCCTATAAAAGCAGTAGCCTCTCTCTAAAAAATTTAGATGATACAATAATAAATAATAGTCTTGGAAGGATTAAATGATTGACAATTAAAAAGAATCTATAAATGTTAAAAATACAGAGTTAAAGAAAAATCAATCTAATAAATAATCACAAAGAGAATAAGAAGGATTGAATTTATCTGATGATAATCATCATCATATCATGAACGATTAATAAAATGAAGATGATGATTCTGAACAATTACTCAACAAACCAATTGAATTTTAACAAACAAAAATACTAGCTCCATTATCTAATTAAAATGTTTAATTACCAAAGTATTGTTAAATGATGAGGGGTTTTTAAATTTGAGAACTAAGCAAAATAATCAAATTAAATAAAATGTGTAAAATCTAAGAATTTAATCAGCCAATTCTAAACTAAATTTAGAAATCTTTGGTCTTTGATAAAATTGATCAACCCTAATCGAACGGCTTTTAAATTGTTGATTATTTTCATAAATAATGCAAAAGTAAAGAGATTTATTTATTAATTCTTAGATGTCTCGGAGTGGATGTTTAACCATGATTAATTGAAGTTAGAACTCTAAAAGGAACAGGAAGTAGTTGTACTGTAAATAAAGGATATTGGAAAGGCGGAGAAGTTGCTTTAAAAAAGATGAAGATTAAATGATTAAATGAGGATCATTTAAAAGAGTTTAGAGGAGAAATTTGAGCTTTAGTGACTATATAATGACATTCAAATTTTGTATAGATTTTGGGAATCTCATAAAAAGAAGATGAATTATATAATGTAGCAGAATATTGTGCTAGAGGAACACTCTTTGACTTGTTGTGTAAAACAAACACTTAGCAATAAATTGGTAACTAAGGGTAAAAATGGCAATTCAATTAGCTGATGGAATGCTTCATTTACACAAATTGAATCCTCCATTAATACATAGAGACCTTAAGATATTAAAGTATATAAATTTTATATTGAGTAGTAAATTACTTGAATAGACCTACGATTCAAATAGAATAAATATTAAGATTGCAGACTTTGGTTTGGCTAGAGCGCAAGCAGATAATGGTGAATAAATGACAGGTGTTTTGGGAACTTTTTTATATTATATATATAACAATAGAATTGGATGCTCCAGAAGTGTTTTAAAATCTTCCATATACAATAAAAGCTGGTGTCTATTCATAGGCAGTAAAAAATTCAGTTCTTATGAAATTTAGATAGTTTTATAGGAAATATGTTGAGAGAAACTCCATATAAATAAATAATTTTCCACTAATCCATCTGCTATCATGAAATTAGTAACAGTAGATAACGGAAGGTCTGATCTTAGTTTAATATAAACTGGGGGGTCCTCCATTTTTGAAAGAGTTGATGATTAAATGTTGGGATAAAGATCCTACAAAAAGACCAACTTTTTTAGAAGCTTTATATAGTACCTAAAGGGATTTTAATAATTTGTCAATTTGTTGGTATGTAAAAGATATAACTTTTTAATTCTGTGAATATCAATAATGATTACGATTTATATATCACTAGTAAAATTTTATTTAATTGATTAATTTATATGCAAATTATTAAGCTCTTCAATAAATCTTATGATGTACCAACTGGAATAATTAGTTCCAGATTCCTTACTAAAAATGGAAGGAAAATTACTCTAATCCTATCTGATTCAAAACTTTATCGAACTGTAAAATTTTACAAAATTATTTAAAGTCTGACAAAGGTGTAAAAATGGTTTCTTTAAGCAGCCATCTGCGTTTTTAAATTAAATCAAACAAATAACAGAATTCCCTATTGTTAGAGACTGACTTATTATCTAAACCGATAGAATATTAATTTATTGAATAACCAGGGATGTGGGAAATCTTTCTAAAATAGAAATTACCACTGATGGATTACCAAAAATATTATGAAATTGAAAAATTAATTGGTAGTGGTAGTTTTGCCAGCGTTTATATTGGAAAATCAAAGGCTGACGGTACTAAAGTAGCAATTAAAGCATTTCTTAAAAAAATGCTCATGTTACAAGATCCAACATAATGGAGAGTAATAATATAATTTATAGTAGGAATAAATTGACAATGAAGTAAAAGTAATGAAATATATGAATCATCAAAATATATTAAAATTGTATGATGTTTTTGAAAAAAAAGCTCAAATTTACTTAATCACTGAATTATGTAGAGGTGGCAACTTAGATTAAGCAATAAAAAAGTTAGAAGAACCATTGCCATTTCTAACTGTGAAAGTAATTTTTCGATAAATTGTAGAAGGAATCAAATATATGCATGATATAGGTATAAAAATAATAGAATGAAAGGTTTGATGCATAGAGACATAAAACCAGGGAATATTCTTTTTAGAAAACCAGTCTCCCTTAAGTAATTTGGTTTATCAGCCTAAGACAGTCCATTAATAAGCGATTTTGGAGTTTCTTCCACAATTTAAAAATAACTTAATGTTTATTAATTTTGTGGATCCTATGGTTATATGGCACCAGAGATCTTTATATGTGAGGAAGACAAATCTAAATCATATAATGAGAAATGCGACGTATTTAGTTTAGGATGCTTACTTTATGAATTGTATTAAATTTAATCTATTTAGAACTACTACAAAACCACTCTTTTCAGGAAACAATTTAAAGTAATTAAATAAAGAATGTAACATAAACATGAATAAATTGCTAGATGATTGTTTCGGAAATAGATAATGTAAGCCTCTTTTATTATTTTAGTATTAAATCTACTTATGAAAATGTTGAATCCAAAACCTGACCAAAGGATTTCGTGTTCGGAAGTGTTAAATCATCCTGTTATGCAAGTTGAATATGATGAATATGGATGTCCATTATTTAAGGATTATAAAAAACCTGTTGCTTTATCCATATAAAAACCAAGAGCATCTTTAAAATCCAAAAGTAATGCTATCCTGCCATAAACATCAAGGAGAAATGAAACACAGTCATTTAAGCGATTATCCCAAGTACTACCACCAATTAAAAGATTAAGCACGGAAGTGCATAATTGATGATGGAATATTTTATATATACTTCATTATCAGTATAAGTTCTCATTTTCCTTCCATGTTTTAATTATTTCATAATGAGATTTTCATATTTTATCATTTACATATTTAATATTAATAAGTATTAAATTTCATTTGTATTACTATTACTTCTGTATCCTTTAAGATCTTATATCATTAAGAAAGGCATCCATTTACTATTATTAGTTTGTCCCTGTTTTTGGGTATGATATAGTTTGCTATTATTAATATATTGGTTGTTCATAAAACTAGTGTTATTAAGCTCCATAATTTTGGAACTGTGGATTGTTGTTTGGAATTCCAACCTAGTTTCCAAAAGGTAGACCAATTTATTAAGCATTATTTGTTACAGGTTAACCTAGAAAGGGGGAAAATGGCACTTATTGAGTTGGAATCTAAGCAGGGTTTCTTTGTTGCGTAATATATTGCTATTTATTTAAACCTCTAAAGGGATCCTATTAGGCAACAGGACTTAATCGATTGTCAAATTGCTCTTATGGTCTCTTAAAAGGATCTTAAATTTCACCTCTTGATTGTAGTCTTTAAGGTATTTAAGGTTGTTAAATTGCCTATTAAGGAAATATTTAGTATTAATCTTAGTAATCTAATTTATTTGCTGAACTTGAGCGAACAATCGGAGGTTTTTAATATTAAGGTTATTGCTTGAATAGTTATTCTTGTTTTGGCATTTGTTATCTCTATAACTCAGGCGGAAAGTTGTTATTTGCAAATTATTCAAATTAATCATAATATCTAATTTCGAATTTTAGAATACCTTTATTCGTAAGTTCTCATTACTGCCATAAAGTCTTCTTTTCTATCATATTTTCGAAGTTCATCAACAAAATCATCTACTCTTAACGGGTGAGTCATATAAAAATTAATTATATTATTAAAAGAAATTTAAATAATTTTACTTATACATAATTAGGGAATTTAATTCTTGAAACAAAAAATGTATTCCCAGGGAAGGAATCTGTTATATGAAAGATGATTTAGAAAATTAATAAATTAACTTGAGTTCAATAAAAATTTTAAAAAGTAAAAAATATCATTTAGATCAAATCTTCATGATTGCTTTATCAAATTATTAAATTCAACTTTCAAGTGCTTTTGATTATTTTATTCTTTAAGAATAGGCTTTATTCTATTACTCTAATTCCATCTTTTCAAATAAGTACCTATTTGATCTTGTTATATGTGGAAAGTTTCCAAACAAGTTTTCCGAAACAATAAGATTGGATAGTATTGACTATCTTAACATAATACTATTGTTATGTTTTCATCTAAATTTAATTATTCTTTAAAACTTGCTCACATAGATTTTTTTAATAATAAACAATTTTCCTTACAAAATCTTAATCAATCGAAGGGATTTAATCTTTAATTAAGAAAGCTGATTAATCAGAATCTTTGAATTTTTGCTTTATAATTGACCAAGTTATACTTAAAATTCTAATGGTAATTCACCAGCTCCATAAACCCGATAATAAATATCATATTTAGTAGGTTTACAGAATTTATAATTTAAAAAGAAGTTCTCATCAATTAAAAATTAATAATGTGATTGAGGGAAATCTTGCTTAGGTTTGAACAAAAAATGAAATATTTTAGAATCAAGTCCTGTAATCCTCAATAGGTTTAATGATAATTTTTCTGATTGCTATACAATTACACACCTACATCTAGATATTAGATAATTAATCTATTATTAAGGATCATTTTGGAATTTATTGTGTACATTAATTAATTAGAGTTTACAGATTTGATCCATTTTTAATTTTAGCAATTTTATGTGTACTAAAATGAATTAAAAATATACCATTTTAAAAGGAGTTACAAATGATTTCTATATTCTTCCTTTGTTTTTTGTAGGCTTTTTTACTTAAAAGGAAGTGATGATTTCTGAAATGATTAATCCATAAATAGATCTGAGTATTTGCATTAGAGATTTGATTATGATTTATTTTTCAATAATTCAATATAATCTACTATCTTGACTCTGGAATTTATGTTTTTTTTAAGCAAATAAGTTCTAAGTTCTATCTTCTGCTTTTTTGAAAATTTTTCTGATGCCACTTTGGTTCTAAAAGTTTTTGAGTATTAATGACATGAAAATGCTTATGCTTAGATGTTTCTAAATTATTAATTTTTGAGATCAAGGTGTATGTATAGTATAATTAGGTTGACGATTATTAATTATAAGATTAGAATGGATATTGATTATTAAGTATTCTTTTAAGTTTTATTGAGTATTTAGTATTAAGTGAAGAAATCAAAGTTCACTGAAAGGATATTACGATATTTGAACTTTCTTTTATTGGATGGTTCCTTTGAGAAGAGCATTTACGGAAAATAAAATTATTATCTATAAGTATCATGAATTGAAATAAAACTGATAATGAAAAAACTAGTTTCATATTAAATTTATTATAAATTATGGAAGGTTATTTAAAGAAGTGGGTGAATTTCATGTATTAATGGCAAAATCGTTATTTTATTTTGCATGAAGACTCCTTAATATATTGTTAATCTAAGGGAACACCAAAGAAAGGTTAAAAAATAATTTAATGATTTAGGTTAAGTTCATTTAAGCATTTGTTCAATAAGATCTGTGCCTAAAGATCCATAGCGAATTGTTATAAATTATGGGATGAGCGAAATGCATTTAAGAGCTTCTTCTGTTTAAGAGAAGCAAAAGTGGTTAGATGCGCTTTTGTCAGCTTAATAGAGAGTATTATGTGTTCGTTATTTAGTTTACTTCAAAATCCTAAAACAAGTTGCTTGTATAAAGAAAGAAGAACCCTTTTTATTTCATAGAAGGAGCGCCAGAATTAGATTTGAAACGAATCCATACCACCCTTACGTAATTTTGGGTTATGTAAGCGCAGTTAGAAGAGTAGATTTCTCTAAACAATACTTAGAGAATCAGCTAGTTGATTTAGGAATTAAAAGTAAATGGCTTTGCAATTTTAGCACACAACCACAGCATGTGCGTAAGAATTGGATGAAGAGTATAACAAGTTGATTGAAATCAGTAAAAAACTTTAGGAAAAACTTAGAGAAACAAATGATTAAAATCCTCCCGATCACGACGATCTTTATGAAGAAGAGTTTGTACCAACTGAATAATTTATGAGCTTCAAAATGGATGAAGATGAATTTTATTCAATTAACAATGAACTTTATGATGACAGACAATTAGTAAGGAGACTCTCATCAAAGAAAATGTCCGTAGCAGGTGTGTCTCCTTTATTCCAAGTACTTGAATAGCTAAGAATTCCACAACCTATCAAATATAAAAATCTAATCAATAATGAAGCATTTAAAGATATGATAATAGGTATTGATGAAACCAGAGAATAATTACCTGCATTTAAGGATCCGAATGAAAGCATTAAATTTGTTTCACTATTAAAAGATATGATAGGAAAGGATCTCACTAAAATTGCTTTCCCAGTAACATTCAATGAACCTTTATCTATGCTTTAAAATTTGTGTGAAAATTTAGAATATTCAGAAATTCTAGATCAAGCAGATTAATTTTCAAATAGTTGTGAAAGACTAGCTTATGTAATGATTTTTGCCGCATCTGGGTTGTCAGCTACTATAAATAGAGTCAAAAAACCATTTAACCCAATTTTAGGAGAAACATTTGAATTTTCTTGCCCAAAATTTAAATATATATCGGAATAAGTTTCACATCACCCCCCAATATCAGTTGGCTATGCAGAAAACGAGCATTTTGAATTTTTGTCAGATAATAATGTGACTACATCCTTTTGGGGTAAGTCAATTACTGTGACACCTCTGGGCTGGGTAAATATTAAACTAAAGAAATATTAAGATTAAATAGCATTTCAAAGATGCAAATCCTCATTTAAAAACTTAATAATGGGCCCATAATATTTAGACCATTACGGAGAAATGAAATTTAAGAATGAATTCACTGGAGACACTGGAACTCTTAAATTAATAGAGGGATCATCTGAAGCATCTTATGAATTAAAAGGATTTGTTAAAGACAAATTAGGAACTTAATATTGTACTATCTAAGGCAAATGGAATTCAGAAATCTGTATAACTGTGGCAGGCATGACCAAAGTAGTTTGGGTTCGAAATGCATTACCTTAGAAATGTGATTAGCAATATTATTTTACTCGATTTGCCTTATAATTAAACCATTTAAATAGATAACTGATAAAAACATTACCACCAACAGATTCTAGACTGAGACCTGATTAAAGAGCCTTAGAAAATAGTAATATTGATTTTGCTGCAATTGAGAAAACGAGATTAGAATAAAAGCAACGGTTAGCTCGAAAAGAACTGCACGAACATAAAAAAGATCATATTCCAAGATGGTTTTTATAAAGAAATGGAAAATTTTCATTTGGGCAAGAATATTGGAAAGTCAAAGAAACACCAGAATTCTAAACATAAGCATATGACATTTTTTGAATTTAACCATATAATTTAATTATAAAAGAAAATTTTCTTATGTAAACCTCTCAACTTAGTTCACAGCAACAGATAAGAAAACAGCAATTTGAAGAATATTTAAATAAGCAGGCAGATAAATTAAAAACACTAAAGGATAGAAGATAAGAAATTAAGCTTCAGACCAAAGATCCTAAAGAATTATAATTGCACGTTCAAAAAGAATTTCGACTACTTTATGACAGTAAAATTCATATAAATTAAGATATTATTCTTCCAATAAATTAGAAGGCGATCAAAACAGAAGAGCAAATTCAACAATTAATTGATGAATTTCAAGTGTTATTTTAATATTATGTGGACATCAATTATGCCTTAATTGCATATGATAAATAACAATATAAAGAAGTAGAATCTTAATCTATATAAAGTAATTAGACTAATTAGAATGTACAATATTCACTCTAAGGTCCTAAATCATTCCGAGATAAAAATTTAGGTTTTCGAAACCATTTCCAAAAGGGATTCCACAATAGAGTAAAATTTTAGAAGAAAAGCAAAATGTGTTGGACAATGATTCTATTGTCATAACTAAAGAGAATTATTAGGAATCAATAACATTAGAAAATGGGTCACTTTTGTTGAAAAACTTAGAAAACACTACCTTTAAAGTTGAAGGATCGTTAGATACATTTTATTTGCATAGTCTTAAGAATCTTAAAGTATAATTTGGAGATGTGAAGGGAAGTGTATGGGTTGATAAATGCTAAAATTGTGAATTTTAAGGAAGTATGCATTAATTAAGAATTCATGACACTGTAGATTGTGCATTTATCATTTATGTCACATCTAATCCTATCATAGAGAGATGCTCCAAATTATCCTTTTCTAAATTGGGAAATAAGGATGGCAATTTGTTTGACTAGGTTCAAGATTTCAATTGGTTAAAATAAGAGAAATCACCAAACTTTAGTGTTATTTGAAAAATCAGATATATTCAATAATTTATTTAAAATAAATGATATCTATTCTTACTTATTATTCCATTTCTAATTCAGGTCATAAAATTACCAACACTCAAGCAAATAACTATCAAATTAAAATAATATATATATGAAAATTAAAAAAGTACTAAGAGCAATTAATTTAAAGTTGTAAATAATTGTATACTGGTTTAATTGTAAAATGTTGTTATTCACGGGAGATAAAATGGGCCTATTTTATCTCCCAAACTGATAAATTATATTAATATATTTATATTTTAATAATAATTTCTGATATCAGCTATAATTTTGAATAGTGTGAAAAAATTACTTTTCCTAAATACTGATATAATTTAAACATTGGTCAATTTTAGCAATTTAATGTTTTATAGGCATTATTTTGTCAGCAGATCTTGGCCATTAATTAGAAGGCTAAACCATCTTCAATCTCAAATTTTATTTCATAATTTTATTATTATTTATATTAATTTAATAAAAAAGAAATTGGGATCCTTAGGGAGTCAGTTTTTAAAATAAATCTGATCCTAAATCAATTTTCCTAAATACTTATTTATCTTTCAAAAATTTATATAGTCAAAAATGTCAGAATTTTTTAGGTTCCATACCCATAGGAAGTGTAATTACTCTTAAAGAATTCCATTTTAAAGATAATGTCATAATAAGTCATAAAAAATGAAAAATTCTATAAATTTAATCTCTAATTCAAGAACTCTAATTTTGCCCATCCAATTTTATTTTATAACATTGAAATGATTAAATCACTGAAATATTCCAGTCCTATATTGTGTTGCGAAATGCAATTATAAGAATGCGATTTGTCAAATGGCATTAATTCTTATAAATTTATTTAGATTCAATATTCATTTTACTTAAATGAGGTTTTGGCTATAGTTATAATTAAGTTAGACTTGATGAATTATTCAATTACAGAAAAAAATTAGTTAATACAATTTATCTAATACAAATATTGTAATTCTCATCTTGAAACAATTAAGTATGCCTCCTTTTTGGAAATCTTATTCATTTTTAAAGTTTTTTTATTGTTAAAATTCCCTTTTAATAAAGGCTATCTAAATGCTGCTATTCCTGTTTGATAAGACTTACAATTAAGTTGTTTTATTATTTATCTTCTATTTTAGATAATATATTGTTTTTAGAGATCTTGAGATTATAAATGCTTGTTGTATGAGGCTACTACTACCTGTTTGTTTATTCCTACCATTACCTTTTTTATTATTAAGTAATTATGCGAAATTCTAATTTAGTTTTATCATAGAATTGTCAAAAATATTCAGCCATAATATTTAATAATATAATAATTGCGATATTTAATAATGATGATTAGTTTTTGAACAAATTTTGGCTCAGAAAAATCACCATAAAGAATCATATTTTAGTCATTATTCATTAGCTCAATATTTAATATATCATTTAATTCTTTTAAATTTAGATTAATCATAATAAGGTCTGCGAACAAATTAACTGCCCATATTATGAAAGGATCAATTGAGCCTTTACTGATTGGTAAATGAGAAATTTCTCATGAGTCTTATGCATACCTGAAATTATTCCTCCTTAATGAGTAGAGGCTCTGTTAAAATAGTATTTATAATTTTGAATCATTTATTTCCGCCTTTCATACTTCTTATATAATATAAAGTGATCTTTTGTGTATTTATAAATGAGCGAGTTACTTGTTCTCTAACATTTTTTTAGTTTGTATTTTAATTATTTCCTAAAAATATTTATTGTTCTTTTTTTTCAAAGTAACGAAATTATCTATATTCATAGTGAAACCAAAGATTATTGTTTCTATCACTCCTATATGTATAATCTGGTTTTGATGGTCTAAGAGAACGAAGAAAATACAATTTGACTTATTAAGTTTAAAATTGTTTTATTATGATTTATCTATCTTGCTTCAAGCCTTTTTGATCTCAATTAGGATAGTCTTTCATTAGTAAGTGTTAAAGGAGCATACAATACATTCCTTGGTTGTTTTTCATTAACACCTTAAATTTATGATTATATGGATTTACCTAAATCTTTGTAAATTCTAACGTTATTTTAATAATATAATATAATTTTAATTTGTTTTTTCCTATCCTTATTAATGATTTCTTCACAAATTATACAATCGTATATTGCAGCATAATTGCAATTCTAAAAGTCAATTTATTGCATCATTTACAATATTTTAGATGAGTAAATCGTTGACCTTTTTAGCTAAATGGTCACTTGAAAATATTGGTTATAATCCAAAATATTTCGCTTATATAATTCTAAAAAACATAAGTTTAGACTTAATAGATCAAACAGTATTAGTTGCTATTTTTTTTAATTATTATATAATTCTCACTTGTAGATACAATATTCATTAAAATAATAATCGATTCTAAAATTATTCAAATAAATTTTGTAATGTGGTTGTTATGTTCTTTTCAATGTAACTTTCCATTATAATATTCGTTAGTTAATTATCTTCTAAATAATATTTTCATTATTTTAATAAGACCATAATCATATTTATATCTATAATACTTTAGATTGTAATATTTGTTATTTAATTATCTTATATTAATACAATAAATATAATGAATAATTTTTCGAACATATTTAATAATACAATAGCACATCAAATATTTGAATAATTGTGTTACAATATCAAACCTATATAAATTAAATACTAAAGTTTCAGCCAATTCAAAATAATGATGAATTAAATATCAATAAATAAAATAAATGTATTTCAAATCGTTACTTAAATACCATACTTTTTAATTTCTTCAATCTTTTTTTTGGCTTTAGCCTATGTAATGTTAATATTTCCATTTAAGTAGATTTGCTTGCATTCAAAATGCTTTTTGACTTTGGCGATGTTTAAAAGACAATCTAATGCTTTTTCAGTTAATGCGTTGGATTGTAGATGCAATGCTGTAACACTGTAAAATATACTTAACCTCAATACCTAGATTCTTCAATGACTGTTAATAACTTAGCAAAAAGATCATCAGTTAATTTACATTTACTCATTTTCAAGACTTTGACAATTTTTCTATTTTTGAGTGCTTCATCTATTGCCTGAATCAACGGCTCAGTTACATCTAATATAGATTAATTATTACCAAGAGTAGAAAAATCAATCATTTCAAACTTTTCAAACATAGCTAAGGTATTAATAATTTTATCATGTAATTTTGGATCCTTACTAAATTTCTAGACTTTAGCGAACTTGGATGAAGATAACTTATTTCTGTTCGTGTTTGGAGCCGAAATTTCTGAAGGTTCCGTTTGTAGCATAGTTACACTCCTATCTTTTCTTTAAAATTATCCAGGTGTCAATGTTTGGCTGAAATAATTATTTTTACCCACATTATATTAGGGGGAAGCTGGTTGTGTAGGCTATTAGGAAATGTACATCGATTATGTTAATTTTTCATCTTTAATATCCTAATAAATAATATCCGAATCTGTTAATTTGTCTTCCCTATCCAATAATAACTAATCAAGCTATTATTTATTTTCGTGAGGGAATTAGTTTTTAATGTTTTCAATAGGCACGAAAAAATGTTATTACTCTCCGATCAACTTAACACAAGTCTCAATTTAAGAAAATTAGTATTATATTTTGCTAATCAATTAGGACCCATTTACTTTGCTATTTCCTATTTCCTTAGCATCCATTTTTAGCTTTTAATTTTAAATTTTTTCAACAAAGAAATAATTTAATTGATGTCCAGTTTGCGAAAGCCATTTATCTGCTTGATCTTTTAATAAAGTGAATTCTGATTCAATTTTTCTTATATTACTATCGAATTGGATATTGTAATTATTTTCTATTCTGGATTTAAACTCTTCTTTTATTTAATTTAATTCATTAAATAATTCATTAAACCTCAGGTCTATTTCTTATAATTTAGAGTCCTTTGATTATAGCATTTTGGTTTCAAATTCTTTTGCGTAATTCTTTTGTTCAATTTTAGAACTCATATCTTTTACAACTTCATATATTGTGGTAATATCATTTAATGTCTATTCCATTTCTTTCACATAAATGTCAATAGGCTTATAATTGTGAAACTTATGATTTCCAAATAGCGCGCAATTAACACAGATATATTCTCCATCTTCTTAACAAACTAATTCTAATGTTTTTGAATGAATCTGGCATAAATCTCCTTAGTTTTCTTTAGCTGGCAATATTTCACATGAATGTGATTGAGAGATGCTCTTATTTAATTAAATGTTTTATTGGCTGTCACCTGAAAATTCGCTAACATCTTCTGCTGATATTCGAGGTATTGCATCTTCTGGAGTTACATAAGTATGGCATCTTTGTACAGGTCGTTTTTTTCTCAATAAGACAATGATGCTCTGATTAATAGGGAAGAATTTGAAGTCTCTGTCCACTTGGCATTCGATGCTTAATTTAATTTTTGATTCATTTACTTGTCCTCGTTGCATATCAACTACAATTGCGATTACAAATATTATTTCACACATAACTAACATATTGAATGACCACAGGATGGGAGGACATGAGGACTTTTATCCTGTAAATTAAACTCAAGTTAACATTAACAACATTAAAATTCTTTATCCATATAAAATCAATTTATTCTAAAGAGATTATTTTTGCTGATTGATATTTTTTCAGCAGGAACTCTCTTTATCTCTTCTTTTTTAGCACTCATAGATCGATTTTTACTCTGAGATACTTTTAGTTTCAAAAGATATTATTCTTCTGCTTCTTCCAATTCTGTGATTCTCAATTGTCTTTCTTTAAATTACTATGCCTCTTGGATTATCTTCTACTTATAATTATATTATCCTTCTTATTATTTCTAGAATCGAGAAAAATAATACCAGCTGTAATTAAATAATCTTATCTTATTGATGTTTTAGATGAGCTTATCGGATTAGTTTGTGAGATTTAAAATTAGTACCATATATTTCATTCCAAGTTTATAATTTTGCTATAGAGAGATTCGTTTTATATTCCTTATTTTAGAAAGAATAAGCCTCAGAATATAATTATTTTTCTATTTATATACTCAAAAAATTACAGCTTTAAACGTTTTTACTCCTTTTTAGTCTCTCCATTTTTGATATATAGGCCCTTTATGAATATTCCTCAAGTTTCTTTTATTTAATCTCCTCTAGGAATAACTATTCGAATTAATTAGTTTTTAGATATGTACCTTCCTCAGTTAGTCTTCATTTACTCTAGATTTTGTGGAGATAATTGATTATATTTCATTACTTGTTCTAGAAATATTTTTTTAGCAAATAATATCCTAATGTTGAATATGATTTAGTCGAGACTTTAGCAATTTAATGTTATCACCTTGCTATCTGTTTATTTTACGAACTTAATTCAGTTTCATATCCAGTAGCTCTCTCATACTATTGATTGGACTCTTACCCGACATCATTATAATTTATGTTTTAAGTTGGGGACTATGTAGCACTTGTGGTCATATTACCCTGAGAATAAAGGATTCGGTTTAATTTAGGGTACATTAATAATAAAATTTTTTAATTTCTAACTAATCTAGAACTCTTATATATACCATATCAACTGGTTCTCGTGATTAATTGTAGTAATATATTTAATGTTAAGAGAAAAAAATATCCTATTTGATATTAATTAGGTGAGATCATTGAATTATTTCTTAAAGTTCATTTATTTATTTTACAACAATGCAGCAAAACCTTTACTAAAAGTCATTTACAATTTTAATTTTTAATTTCATTTATTTAACTAATTATATATATATTAAAAAACAATTTCTTCTTTTAGGTTTTAGTTTTAAGGGAACTTAATCTTTTGCGAAAAGGCGAGTTCATAAATGCTAAGAATGAAAAATTGCCTTTTTTTGAATAAGAAGATTATTATTTTTAGAATTTTTTTTTTATGCCTCTACTCTAATTATGTAAATAAAGACATAATTTATTGAAGCCAGAAACATTCAAAACGATTTATTAATAATTAATTAATAAACTACGCCATAAGATTTTCAATCTATTTTTTATTTTTTCTTTTACAATTGTTCGTCTTTCAAAACATTAATATTATGAGTACGAGATTTAAAATGCTATTCTATTTCAAATGGGCCATTCATTAATTTGTTGCAAATTTCACACTCTTATTTTTTCCAATTAGTTCTTGATTTTAATTATTGTGTTTAATTATACTTTGTAATCATCTCAGGAGTTAATAATTTAATATTTTCTAAATTTTATTAGCTAATTTAAAATTAATCATCTCCTAATTTATCAACTTGAAATAATTAACAAAATAAGTTATATATTTTTTAAGCCGGGAGTATTACCTGCTCGTTGAGAGTTTGGGCTGATTCAAATTCTAATAAAAATAATCTGTTTGCAATAATATCTATTTTTGAATTACCAAGAATTCTATTTTTAATCCATTAAATTTATTTCTTTGTATATAACACAGTATCATTGATTAAATTTTCAGCCCCCTCTTTTAATAGCTCTTTAAATTTTAAATCTACATTTGGGTATTAAAATCCTTATTCTTTATAATACTAATAAACTTTTTAGAATTATTGATATCCAATACTATGTAGTACTCCCATTTTATTTTATTTGTTCTCTAATCTTTTGAATATTCTTAATATTTCTTCAGTCCCCCCTTAATCAAGCATCTCGTTTATTCTTTCAGCCACTTTAATTTTTAGATCTTCGTGTTTCTTCCATTTTGGCCAGAGAATGAGGAAGTTATAACTTCTTAATTTAAATTAGTCTTAATGATGATCAATTTATTAAGATGGTAATAATCCTGTATTTTGGAAGTATTTAATAGAATTTAAAATTCTTCTACTATCCTTTGGATGAAATTTTTCAACTGCCAATGGATCAATTTCTTTTAAATATTCAAAAGGCTCCTTGCCATTTAATTGTATTTTATCTTCATATAGTAATTAGGTTTCTTCTCCTTAATTAAATAATATTGATTCAATATAATAATGAGTGCCTCCTACTAAAACTGGAATCTATCCTTTAGATTATATCTCTTCAATTTTATTAATAGTCACTAAAATAGGGCTTATAACGTTTCTTACTATCTCTCCATTATTTGCGATTAAATCCTTCATATTCTAAATCTAATAAATCGATTCCATGATGTTTTTTTATTGTCTGTTCTATAGCTGTAGCTTTTGCAGTCATTATATCTGCATCTTTATAAACTTACATAGAATCGCAGGATATGATCTCATAATTATTGAGACCTAAATTCAAAGATAAGTTTTTCTTTCCAGCTGCTTTTGTACCAATTATATAAACAATAAAGCCATTGTTATTCATTGTCTTTATTCTGTTTATTAAAATTATTTAAAAAAGTTTTTTAACATATTTTCTATCTCACTTTACTAAACACTTCATCACCACTTAAATAACAATTTCCTTTTAGCAAAATATTTTAAATTGTTTTATGATTTTAATATTGGTTTTACTCCCTATCACAATGATGAAAAAATTATCTTAAATAAACATTTTACACTCTATAGATTGCGGAAATTACATGAAATATCGTTCATTCAATGGAATCAATTACAAGAATGTAAATTTTATCAATATTGTCAAAAGGACTAATTTTTTTAAGGTTCCTCAGAATTTGTTGATTATTATGATGAGTAATAGTCTGTAAAAGTAAGAAAGACTGTTGATTAAGAATTGTATATGACTTAGAGATTAGGATTAAATTTTTTTTACAAACTTCCGTTAAACAAGGATTCACCAGAAACTTAAAATTATATATTGACACTCTATTTTGCTGAAGTATTTTATAATGATAAAAATTAGCTACAATATTAAGAAAGTAATGCTCGAATTTTTGAAGTATTTTTTGGAAATAAATTAGTTATTGAAAATCTTGACATCTATGAAACAGTTGGGATGTAAACTGCGTATTCAATAGATTTAAGTTTTCAAAAAATTGGATAATAAATTTTATATAAAGGTGAGTAAATTAATGGAGCACTCAGTAAAAATTAAGAACTTATAATCAGATTTAAAGCAATTAAAAGTTAAGCAGCAATTGCTGGAATCATGTTAAAAATTGGAGATAATGAAATTGAAATAGCAAATAATGAAACTCCAAGAAATACTTTAAAGGTAATGGATGGGTTTAAGAGACTATCTGATGAAAGTTTGAAAATTATTGAATCAGAAGTTAAAGAGAAATAAAAAGATCTTTAAAAAATTCATGCAGAACTTGATGATCCTAATAATAGAAGAGGCTTAAAAAAGGAAATAAAATTAGTTGAATTTTCAATAAAATTATTAATTTTATTATCTAGATCACCCTTTGGAATTGTACTTGCAAGTAGTTTTTTTGGAATAAGCTTAATAGCATTGTTTTAATTGTTTTATAATGACAAATAAAAAATCACAGAACTTAGCAAGACTAAAATTTAAAAACAAAATTGATAATATGATAAATTATATTTAAATTTGAGTTTAAAACAAATCATTCTTCAAACTTTTCATGATCCTTATTTTATGCCCTATCTACTTTGGCTGAATTTAATGATAGGATTTTTTCCTCTTATTTTGGAGGAGGTGGCAATGCTTTTGGATCATAAGGCCATTTTTCTATAATTTCTTAAGGATTGGCCAAATAGCTACCCTATCCAAATAATAATTTAAATCCATAAAATTTTCCCTAAAATTAAATAAATTATTTACAAAAAATAGAGGATGGGATTAATCTTTAATTAAATTAAGATAAAAAGAATTTGGAATAGCATGTTTTACATTCAAAATCTATTCTTCAGGTCCCTTGATTCCCAAAATATAGATTCTTGCCCTTCCAGGAATATAACCGAAATAAACAAAAGACCATTAATAAGGTATGAGTTTGAAAGTATGCGTAACTGGTTCGAAAGTAGGATCCTTGAGAGTATAAGTACTAGCTACGATTTCATCAGTCTTTGTAAATAAAGCTAGAGTTCTATCACCAATATATCTTTCATCAGAACCTTCGTTGTTTGTTGATAATCTTACCAGGCCTCTGTATTCATCATTTAATTCAGGTGTAAGGACAGCATTTTACATCCAGAACCCATATGAGTATTCAACCAAACCTGGTTTATCATTGAATGTAAATGAAAACTTATCTTTTTTGTTATTTATTTCATCTTAAAGAGTAGTGTCTATCATTTAGACAGGCCACTTAAAATCTTCAGCATCAAGTGGTTGGACTGGTAATTTACGATGCAGCTTGAGTACCATGTCAACAACTTTCTAACCTTCATTAATAAATGATCCTTAACCCAAGAAGATTCTAGGATCAAATAACCATCCATGAAATCCTCTGAATCCAAACTCTTTAGCTCCTAAAACAAACTTGGAATAGCCAGTTAATGCCTTATGTTGGACTTATAATTCAATATGTTAGGCTTTTTACTATTCTCTAAACAACACCATTCCATAGAACTACCCAGTTTTGTAAGTTGCATAAACATATGTCCAAGCACCTTCTAATTCTGTATATGGTAATTTGGCATCAACTGCATTAGATGGTTTGAGAACATCATATGTGCTAAATTCATAATTTCCAAGAGTTAAAAATGCAGCCAATACCCTGTCTCCCAATTCGCTTTTATCTTAATCTTCTTTATTAGATGAGAACCTGAAAATATTATGTCTTTCTTATCTTTCAGTAAGAGTAGTTGGGAAGGAAATTAACCATCTGGTCCAAACACCTATAGAATATTCATCAACAGATTCGACTTCAGTAGTAAAGACTTATGTTATAGCTTTTTCTGTTTCAATTACTCCATCTTCTTTAGAAAACCACATATATTTTTAGTTAGTTGCCAAAGCTCTATAATTTGTTAACATATCTTCATAACCTCGCTTTTAAATACTAATAAAGGCATTTGAACCATATTAGGCAACCCACTTTTATAGATCACCTTAGAATCTTTTAGTAAATGGATCTTTGGCTACATAGATCCCTGTATAATGTGGTACATAATGTTAAACTCCTTTAAAAATAAGAGGTTTATCTTGATCGAACAAATGTAGCAATGCATGAACCTCTTAAATATCTTCATTGTATCCCATATAAATATATATCCATGCCTTCTTATTATGACCTAAATCCACCTTTTCTTCCAAGAACTTGGCTTCATTCCAATCTTTCAATCCATGTATGGTGTAAGTGGATAATTTAATGGAATCCACACAAACAGAGGCATAAAGTGTCCTATCTCCTTAAAATCTTTTGTCATTTAAATGCTCCTTATCATTATTAGTAACTCTAAATAAGATTTAACAATCGTTGGCATTTTATCCTTTAAGTTCAGCAATCTTGAGCCATCCACTGATTGAATATTCACCAACTTAAGACCAAGTATCCCCTCTCAATTCAGCTCCTCCGACATCATCAGCGACTGTTTCCAATTTACCAATTAATTCTTATTATCCATGTTTTTCCTTATGAATAAAGTCCACAGTCAGTTATTAATCAAGGGCAAATGAATTGTCAATCGTTTTCTTCACATCTTCTACCAAACCAAAGAATGATCCAACTCCGAAGTTTACTGCTATCTTGCACATTAATCCTTAAAATCCAGGGATATCTGGCTCACCTCCTAAGTGGAAAATAACATAGTCTCCCAAAGGCTTGTGTAATAAATCTTAGTTTTTAGCCTACTATATCTCTTTTCCATCAAAAACAAAATATGAGGCTAATTAGCTTACTCTCTAATAACCCATGTAGATATAATTCCATTATCCTTCTAATTTAGAATATGGTATAGTTCTTAATTCATTAGGTGCATCATCATTCAAGTCATAGGTAGAAAATTGAAAATGACCTTAAATAACATGAGATGCCAATATCCTATCTCCCATTGCTATTTTACCAACTTCTATCTATTCATTAGAGGTTAATCTAACTAATTACATTTCCTATTATAATCTATACAATCTTTCAGGCCATGCTTATAAAAACCTGCACCAAAACCCTATGCTATATTCTTACATTGATTCAATTGGTCTATCTGGTTCATCTACAAATTTAACAGTTTAAGGTTAACCAAAAACTATCTTTCCTGAATTTTCCCAATTATTCTTCTTTTCTTATGAAAATAGTTTTGTAGATAACAAATATACTGGCAATTATAAAAAGTTTTCTTTACGAAAAGATCCCTCACCAAAATTTAAGGTTAATTACGCCACTCTACTATTAAAGTTCTCCAAAAGACCATCTCTTCCTGCATACAACCAAAACTTAGAAGATACGGCATGTATTATAGGTTCTAATCCTTTATTTTCATGAGCATCAGCTTTCAAATAATATTATACTTTTCTTTCCTTCTTAGAATAAGCGAAATAAGCAAATGTCCAAATTTCAAGTGATTATCTTGGTATGTTACATTCAAAAGGGACATTCATAATTGAATCTTGTAAAGTGTAAGTACTAAATAAAGCAGTTCCAATATGAGTTAGCATTAACACCTTATCACCAATCTTCTAGGCATCATTTTCAGCTCTGTTAGCTGATAATCTATAAATCACTTAATTTGGTTTAACTGGAGTTTTGAACCATCTGAACCATAATTAAACTGAATATTCTCTCGCTTCTTACTCAATAATGACAGGATTATCAATTTTAAGTTTTGTAGCATCTTGTTTACCAACAAATACTTCATAGATTTTAGGAACTGATAAAATATCAGGTTTTGGATCTTTATTCTTAATTCTAGCCATAATGCCTGCTGTATTTTCAACAAATGCTCCAGGTCCTAAATTGAATCTTACTGTTGTGATTTACCCATTAAAGTTTGGATAATATTTACCTGCATGTCCAATCGTTAATTACAAATAATTTTAGAGTAAATTATGTAATACATCCATTTAAATACCAGGTGTGATTTCTCCAAAAGAAGTAAAAGCTACTGCATGTCCCAGAGTCTAGGAAATTCTCTTATAACTAAAATAAATGTATGTCCATTCACTTTCTGATTCTATTGCATAAGGTATATTTCCATTCACATTATTTGAGGCTGGTTGTACATTGTAAGTTGAAAAGTGATAAACATTTTTGCCCATCAACACCAATAGGACTCTATCTCCTGGTTAATCAAAATCTTTATAATCTTTTTAACTTGTCAATCTAGCCATACCCATCCATTATGGCTATTAATATAACACACCTTTATTTGCGAAATGTTAAAATCTAGCCCAAAATCCATAACCATATTCACTTACTCCTTAAAGATTTAATTTATCACTTTATTCAAATTGTACATGCAAAGGAACTTCTTTGCCATTTGCTGAACATTCTAGAACTTATTCTTCATGATGAGCCTCTTATCCTGCTTATTATAATTTAATGTGATCAGTTCCACTTATAAATCCAAAATGAACTTTAATATTTTCATCACTCTCAAATCCACCCTCTCTATAAGATCCTTATCCAATATTAATTACCCATGTTTTCATTTAACCTTAAAATTTAACCGATTCACTTCCTATTATTACACTGAAAACAGCCAAATAAAAATGATTAATATCATCTAACAAAAATTTGTCATCACTAAATATATACTTAATATAACCAAATGCCTTCTTCAACGGAGTTGAATAGCCAAAATATACATAAGACCATTAATCCCAATACTCTCCAAATTATTATTCTTTAATTTAAATTTTAGAACAATCTTCACCTTTGCAATTATAAGTTGAGTAAATATACGATAAATCAGATCTCTGAATCTTTAGCGTTTCCTCATTCTTTCCATCCAAGTCAGCTAATCTCTTTTATGCCATTGTGATAATATGAGACACTTTACCAAATTTTTATATACCACTCCATTTAACCCAACCTGAAATTGCATATTCTAGAGCTCCTTAAAATTTATCAAATTAAAATTAATTGGAAGGCTCATTAACTGGTGTACCAATTAATTATTGAGTTTATCTTGAAACTGGATGTATTTAAGCTTTTTCAGGTAGTGTATTTTAAGTATATAGTCTTAGATTATCAGCACTTTGCACAAATGCTCCTGGCCCAATTGAACATTATATTTTCGCCATTTAACCATTAAAGAATGGTGCCTATGACTTACCAACTACAAATTCAACATATTCCAAAATATAATCATGGTAAATATCAAAAGAAACCTCCTTTATCTCACCATCTACACCAAACTAAACATATCCTCTCGCTGTACCCTTATCTCCAAATCTTTTATATCCAAAGTAAATGTAATTCCACCAGCCTTCTAATTTTGTAAATTCTATTTCATCCTTGGCACTATAGGTATAAAATTCATATGCTTCTTTGCTTAAGGTTACTGCCAAAGTTTAATCCTTTGGTGTTTATGCTCTATTATTTGCTCTTTTTAATTTACCATCAACTGATTCAATCAAGTAAGGCTCAGTACCTAATCGAGCAATATTATGAACTGCTCCTCTTTATACCAAATACTTAGGCATCGTACTCAACCATCTAGTCCACATTCCAAATGAATATTCACTTTAGCCATTTATTCTTAATTTCTAGTCATCATGAATTAGAATCTTGTCTACTAATGAACTTTCACCATCATAGGCGCAATCTCTTACTACATTAGGGTCTAAAGCATCTTCTTTATATTGAATTGGTTTCATTAATTAAAACACGTTCATGGCACCATCTCCATATTAAAATTATTAACCAAAATTAAGTGCTTACCTGTATGCTCCAGGTCCTAAGTACACTCCTACATATCCAATTTTACCATTAAATGGCGAAACATAATCGTCTCCTCCTAAGGTGAAGTATAATTTGGTTATCAATTTATGTTGAATTGGGTCGAATGTAATCTCATTAGATTTTCCTGGTCTTATTAATGCTCCATAAACTTTCATTTTATCATTATCATATGCCATATAGCCATATTACCAAATATAATTAGGAGATTACACTATTTTTGATAAATAACTTGATCCTTTTGCTTTATTACCTTCAATCGTATAAGTATTAAAGTATACAGAACTTTAAGATCCTCCTCCATAAATATAATGCATTTCTAATGATCTGTCACCTAAAATTCCTTTTCCTTACGATTTTTTTTCATTTGATCTTAAATTAAATATTTAGAAAGTATTTTCACTATCCACTTTTAAGTCATCAATCCATCTAAACCAAGCTGCAACGCTATATTCTTCAATTATTAGTTAAGACTCTTGAGGATCCAATATGACAGAATCGCTTGCTGTATTAGCATTGAATAATTTTGGAGTTGATATAACTTCTAAATCGATTAAATTTGTAACTTATTGAGGCGCATTTGAAATGGTCTTTATGATTTCTATTATTTTTGCCTCTGTGTCTACAAAGGCTGGAGCATCAATATCATAAAATATATTTGCAAATTGGCCATTAAATCCTTCATATGTCATATGTTTTCCACCAATCAATAGTTTAAAGTATTATGGTGGTACATGTCTGCATTAAATTTCTGCCTTTAAAATTTTATTATTATCCCCATAACCAATCACAAAACCCACTGCAGATTTTTTAGCTGTGCTGTATGAGAATGTGATAAAGTACCACATGCTGTCTAAATCTTCATTTAAGGCCACAACCTAGTCTTTTACTTTTTTCTTTTCTTAATGATCATAGGTGGAAAAAATAAAGGAATTTTCTATCATAAATATAGCTAAAGTTCTATCCCCATAATAAGCCAAGTCTTTGTATTCTTGATTTGAGGTTAGTCGAGATAAGAAATAATAGGTTTCTGGTTTTCTTACATGTACTTTTGGTGCATTTGAAGTGTATCTCACCCAAAATCCATATCCATATTCATCAGAATCTTAAAGGAGCTCTCTGTCTGCAAATTCAAATTATTCAGCAACATCACCATCATAAGAAGATTTCACATATTTTGTAGACACTGGTATATTAACCTTCTCTGTCTTTGGTCTAACATTAACTTTATGCTTTGGTGGTTCATATTAGGTGGGTTCATTAGGATTGAACTCCTCTTTCAATGATTAAATTTTTAAAGATTTTTCTTTCTCATCTTTTACTTCTATTTGATCTTTTTCAGAACTAATACTATCTATTTTAACATTTTCTTCTTTGATAAGACCCTTAACTCTGTTTCCTATCTTTTCTTCTGTTTAATCTTCTTATTTTTATAATTATTTGCCATCCTAACCCAAATCTTCTTTTTATTTTGTTTATTCACCTTCCTCGGTATTTTTAACCTCCGGCTAATTTTTATTATCTTTAGGTTCGACCTCGTTAGAAGAATTTTTTTCTTAATTTTAAGAATTTTCTTTTGACAATTTTTTTTGAGCTTCTGCCTTCTATTCATCTTCTGACACTTTTTGCTCTTATTTATTGACTTTTTCTTACCCAATTGCGTCTTCTGCTGGCAATGTTTCTTAATCTTTATTCTCATTTATCACATCATCTAATACATCATCAAATTAGGAATCCTATATTATAAGAGATTTTTTTTATTCTGGATCAACTATCTTAACCTTATGGTAAACGTTTTTAATAGCATCATATTAATAATAGATAATAGAATCACCTTCTATTTGATAATAAATATAGTCTTAGTCATCTTCTAATTATGGATCTACAATTATTTCACTTTACTACTCTTAAACATTATTAGGCCCATCTTCTTCTAACACTTATTCATTTTCCTGTAAATTATCCTCTTATTTATCTCCATCTTTTTCATAGAGATAATCATTGCCGAAATCGTTTAGATCGTATGTATCATTATCAGGAATAGACTCATTTTTAGAGTTTTCAAAGGAGTTTTTAAAATCGTTTTCATCATTTTGTTCACTATCAAGATTTATTTATTATTCCCCTATTGAATTTAGATAGTATGTTTTTGTCTTTGGAATTTATGTACTTGTCTAAGAAATAACTTTCATATTTCCGTCGGAGTCTATTGTGTATTCTGTTACCTCTTCGACAGTAACTTCTTCCCAAACTTCTTCTCCATCCTCAGTTTTCACAACATTTTTCTTTGATCCTGAAGAGCCTTTTGAGGAGGATGATTTGCTGGAAGAAGATGCCTACTTACCATTTTGACTTTAGGAAGCCTATGATGCAGATTTTTAGCTTGAATTATTAGTATTTGAATTGCTAGAACTCTTAGCATTACTTGCATTGCTACTTGAGCTTTATTTTTAACTGCTGCTTGAACTGCTGCTTGAACTACTGCTTGAACTACTGCTTGAGCTACTGCTTGACTTATTGGCTGAACTGCTATTTGAACTGCTGCTTGAACCTCCAGATGCAATTTATTATTTGTTTGCGCTTCCACTTTAGATATTTCTGGAATCAGAAGTGGATGATTATGCTTGCTCCCTTGATTCAGCTTCAGAATATTTTTATGTTAATTTATCTGCAACTGATTGACTAACTTTTGATTTGTTTAAAGATTCTTGGCTGACTTATGATTAAGTATGTTCATTAGAATTATGAGTGGTCCCACTTGTTGAACTTGATGATTTTGTATTAGAAGAACTTGATGAACCAGAAGAACTTGAGGAAATTGATGAGCTTGAGGAGCTTGATGAACCAGAGGAACTGGATTTTTAAGATGAAGACGATGAGGATCCTGATGCTCCAGTTGTTTTTTTGGTCTTTTTAACTCTTTTTCTAACCATTGTTTTTACTTTTTTCGTTCCTCCTCTTCCATCTGGTTCTTCAACTTCAACTTATTCAAATATGTCTTCTTCGCTTGCATCATCTCCATATCTTGGAGGCTTATAATCTGAGGATGATGATTTTTATTAAGAATTTTAACTTTATGCAGAAGTTGATGAACTACCTCCGGTAGACTTATTAGATTAACCACTACTTATTGATGAACTTGATGAGCTTGATGAACCAGAAGAACTTGATGAACTTGATGAGCTTGATGAACCAGAGGAACTGGATTTTTAAGATGAAGACGATGAGGATCCTGATGCTCCAGTTGTTTTTTTAGTCTTTTTAACTCTTTTTCTAACCATTGTTTTTACTTTTTTCGTTCCTCCTCTTCCATCTGGTTCTTCAACTTCAACTTATTCAAATATGTCTTCTTCACTTGCATCATCTCCATATCTTGGAGGCTTATAGTCTGAAGATGATTCTTATTGAGAATTTTAATTTTGGGTAGATGTTGATGAACTACCTCCAGTAGACTTATTAGATTTACTACTACTTATTGATGAACTTGATGAGCTTGATGAACCAGAAGAACTTGATGAACTTGATGAGCTTGAAGAACCAGAAGAACTTGATGAGCTTGATGAACCAGAAGAACTTGAGGAACTTGATGATCCAGAAGAACTTGATGAGCTTGATGAACCAGAAGAACTTGAGGAGCTTGATGAACCAGAGGAACTGGATTTTTAAGATGAAGATGATGAGGATCCTGATGCTCCAGTTGTTTTTTTGTTCTTTTTAACTCTTTTTCTAACCATTGTTTTTACTTTTTTCGTTCCTCCTCTTCCATCTGGTTCTTCAACTTCAACTTATTCAAATATGTCTTCTTCGCTTGCATCATCTCCATATCTTGGAGGCTTATAATCTGAGGATGATGATTTTTATTAAGAATTTTAACTTTATGTAGAAGTTGATGAACTACCTCCAGTAGACTTATTAGATTAACTACTACTTATTGATGAACTTTTTCCACTTGATGATTAAGAAGAGCTAGATCCGCTGATTCTCTTGGTTTTTTTCACTCTTCTTTTAACTATTTTCTTTACCTTTATGGTTCCTCCTCTTCCGTCAGGTTCATCAACTTCATCTTATTCATAAACATCTTCTTCACTTTCATGATCATTATTTTGTAGAGTTTCACTTTTTAATTTATTTTCTGACTCTTCATCCCGGAGTTTTTTCTTTTCGCTCACTTTATCATTTTATAATTGTTATTTTTACTATTATGTCTATTAATTTCCTATTCTACCATCAGATGATGCTCCAATACCTTCTGTTTTAACTAATTCTCCTTCAACAGGTTCTTCATCATCATCTGGAGGAATCTCTAATGGTCCACTTTTTTATTTTTCTTTTTCTTTTTCCTTTTCTTATTCTTTATCCTAGGTTCTGCCTTATTATTTTTGCTTATCTTATTCTTTATCCTAGGTTCTATCTTATGACTTTTGCCTATCTTATTCATTATCTGAGGTTCTGTCTTATTATTTTTGCTTATTTTATTCTTTATCCTAGGTTCTATCTTATTACTGTTGCTTATCTTATTCATTATCTGAGGTTCTGTCTTATTATTTTTGCTTATTTTATTCTTTATCCTAGGTTCTATCTTATTACTTTTGCTTATCTTATTCATTATCTGAGGTTCTGTCTTATTATTTTTGCTTATCTTATTCTTTATCTGAGGTTCTGTCTTATTATTTTTGCTTATCTTATTCTTTATCCTAGGTTCTATCTTATTACTGTTGCTTATCTTATTCATTATCTGAGGTTCTGTCTTATTATTTTTGCTTATTTTATTCTTTATCCTAGGTTCTATCTTATTACTTTTGCTTATCTTATTCATTATCTGAGGTTCTGTCTTATTATTTTTGCTTATCTTATTCTTTATCTGAGGTTCTGTCTTATTATTTTTGCTTATTTTATTCTTTATCCTAGGTTCTTTCTTATTACTTTTGCTTATCTTATTCATTATCTGAGGTTCTGTCTTATTATTTTTACTTATCTTATTCTTTATCTGAGGTTCTGTCTTATTATTTTTGCTTATCTTATTCTTTATCCTAGGTTCTGTCTTATTAATTTTGCTTATCTTATTATTTATCCTAGGTTCTATCTTATGACTTTTGCCTATCTTATTCTTTATCCTAGGTTCTTTCTTACTATTTTTGCTTCTCTTATTCTTTATCCTATTAACTATTTTTATTATGTCTATTAATTTCCTATTCTACCATCAGATGAAGCTCCAATACCTTCTGTCTTTACTAATTCTCCTTCAACAGGCTCTTCATCATCATCTGGAGGAATCTCTAATGGTCCACTTTTCTATTTTTCTTTTTCTTTTTCCTTATCTTTTTCTTATTCTTTTTCCTATTCTTCATCTTATTCATTCTCCTATTCTTAATCCTAATCATTCTCCTACTCTTTATCTTATTCTTTATCCTATTCTTTATTCTTTTCTTTATCCTATTCTAAGTCTTATTCTCTATCCTATACATTATCCTATTCTTCGTCTTTTTCTATGTTTTATTCTTTGTCCTATTCTTTTTCTAATTAATTTTATTCCCGTTCAACCTCTTATTCATCCTTATCATCTTATTATTATGGTTGCTCAGAGTTATTATTGTCTGTAGGATCTAATTCTAATTCCGTTTATTCAGCAGTTGTGCATTCCTCTGGCTCGTCATAATTATTTTGATGTTCTGAATCTGGGCCAAATTCTCTTTCAATTATGATTTCTCTTGGCTTTTTGTCATCTAAATTTGAATCATTTTCTAATTTTTATTCATCCTCCTCTTCCTTAATTTAATTACTATCCGGACTAGGTTCTATCTCAATCTCTTGTTCTTCTGGTGATTCGATTTTAGGTTCTTCTTCAACTTTATCCACTCTTTCCTCAACTTTTTCCACACTATCTTCATTCTACTCCTCTGTTAAATTTTTTGGTGAATCATCCTCTTCACCTTAAGGGCATACTTCGTCATCATTATAAAAAATTGGCTATCTGTTATAAGGCTAATGCCTATTGGGTTTAATTTAAGTGATGTCTTATTAAGTAACTGATGAACCTTAATTAGAACGATACTAACCATATTCATATTCATAATTCTGTTTTTTATTGTATGGGTATTAATTACTGATATCTCTTCGATTATTTCTACTATAATTCTCTTGACATTCTCTTTTTCTCATCTATAAATCCCTTATTTTTTATCTTAATCTTGATGATTGTCTGTATTAAGCGCATTCGTTTAAATTTCTATTTATTTAATATTTCATGTTTTCTAAATAATCCATAATTCTATTTGCCATAGTAACTCGCTCTGTATGCCCTACAGTATTTTAGAATTATCTCATATATTCTATGCATTAATCTAGATTTCCTCTAGCCCATTAATGATTTAATTAAGCAAGAGTCATATCTAATAAAGAATTTTATAGGCTTCCAGTTATTTGCAAGAACATTCCTAAATTTTTAACATTCATACTTTATTATTAGCTATCATCAATATGTTTTGCCTTATCAACCAATCTACTGATTTAATCAATGATTGTTAAATCTCTTTGTAATTAATCTCTATGCTCAATAATATCAGCCCATTTAGATAACTCTATGATGGTGTAATCATAAAAGTCAAAACCCATTTAGCAGGTGAATTTATTTGTATTTATATCATTGGCATCTTAAAAGCTCAAGCCTTGAAATAAATACGAATCAAATACTACTCTCTCGAGTTTTAAAATGCGAGGATTTCATTTCTGCTTAAGTTGCATAGGTTATTGCAATTATCATAAGTGTTAAGATTACTTTATTCATCTTTTATCTATCCGTTTTTAAATAAAATATTAAAGAAATATGAATGGGAAAATAGAATAGATAACCAGATAATCATCCCACCGAAAAATTCATATCAATTTTTTTCCTTCTTATAATTAAAGGCTACTTGTATTAAATATGAAATTCCTTTTGATTTGACTTCAAATATTAAAAAAACTATTATATTTCATTATTGATATATTGTAAGAAGCTCATTTTTAAAGTATTTTGCATCTATAATTAAATTACTTTTGAATTTGCTCTATTGTATTCAATTCAATTCAAACCTATATTTTATCATTCCTTGATCTAATTTATTTAATTATATTGTCTATTTAGAATATATTTGATTGATTTATTATTTGAAAACAATTCATTTTAGTATTAAATGTTGTCTAATTTTGAAGAAATTTAATGAAAATTTATGATTCGTTTGGTTTAATTAAATTAAAAACTTTAATAGATACTCAAAACTATTAATGATTTCTCATATTTCACTAAACTTATGTAATATTGTTTTAGTTTCCTATCTATGAATAGTTAGTTAAAAAATACCTTTGAGATTGAGCATTCTTTATTCTAAATTAACACTAATTTCCCATTCAATCCAATTATCATTTTTATTTTAATATGGGCGCTTTTGAATAATACTTTGACAAATGATAACTATTTTCACAGTAAATCAAATTAATAATACATTTCAGCCTTTATTTTTGTTTTCTTATTGAAAACAGTAATCGATAATATTTAATATTTATTTTTTTCTTAAAATGAAGTATCAAGTTCATTCATATCTGGATAAATGATATGGCTATCCAAATAATTTTTAGATAACAGCTTAATTATAATAAAATTATAAAATTTTGCAACAAAATTATAGAAAAATCAAATGATTATAAACAGTAACAAAAGCTAAATGAGAGGTTATTGTTTATAATAAATAAATACCAATAATATTTGAAACTTTTATAGATTGAGGATAGAATTTGAAATATTTTAACATCATTATTTGTTTAGTAAATCATTTAAATTAATATTCAATTTACTACCTTTTATAATCTAAAAATGACTTTTGCATTTAGTTTTCTTGTTTAAGGAATATATTATTTGAACAAGTAAGTTGAATGATTCATCCTTATTATATAATTAGTATTATTTAATATGTAAACTTTGAATTAAAGAGATTTTCTCTATGAATTTATGCATTCTAAAGAGATTGTTTAATTTATAGTACTTTATCCGATAAGATTTGTTATCCTCCTCAATGGACAAAAAGGAAGAAAATTATTGTGTAAAAAGATTAGGAGTAAAATGCTTTTAATTAATGGTTTTATTATAAATAATGATTATAGTATAGCGTTTTTATTCATTATTAATTAATGAAGACTAGTCGTTTTTATTGTTTAACTATGTAATTTTTTTATTGACAATAACAATAATTATCTTATGAAGACAATTTTGCTAATTGCCTTGATTGCAGTAGCCTTCACCGCCAGAGTGCAAGAGAGAAATCTTGCTAAAATTACAACAGACCTCAAATAGAGCACATATGGAAGTGCTTTGCTTCACTTAGTTGAGCTCCATTCAATGGCTGGAGGTCCAGTTTAAGAATTAATCGATGCTATTGAAGAACTTATTAATGATCTTGAAGAGGAATTAGAAGAATTAGAATTCAATTTCTAAGTCAGAACCAACGAGCACAATTCATTAGTTGTTAGCCTCGAATAAGACATATAAGATGCTGTTATTGGTAAAAATAAATACAATTTATTTAGATGTTAATAATACATAAGACACATTAGATAATTTATTGTTCCCAAGAAGAGTATAACTCCAAGCCAGAATTGAATAAATTTAAGATAACTAAGAAGCTAATAGAAAGAACTACGATGAAGCTATTCTAGTAAGAGAATAAGAACACGAAGATTTTGAATTCTAAATTGCTGAATTGAATGATGCAACCACTGCTGTTGATGATGCTCTTGCTCTTCTTTAAACCCTTACAAACCCATCACTTCTTTAAGTTAAAAGATTCTAAAACTCATTGAAAAACATTGAAGCAAAAATCAAGTCAAGATCCAAGATGGCTCCAATGATCAAGGCTCTTATTTCTTTAGCATCAAACTAAAATTTTTCTGACTAAGGCATTATTGGTTAAATCGTTGATGCCCTTAATGAATTCAGAAACGCTATTGTTGATTCTATCAATGCTTAAACAGCTGCCGAGGCCTAAGCTTAAGCTGATCATGAAGAATATCTTGAATAATTAGATGATGAATATGCTGAATTCTAAAGATAAATTAACAGAGTCAATGTTGATTTGACAGCCACCAACGGTAATTAAATAATATAATGAATTTATAGAAAAGATTGATTAAATGACTGAATTCAGAGACTAAAGAGATGCAGACAGAAAATAATACACTGCAGAACTTGAATTAGAAAACAACACCTATGCAGAAGAAACCGACACATACACTAACTTAAAGAATGAATTCACTAGAGAACTCGGAATCAGCGAATAAGCTTTATCTGTTGTCTAAAGCGCTGATTTCTCAAACATCTAAGTTTGATAAGAATGAATTATACAGGTTTCTTCTTATTCAACCATAATTATTTGTTTATATTTTCTTTTGGATCAATTTCTTGCATTGTGATCACTATTAAAAATTTCCAATTATAAATTACTCTAAGATATGAACTTTTTATTTATTTATTAATCTAATTTATTATTTACTAGCGCCCTTTTAACAAATTTATTTAGTAAGAATTTGGATAAGGTCTACCCTTGCTATGCTTTAGATTTTCTTATTATAAATTTCATTTTAAAAATGTCAGAAATAAAGAGTGCTTTATAATCTAATATCGTTCACATTTTAGAGAATAAGCCTTCAAAGAACATTGAAGGTTTTAAATAATTATAATTGGAAGTATTTTTTAAATTGAAAATAGAGTAAAAGAAAACTGATCGAAGAATTCAAATAACTATATATTTACGATGAAAAAGGAAATTTAAGAAGATATTGTAAATAAAGAATTTTGTTGATGGTAGCAGATACAAAGGATAATTATCTAATGATAAAAGAAGTGGTATATAAAATAATTTGATCTAGATTAGGGTGTAGAATATAATATTATATTAACGATGACATCGTGAATGGTTTGATGATAAATTTAATGGTTCAGGACCCTATTTATTTGCAAATGGTATTAGATTTAATGATATATAGGGGAAAGATATTCTGGAGTATTGTCTGATGGTTTGAAACACGGAATGGTATATTATGATAGAAATTGGAGAGAAGGAGAAAGACATGTAAAAGGAGGGGCTGGTTATGCCTATGGAGATGTATATGTTGGAGACTTCAAAAAGAATGAAAGAAATGGATTTGGAATAATAAAATTTAATGATGAAGCAAGAGTAGAAGGATATTTGGTAAATGGGCAATTATGAGGCTAAGCCAAAATGTAATACCCTAATGAGGATACTTATGTAGGAGAGTGGGATAGGAATTAAAAAATAGTGATGGAGTTTATACAATGTGCAATGGATAATTGATTTATAAGGAAAGGGTAATTCATTTTTAGGTATTGATATAATTTAAGTTATAAGAAATGGAGATCAATATGTCGGAGATTGGTTATAGGATAAAATTAATGGCAAAGGAAAATTCATAACAAAAGAAGGCATTGTATATGCTGGTGAGTTAAAAAATCATAGATACATCAGTCCAATAAATTGATCACCGTTATTTATTAAGTATAATGATGTTAATTTTTCTGTAGTTAGTATATTATTTTTTATATTTTCTAATACAATGTGGCAATTAATTATAATTATATTGTTCATCTATTTCCCTACTATTAGTGTTTAAATTTAGCCCAGCAGCCCTGAGGGTATTTCAAACTGAAATTTTGATTAAATTAAAGAAATTAAATATAGACTTTTCTCTTAAACTTAGTTGAATAAGGATAACTATATAAAGAGGATAAAATAATCAACAATCTTATTATATTGCAAGTTGAATCATATATATATTATATTGTTAACTTATTTGAAGCATAATATAGTTCATAAATTAAAGAAATAGCGCAAAAGGTTTCTTAACCAATTTTAATTCGATAATTATAATTTTAGTTTTTCTTTTTCTTTTTGTTCATATTTGTTGTAAAGATATTCTGTCAAACTAATTAGTTCAAAACAGTAATGCCCTATTAATAATTTATAAAGTATGGACAAATCTGAATGTTAAGGGTTAAAAATGTCACAAATTCCCCAAGGAAATTTTCTAAATTTTATAATTCTGTTACCTTCCATAAATAAAATGATTTCCAACTTAAAATTATTCAATTGAACTAATTATCACGTAAGGCGGGGTGATACCAAATTAACCTTTTTCTTGATAGCTGTTGTTGCATTGGCATTTAAATAAATCGATATGATATTCGCTAATGAGATCATTAAACTACTATTTCAATTGAATAATCTCATTTTTTGTATATGAATCACCTTTTGCTAAGATTGGAATGACATTCACTAAACCACTTATCTTTTTCAAGGCTTATAAATCTTCTGCTTAAATTCTAGGACCTGAAAAAAAGTAGAGGCAAACGTGAACTCTTTCATCAAGATCTTATTATGATAATTATTAAAATTTCTCCTTGCTTTCATATTATTAGGTCTGTCTTAATTTATATGTATTAAATTGATTGTGAATATAGGTGCTAAGTAACTTTAACCATGAACGTAAACCATATTAGTGTCGAAAACCTGGAGTATCAATAAATTTGATATTTAAACTTAAATCGTTATTATAGATTTGCCCTTCAATAGAAAGTGATAGATACCCTAAATTTCTTAGATTTAAAGAGTGGAATCTCTAATTATTTGTCCAGTTCCAAGTTTTTTTTTCAACAAGACATCTATAAATGTCGATTTTCCCAATCCTGATTATCCAACAACCATGATATTTAAATAGATCTATATTATTCAATATCATACTGGTTTCTGATCTTATATTTTTTTCTATTGAATAAGGGCTTGAATTTCTGATCCTGGTTATGAATCTGCGATTGATTCATAAATTTAGGATTCATATACTGATTTTTCAATATTTTACTAAATGATAGGTAAAGGCTATTTAAGTGACGTTGATTTGCTAGATTAGTTAAACATTTACTTTTCTTAGTATTCTGATATTTCACTTGCTTGTTCATCAAATTAAGTAATTTTTTACTCCTACTATTTATAAACACTAGGTTGGCCATTGATAATTGAAAAATCTTCTGTTCTTTAAGAATTATCTAATATAAGTCAATTTAAATATTATTACAAGAACTCTCAAGTTTAGTTCTTTTAAAATCTTACATTATAAAAATATATAAATTTAAAGATGAGAATTTTTGATTCAATATAGACACTATTTTATTATAATATTTATGAAAAAAAAGAAATGCACATTTAACACAAGTCTATGTTAAAAAATAAAAATTTAATTTAATTTCAAAAATTTGAAGAAGAAAGAATATTGAGTTTCTGCTCACAAGTTAATATCTTGATTCTAAATGAGTGTACATTTAATAGTAGCATTTATTTTTCATTCAAAATGCTGGATTTTAATATTCTGATTGCCAATTCTAAAATTAGTTAAATGAGAGAATGTTGAATTTCAAATTTTAAGGGAAGAGTTTCTATTATGTGGTACTCACATCAATCATTTTAAACGTAAGTATATATTAAAGGAGTCTTAAAAAAAAATAAGGAAGAGCATCTTAAAAAAGAAATAAATTAAAATAAATAATAAAATCAAAGTTTCTAGAAACATCTCTTTTTTTATAATCAAAATTTATCAAAATTTTCAAACTATTTTTAAATATTTTAATAGATGTTCTCAGGTGGATTTCGTGGTTTTCCTGGAGGCTTTCCATTTGGTGGTATGGGAGAAGAGGAATCTTCGAATAGTTAAGCAGAAGTCGACAACAAAACTTTATATGAACTGTTGGGAGTAGCTCCTTAAAGCACTACAGATGATGTCAAAAAAGCGTTTCGTAAAAAGGCTATAAAGGAGCATCCAGATAAAGGTGGTGATCCTGAAAAAGTATGGATTAATTCACAAATAATAGTTTAAAAAATTGACTGAGGCTTATGAAATTCTTTCAAACCCAGAAAAAAAAGACCTCTACGATCGTTTCGGTATGGAGGGTGTTAAAAATGGCGGTGGCGGTGGAGATATGGGAGATATCTTCAGCCATTTCTTTGGTGGTGGCGGAGGAAGAAGAGAATAAGGTCCTAAAAAAATGAAAGCAAAAATGAGAGAATAATAAGTCACACTTGAAGAAGTATTTGAAGGAAAGATGATTCATTTGACTCACAAAAGAAAGAGGGTTTGTGACGGATGTGAAGGAAAAGGAGGTGCAAATGCAAAGACATGTACAACATGTAAAGGAAGAGGAATGGTGCAAAAATTATAGATGATTGGTCCAGGAATGTATTCCTAATCTACAGGACCATGCAATGATTGTGGTGGTGATGGAACAATATTCCCAGAAAAGGATAGATGCAAAAAATGCAAAGGAAATAAAGTAATAGACTAAGAAAAAGTAATTGAAATCCCATTGGAAAGAGGTGTACCTGATGAGCATGATTATCAATTTTACGGAGAAAGTGATGAAGTGCCAGGAGTTATGGCAGGAGATCTTTATATTAGAATTAAAATAAAGAAACACGATGTTTATGAAAGGAAAGGTGCTGATCTATTTATGAATAAAAAGATAACTTTAGTCGAAGCCTTGACAGGAACACAATTCACATTAAAATTCTTAGATGGAACTAATCTACACATCTCTACTAAGCCTGGAGAAATTATCTCACCAGGTAATTAATGAGTTTATTATTTTAGCTCAAGTAAAGACAGTAAAAAAGAAGGGTATGCCTTGTTACAAAGATGCCATGAGTGAAGGTGATCTTCATATTAAATTTGAAATTGAGTTCCCTCTACCTGGATAAATAAAAAGTGATTAGATTGAATAATTGAAAAAAGTATTTTAAAAGGTTATTTTAAGGTTTTACCAGGTCCTAAATAATAAGCAAAACTTGAGGCTAAAAAGACTTTGTTTTTAGAAGATTACGATGAAACTCACGTAAATTCAAACCCAGAAGGTGGTAAGAAGGATGAAGAAGATGATGATGATGAAAGAGGACATGGTGGACAAAGAGTCTAATGTGCTTAATAATGATATCAATGTTATATGCAAATTATTAATTATAATAAGGTCTAAAACTATAATTTCTCATCAAGAATATATAATTTTAAGAAAGTAGATTCAAACACCATTTCTGATTTATGTCTACTAACTTAAATATGTTTGGTATGGTATTCATAATAAATCATTCAAAAATAATAATGTCGAGATTTAAAATTAATATAAATGTCACTCAAACATTCCTGAATTTGGGATAATTTTAGGGTAAAACGAAAATGATAACTTGAAAGGGTTCAATGATACATATTGAAGATATCTAATTGATAAATGCTATGAAGATCAATTGGATACTTATTTGAGGTCAAAGAGCTTCAATTACAACATTATCACATTTGCAAAATAGAATAAATATTTCAAAGTAATCGATCAAATATGAAATATAAATTACAAATAAGAAACTATTATAAACTAGAAAAGATGGAAAATATAGGTAAAATACTAAGAATATGTATCATATGGACTTTTAAAAATAATTAAAAAAGCAGAGACTATCATTAAACAATTAAAGCACTTAACCATAAAGCAATTTAGAATTTAAGGAAAAAAAATACCTTAAGGTTTATTTAAATACTTCAATAAAACAAGTGCATTTAAAGATACTAAAATAAAGGAATTGAAACTAATGAACAAATGCTGACAATTTTCTATAAAATATAAATCTTTAGTTATGAAGGCTTTGTCGTTTCAAATATATAATTTACATCAAATAACCTTCAATTTTGATAAATCATTTTTATGTATTAAATTATAAATTAAATTATCTAACAACTAATAAACAAAACTAATAAGAATGATAAGTTATATTCATTTTCTTTTTTAATTAGTACCATATTACCCTCTTAATAACTACTAGATAGTTTCAAACTTAATATGACATTCTTTTGAATAGTTATTAATATTTACATTGTTCAGTGTCTGTTCTAGGTCTATTTTATGGAGTTTTATTGCCCAAAACAGAATTTCTAGGTTTTAAGGAAATTTAAGATCTATCTGGAGATTTTTCAGGAGACCTCCCTACTCTCCTGGGTGACTAATTCGAACTTGCATTCATTCTTTCAGTTCTACAATTATCAAAAAAAAATGCTTTCAAAAGTCCATTATTATTGTGGTTAGATGAAGCCTAAGAGTTTTAATTTTGCTTAATAAGATTATTAAAAGTTGTTTTAGCTGATTTATAGGGTTATAGCTAAATTGGCAAAGTTTCTTATGTCTTCAATAGTTTTTCATTAATTCTTTCACAACTATTGTTTGATGTTGCATTAAAAAACGATATCTTTTATTTAGGAGACATATCTGATGGCATTTATTATCTTCTTTTATTAATTATCATCTATTCCATCAGACTAGTTTATGGTTTTACATTATCACTGATATTTCGATTATTTTTTAATGGAGATTATTAATTTAAAAAAGAATTTACAAATTTTCCAGATGGAGATGAATCATTTAATTTTACTTCTGCTAAATTTTTGAGAATAGATTGATTTTCTCTTTGGGTTTGAATTTACATCTATTTCAGTTTTTATAATTTTTATTCTTTGTAATTCACTTCTGATACCATAGACATCATAGATTCTTCTTATATAGTATCTAAATTAGAGTTATAATGTTTGTGATAACTTGTGATTAAATGATTAATATAAGGAGATGAGCAAGTAATGTTTTTACAAGCAATTTCAACTGCTTTGAGATGATATAATTCGCTTAATTTAAACTCGTCAGTATTAATGTCTTTGATTCCTTATTGTTTAGCTTTATCTAATTCAATAAACCTTAGTTCAGTTGCAATGGTGAAGTAGGATATAGATAAATAAATGATTTTCTCCAGCAACAATCTCTTGGATATCTCATACAGCATTTCTCCTTGCGATGAGAAGTCTTCATAGATTTGTGGAGTCATGTGCATGATGAAACCAATATTGAAGGTTTGAATCCACTCCTGCACATTTTGAACTCCAAGGATGGAACGATAATCATCTTCCTTTTGATCTAATCTCAATTCTTTACGAATATGTTTTTCATTATTTTCTGGATTGTTTCTCCAGAAATATAACTATCTCTTAGCCTCTCTAAGTATCAGTTATTCATTATTAGATATATTATCTAAATCTTATTACTTTGACAAATCTTAGAGAATATCTTTACTGGCATCAATAACTAATCTACTGAATTCTACTTCATCTTTCATTTGGAATTTATTATTTTTTTATTTTGACTTCGTTGTTAGAGTTGAATTGGCAGTTGTTGCTGATCCCAGGGATCCATTTTTGTTTAACCAGTCCTTACAAAATTGAGAAGCTATCTTAAATATTTCCCTCATTGTACTAGCTGCTTTTCTAGCAGATTGTAATGCTAATTTATGTCTAATTTAATGCTAATTTATACTTTCCTAATTGACTCAAGATAGCTGTGTGTTGTAAGAGTGTCCTTGCTAGAAAGGCTTTCTTTTTGACTAAAGAGGCATCACTTTCTTAAGCGCTTGCAAGATTGTTTGTATCCTATTCTTCTTCTTTCATGCTTTCTTCCATATTATAAATCACTCCAGATAAATATTTAGAACATTTGTCCAAAACCCATTAACTAAATATAGTTTATTTTTTGTACCACTAATATCCACATGCTTAATTGTAGAGAACAACGATAATTAAGTTTTTATCTATGGTTTTGCCACAACTTGCAGCATACTATGGATAATGAATATGGAATACTTCCAACATTTATTCTGATTATTAAAGTAACTTCATGGCTTCTTTGAACTTTTAGAGTTTAATTTTAATCACTGCTTGTTCATTGAGATAATTGATTTATTACATGAATTACTCTAATTTTAAGTTAATTTAACATAATATACCTTGGTTTTTGAATAACTATTTTAAACCATTTTCCTAAACAGTTTCAACTTCATCGTCTTCTTACTCTTCATCGTAGGATTCATCCTATTAATTGCTACTAGACATTTTTGAAATATATCAATAACTTAATTAAATAAATTCAATATCAAAATAACTGAATTATATATCATAATTATTTTAAGTTTTTTAGTGTAAAATAGAATGCTGAAAGTTCTGAATGAAAATTAGATTAGATATCTTTCAAATGCAATTACGAAGTTTATTTGAACATTGGAAGATCATCTAAAAAGTTGGTGTATATCTATTCGACCTTTTATTTATTATTGCTTAAAGTATATTTAAGCTCCTCCAACTTTGATTTCCCAATATTAATGTTATTAATTTATTAAGAATCTTTGTAAATTTGATCCTTTAATTCTCTATACTCGTTAATAATTTTCAAAGCCTAAACGTAATCTCTAATACAGGTTTCAAGTCGATAAATGAATGTCTCTTTTAGGTGCATTTAGAAATTTTCATATATTTTTGTTATCCTTTTTAATTTCATGAATTCATCATTTTATTAACATTCAATTACTAAAATATATTGAATTGCCTTACTGAAAATTTCTTGACTGATTATCAGTGATTTTGATTGAATTTATAATTTTTAAACTATTTTTTACAAATCTGAATATATGATTTCAGTCTATTATTTGCTTAATTAAATTTCTTTCGAAACTCAAGATTATAAAAAAATGTTTACTTTCATCGAAATCTAAGTCCTATTTATCAGGTACTCTCGGTAAGATTGTAGAAGATCCAAAACTCACACATTTTGAAAATAGTGAAACGAAAGAAACTCCAGTGTTCATTATTCTATTAATTAATGTATTTTAATCTCTAAGTTTATTAATGTATTCTTAAAAATCATTGAAATCCTATATTAATAACTTAATAAATACCTTGAATTCTTTGCTAATGAATTTCTATAAAACATCTGAATTTCTTAATAATTTATGATCTAATAACTTTTACATGTAATATAAAAATTCATATTTTCTATTGTTTATTAAATACATATACCTTTTATCTTTATCATAATTTTGTGTTTTTTCAGGTAAACTGGGTAGTATTCTTCCGATGTGTTTAGTTTCTAACTCATTTTATAGCCATTCAAAATGTGAATATCTACATATTTTATTAGTAATACCTTCTTGTAAATAAATGGTTTTCTTCTATACCATGGATCAAATCTGTTTTGATAATTTCGAATGTGTATTTAACTGTTTCCCAGGCTCTAAAACATTCAAAATAAATTATGTTATAATTACAAATGAGGTTCAGTGTCAGTACTTTTGAATTATACTTTGTAGGAAATCGATTTTGTCTCCAGTATCGGTGCTCTTTTTATTACATCACTGATGATTTAAGATGTCACAATTTGATCACAATATTCTGTCATTAAATAATATAAATTTATCAAGTGAAAAATTTTTTCTTCAAATGAGACTATGTAAACACTTATTTGAAGTTGATCTTTTAATTTTTGCAAGTATTATTGTTGAAAAAATTATTGGCAAATGTGAAATTACATTCATCCTCCTTGGTTGGTATGGAATCCTCTATTTTTGGCAATTTAATGCGTTTATTATAATTTTAAGAGATGGACTATTTTATTTCAACATTCTTCGGTTTGATGGATTCCTGCTAACTTTACGGTTGAACAAGAGATCTAGAGTTCTTTTTAAAGTCACTGAAGTCCAATCTTGGTTTAACTTTGCGACTTCGATTTAAGGATTCTATAATCTACTATTTTTGGTTTAATGATCGTTTTAAATTCTCGTTTTCCCTCAATATCAATTATATTTGATCAATAGGAGATCCATTTATCATTTCAGTGGATATTCTGTAGGATTTAAATGAATAAAGTTGCTAATTTAGATAAGGGCTTCATAATTTAGAGATCATACTTAGAATCACATTCTGTCATTGTTGGCGTCGTAAGTGCCTGTATCTATAATCTATGAGTCTGCGTAGGCTACTATGCTGGATTATTGATCTTATTATATACCCATCTATTATTTAAACGAGAGTTGCTTTGGTTTAAATAGCTAGCTACTCTACTAAGTCAATGCTGCATAAGATTTAGAATGTTGTAAATCCATTCTTTAATTTGATATTTTATGATTATATAATTAATTAACTCATATGAATTCCCCTTTTCGTATATCATCAGCTCGAAGATCGTCTGGATGTAGGAGTGAATGCAAATAGCATTTCTTTACAACTAATAAATGTAAGGCAAATGTTATATTTATTATTAGTGATTCTTAAATAGCCCAAAGATAAAGAAAAACTAGAAGAAACAGTTATGCATCTCAAATTGCAAATCAATTTATTGAATGATAACAATGCCAAGCTCAGATTTGAAATCTAGCATCTTCAAGTAATTGCTTATACAATTTAATTAGAAATAATTGAATAAGCAGGAAAAAGCATTGCAAATGAATAAGAAACTTCACATTGACTCTAAGATGCAAACACAGTAGAGTGATTACACTAAAGCATTTAATGAGGAAATATTTAATATATCTTCATAGACTTGTTAGATTATCGCTTATTCTAAATAAATAAAAGAATTAGAAAATACTGTTTAACAAAAGAATCAATAAATTGAAGACCTCAAAAGAGACACCAGAAAAACTAGATATACTGAATTGCAAGTATTACCATCCATTTCATTATAGATTCAATACGATGTTATTTAAAAAGAATATGAAGAATTACTGAAAAAGTATTAAGCCTAAAGACATATCAGGTAATTTAAATTAATATCTCTTGTCTAGTTAATTTGCTAACAATGATGAATTAAACAAAGATAATATTTATCTATCTAAGTAACTTTATGATAACTAGTAACTAATACAATAGTTGAATGCAAAAATTAAGAAACTTGAAACTGAATTACACTAAAGTAATTTTAGGCGATAATAAATTGAAAGGCTTATTTAAGAAAAAGATAAGGAATTAAGCTTAACTCATTTTGAATATAGCAATCCCAAGAAAACCATTGCTGATCTTAATAAATAATGGTAGTAAAAATTAGATTTACAATAAATGTCATATTAGAGATAGGAATAATTGTTAATTTATAAATAAGAGTAGATAGCTGAACTAGAGAAGAAAATAACCGATTTAGAGTAATAATTGTAATAGAAAGACTTCTATCATAAAAAGGATATCGATAATTTGCATTTGGTTATAGCTACTTTGAAGGATTAAATATTTTAATTGGAGAATGAAGACAAAAGGAAGTCTTTACCTGTAATTGATTAACCTAATGAGTCATCCGATAGAAATAAAAAGCATGCCTCAGTAATCATAAATAAGAAAAGGATTTAGAAAGTTAACTTTCATGAAATCTCTTTAATGTTATTGGAATTATAAATGAAATTAAAATTGAATGAAATTCCTTTTAATAGATTAGATCAATTTATCTACTCAAAATCTGTAAAAGGATGTTTGACATTGTCAGATTTAATTGAAACTTTTAAATAATAGCCATTTGAATTAAATGATGAATAGGCTACTTTAATAGCTAGATTTATTATAGAACCAGAATAAGAAGAGTGGATCTATTACGATGTAAATTGTTCAAATGATATTGTCATTGCAATTAGTATATTTAAAAATCTCATAAAACCATATGAATTAATTTCAGGTGAAGAGCACAAAGTATTAGATGCATAACTATGCTAAGTATTATTATAGAGATAAATTAGGTGATGAAATAATACTAAAATAAAATTGTGTCATATTTGCAATTGCAGGGAGATCATTGCAATATTTAAGAGTTTAGGAAAGCTCTTGATTATAACGATGTCAACTTATCTCCAAAATTAGACGATCTCTTAATGATGAAGATCTATGAGCAGTTCAGATAACTAAGCAAATTTAAATACTCTATTATATTTGATATATTAAAATGATCACAAGTATCTTAATCGATTCTATATACTTACCTGTATATGTATATATATAAAATTTTAAATAAATAAAAATCCTTTTTAAAAAAAATTATTATGGCTGAATAAGAATCTGTGGCCACAGTCAAATTTGCAAACCAACCTAAATTATTTGGAAAATGGGATTATGATGAAGTACAAGTGACAGATTAATGCTTCAAAGATTATATTGCAGTTCAAACATCAAAATCAAGAGTGTTTGTTCCCCACACTGCTGGAAGGTATATAATTGGCATTATAATGTTTATAGATATCAAAGAAAGAAGTTCAGAAAGGCTTAATGCCCAATAGTTGAGAGATTAGCTGGTGCACTTATGTTTCACGGCAGAAATACAGGTAAGAAAGTAAAGGCTGTAGCAATAATCAGACATGCCTTTGAAATAGTGCATTTATTGACAGGCAAGAATCCACTTGCAGTATTGTCATTAGCTGTCTAAAGAGGTGGAGCCAGAGAAGATTTCACTAAAGTAGGAACAGGTGGTGTTGCCAAATAATAAGCAGTTGATGTTGCTCCAATTAGAAGAGTTAATGAAGTAAGGAATTCAAATATATTAAAAAGGCTGTTCATAATTTAGCCAAGGGAGTCAGAGATTCTGTATTCAAGAAGATGAAAACTATTGCAGAAGCCTTAGCTGATGAATTGATTGCAGCATCCAATGAAGATGGATAAAAGTCATACACTATTAAAAAGAGAGACGAGTTAGAGAAAGTTGCCAAAACCAATCGTTGATTACGATCATTAATTATATTTTAGTACAATAGAAAATAAACATATTTCAATAATATAAATAGTTTATATAAAGCAAGAATATCTAATTTTATTTGTCACATTACAATTATTCATTATCTCTGATAATCAAATTGAATTTAATTTATTCTTCTGGAAAATAGATGAATTCCAGAGAATTTCTATTAGTCTCAGGATTATAATAAAAATTTGAGATATTATCAATAATAATAAATATTGAATAGCTAAACTAAGGATTATGAAATCAATTGTATTTTATATGGTTTAATGACTATGCTATTATTACCGACGTTTGACTTCGTTCCCTCTTGTATTCATTATCTGAAACAAATGGATCTTAAGACACTTAGAGCATATCTTAATAAGAATATTGAGGTTTATATATTCTCTTCAAGAATGATTGATATTCATCCTATGATTGTAAATCCTATGGAATAATTATTGATAACAAAGTCTAAAATTCTTGATCTTTCAAACTAGATCCAGTGTGTGCAGTGAAAAACATCTTCAATTTTTATTCAAAGGATCCTCTTAATAAGATACTCAAACAAATCAAGAACTCTCTAAAATCTAGCAATTCTGTTTTATTTTCATCAAATAAATTAAACACTAATTCATATTTATGTCGATCTAAAATTTGATACTTAGTTTAATGCTAATGAAATTATTCCTAAAGAAATCTATATAATTAGATCATAATACCATAAGATCAAGAAATGCTTCCTTATTTATACCATACTTCTGTAACTTAACCTGCTATATCTACAAATTTTATAGATAATCAGTATCATCATCAGAAGAATCAGTTAATTAAGCTGATTATTTAATACTTTGTCTATCATGTCTACTTATGGATACACTCCTTGATTCCATGCAATACTTTTTAAATTCATTCTAGATTTCTAGGATCTCTTCAGTGTCAAAATTGGTGATTTTCTTGAGTCTAAAGAGTATTAGTTTCTCATTATTAACCCAGGATCTGCTTGTTTATGAATAATATTGTTCTATTTATACTTACCTTTCAAAGCTAGTGAAATAGGCACCCTCTTTACTGAATATTTAAGATAAATCACTATATTTAATATCTAAAGATAGTATATATAAATATACTCTTTCCTATTTCTTCAATGATTCCTTACTTAGTTAGATCAAAAGTTCTTGATGCCTGAACTAAAGAAAGAATGATTGCTTGATCAATAGGAATGAAAGAGTTCCTTTTGAACATTTCTCCCCAAGTGACTAATAAGGAACTTGTATTTAACACTTATAACATCAAAGTTAACAACATTTGAGGTCCTGAAACATCTAAAAAATTGCTTAGTTAATCAAAATTTTATAAGTTCAAACTTTTTAACAATGTTTTCAAAAAGTAAAGTTCTGCTTAATAACCAATCAAAGTGGCTCCCTATGAGTTGGAGTAGAATCTTGGAGGAATGATTTATTTGAAAATGTAATTCATAATGTGAAATGCTCCTTCTTCATCAGAAACACACAACAAAATTGTTGCTATCTAATTCATTCCTTAGCAATATCCAATTATTGGATAATGTGTAACAAATAGCTATAATACTTTAATAATTGATTCCCTTATATATGTTTGATCATAACCTTCCTAACATTAGGTAATAAACTCTCTTAAACTATAATTAAATAAAAAGGCCTCTGATCTTCCTGTGATAACATCTTTATCAATAATTTCCCTGTCGCTTTCGGAAATACCTATTTAAATCTTAATTTTCCTTTCCTGTTTCCCAATCCATTTTGATTGAAGCAATGATCTAGTATTCCATTTGAGTCCATATTCTTAAATTAATTTTTGATAATATGAATAATCTCTAAAACAGTTATCACACACACGTTATGGTAAATTGAAATCTTTAACAAAATCATTTGGTTTGGCATATAACTAATTTTAAGGTATTTATACTTTAACACGGTTTTCACTGCAATTAATGCAAACATCTTGGTGACACATCTTACATCTATAGCTTTTTCTCAACTTTCTTTATTAATATTGTAAATTCTTACAATGCTTATAGATCCTTTGCACACACACAACATTTCGATTTTTGAAAAAATATCATTTATTATTATATAATTTATTGTTTCATAAATGTGTAATTTCAATAAATAATAAATAGAATATTATAATTTATCAATTTTATGGTATCACTTACTAACAAATTTTGAATATCTTATTATTCTGACAGAAATGGGTCATTGTAAATAGACTCATTCATTTTTGAGTGAATAATTTTTATTTAATATTGTTTTTATTCAGACGTATGACGTAATTACTGATATGTATTTATGAAAACTAAATGTATGACTCTTCTTGCCCCTATGAAAAAGAGATTAGAGTGCTGCTATAGAAGTTGATTTGGCTAATCTCTATTTGTTTGAATTTAAATTTATATTAGATTCAAATAAGTATGAAAGGGCATTTTAAGTATTGATGAATACGAGACAACATTTGAAACTAAACTATTGAGATTATTTTATGCTTAAATTCAAAATTATAAAAAAGATTGCTAATACAGATGGTCTTTTGCTGAGAAGAATAGTTTTTGATTATACTACATTTGTTTTAAGTTCCTAAACTAATTTAGAGAACATTATTTAATATTTTTGTCAAATTGATAACAAAACCTTTTTAACAATTCATTTTAATTCTTAGTAAGATGTAGCTAGTTCATGTTAATTCAATAGTAAAATCATCATTAAGTTAATATCATCACTTAAGGATATATCAGGATATAAAATAGAATTAGAGGGATTGCATTAAAAATCTTTTGAAAAAATGAATGGATAATCAATGAATATTTGTCGCAGAGAAATGAATTTTGTCTTTATTTTAGTCATATTTTACCTGAATTTGTCATTTTTATATATGAGAATGAATTATTTTGAAGTTTAGAATATTAATTTAATATTGGGTCATATTTTAATGCCATTTTCATTTATATACAACATGAAATATCGAGTATATAATTTGTATAATTTTAATTATCTAAAATTATCGTTGTGAATTAACGTAAGTTAATGTTAAATCCTAATCCCAAATTACGAATGATTAAAAATAATAAATAACAAACACAAAATGGCATTAACCAAGGTCGTTCTTCTTTGTATTCAAAATAAGAAATAATTAACAATTACTCATGATTAAATATATAAACACTTCTCCTAATATGGCTAAATCGAGAAAGTAAACAAACTTAATATTCTTAGATTTTGATATTCGAAAAAACACAAATTTGGAAAGTCTTCTTGGAAACCAAAAACAAAGAAACTGCCTAAAATTTAATAAAATAATGTAATAATAATATTTTGAACATGGATAACTCTTTGAGGATGTAATTATATCCCAGCAATCTAGAGAATGTCACCTTTTCTGATTCCAATTCCGCTGGCAAAGGTAACTTTCTTTATAAACCAATTTTTAGATTATTCCAAATCTAAAGAGAAACGAGATTCCTATAATTCAACTGATGATGAACAAACTTCAGTAGGCAGCTAAGGAGAATAAAATCCAAATGGGAATTCGACGAAAAGTTACCAATAATAAAATATTTAATAATCGATCTATTAATACTAATAACACTTATAACAAAGACTATATGAATAATAAGTACTTTAGATGAGATTGTAAACCCAAAGTTTAGATCTCCAAGTCCCTGATTATGTCAATACTATAGTCTCAGCCCAATGGGTTGACTAATTTGTATAACTGGGAAAACTACTACAATCATAATATTTACTTCAATATTAACTCATTGATAATTATATCAATTATATCAAGTAAGAATCTGCTAATGCTTTGTCTGAAATCCATAACTAATAACGACAACAATAATTATAATAATAGTTGTAAATTAATAACACTCTGAATCAAATCTATCATGTTGAATAGGAAGAGAAATCTAGAGTCATCGTGGCCAAGTCTTTTGATGACTCTGTTACTACCATCGACATGCTCTATAACATCTTCAGTATCTATGGAAACATCGACAAAATGGTATATTAGAAAGACAAGTCCACATTGTTGGTCGAATACCATCTTCAGAAATGTGCTGATCAATGCATTGAGAAGTTGAATAATGTTGTATTCCAAGGCCAAACTCTTTAAGTAATATTTCAATAATATTTTAGATTACCTATTCAATTCTGTAAGAAATAACATTCTTAGATGAACTTGAAGAATTGGGATTGGTTGAGAAGACTTTCTATGAGGAAAGATTCATTGGATCTGAAGCCACTAATAGATATAAACCAAAAAACTCTTTTGTTGCTGCTTCACCCAATGATACAATCTTTCTGATGAATTTATCAGATGAATTACTCAACATAGAAAGTATTCAACCTCTTTTGGAAACAGAATTTGTTGATTATAAGTAATTTCTATTATCATATTTTAGGTTTTATGAGGATCCAAAATAAAAACATAGTTGTGCCTTAAAATTCAAAACCGTTGATGATGCTATGTATTTCTTAGCTAAAAATCATGGCAAAGTAATGGCTGATAGAAAAATCTTAATGACTTTTTCCAAAAAGCCTATGTGATTCAATTATTTTATATTTATAATTTATTAAAGTTTAGTAAATTAAAATTTCTTTATTTTATGAAATAATAATAGATTCAAGAGGATTCTGACTCAGAATACAAACAAGAAGTTGTTGACAAATCTATCAATGATAAAGAGACTAAAGTCAAAGTCACCTATAAATAAGTCTAAGTTAGACCTGGAGTGTTGGAAAGATAGAAATGGGAAAAATGGGGAGAGGTTTCCAATCTACCAAGAGGCTAATTCAGAGAAGGAGATATGCTTGTTGAAGCTGAATTAAGAATTTAAGCAGCAAATAATTAAGAGGAATGCAATTTTGTTATCCCTCCTCCTAAATAATTGTTTGTGGTCAGTTTTGATAAAGAGTCGTCTAAACCCTAAGCAAATCAATAAGTTGGTATTCATATTGAATATCAAAGGTCCTCGTTAAATTGGCTAAAGTATCTAATTTGAATAGGCTCCTGCTTCCTCTTAATGGTTAGTTATTGTGTCTAATCTTGTGCAATTCGAATATGCTGAAACATTCTAGGATATCATAAGTAATTCCAATTTTAAACGCAATTAGGAGCTAAAGATGATTTCAGAGGATGGTTGAGAAAACAATTAGACTAAGAAGAAGGCAGATTCAGTTATTATATTAATTTCTTGTAAAACAGAAGAAAGTAAAAGGTGTATTCTTTGGATGGTTTAAATTCTCATTAGCCTTTGATCTAAAAGGTCATGTTGAAATTTTAGGATAAAAACAGAGCAGAAATTGCACTTGAGAAACTAAATGGCAAGAGTTATGATGGTTGTATTTTGCAGTTAGAATTGTAAGAATAAAGACCTCGTTGAAAGTTTTATCGATATCATTTATGTTAAAAAACATCGAATTATCACTTTTTCAACCCTCCTTTGCCTTCTTTACTGCATTTTAAAGAACAAAACCAAGGCTCTTTTCAGGAAGAAACTCTTTTAGTTTAACACATTCTAGATGAAACAATTGTTTTGATCATAATTAATTATCGCACATAACCATTGATACAAAAGAAGGCTGTTAACATTTACAATACAATGGTTCATTTTAAATAGCATTCCAAAATATTTCTTTAATTAACTCAATTTCTTTATTAATTTTCTTTCTCTTCTCTTTCTCCTATTTACTCAAGGTCAAGAATCCTTTTTTATGATCGTTTGCATTACTAGACTTCACGTTCTCCTCCATTTACTCAGTTTAATATAATATTTACTTAAACTGCTTTGTCAGCAACTTTGACAGTTATTTTAAGATTCTCTTATGACTATTTCACACTTTCCTCATACAATTGATCTATTTCTTATTTTGATTTCTTCAATTACTTGTTATTGATTTTGTTTTCTTAATTTGTTTGAGTTTTTTGATTAACTTTTTGTAAGTTTCTCATTTAGTTCTTTATTTTATCTCAATGTTCGAATAACTACTTGTGTCCTATGACTTTTTTTATCAAAATAATCTTACAATTATGTCAAAGAATAAGTATACTTAATATATATATAAATTAATTAATTGTAATAATCAAAATAGTTTTTCAATAGCTAACTTTGGTTCATTATATTTTAAGAATTCTCGTAATCTAAATGTTGATTACAAGACTAATCTGCAATCGGGTGCAGGCAATACTTATTCAACTAAAAAGTCATATAAAGTCTTCAATTCTTTATCATCCTTATTATCATAATATGGAATTATTGGAATGCCATTTTCCAGATGAACTCCAAATGAATATGCTGCATTATCAACTAATACTATGTCTTTAAGATCTCTATTAAATATTTTCAAATCCTTTATATGCACTCCGTCTGGTGATAAAACACATTTGTCTCTAAATAATTATGCTGAAAGTAATTAATTTTTAGGATCTAAGTATTAAATCACCTAACTAGCATAACATTGATGAGATGCAGTGAACACAATAACCTCACATATTTAACTTAGTTCTTAAAGAATCCATTTTGCAAAGGGTCTAATATTAATACCTGCTTAGACTGTATCACCTGAAGGGAATGTTATAGGTAAATATACATCTGCCTTTAGTGATTAGTTTTCATTACAATGAATCAAAGTTTCATCAAGATCAAAAACTACTGTTTTTTAATCTAATATTATCTTAGTAGTATAATACATTTGCAATTCAATTTTGGTGGTAAATTTAATATTTTTGATTGAATGATCTCTTTATCTGATTCTTAAAGATTCATGCAGAAACCAACACAATTGAATGTCTAAACGGCATGATCCTTGAATAATTATTACTCACATGTTTAAGGATATTAATGCTTAAATGCTTCAACTAAGGAAGAAACGTAATAGATTTATTCTATATAGATATAAGATCATTACTTTTTGGTTTAGCAGATTACACTCTGGTTGATGGTGACAAAGACTTTGTCTATTTAAAAGGGGAAATGAGCGTTTTGGTTGGTCTGCTCACTTGAGTGATGAAATCATCCAAACTCACTTTTAAATTCTCTTTCTTATTGGTTTCATTCTTCTTTTTCAATTGTTATGCAATTTATTATGCGAATTAATTTGATGGGAATCTTTGATCGATTGACATCAGATTATATTTTTTCTATTTTGATTACGGAGTGGTTGTTGTTTAGATTAAAGGTGTAAGCAAAGCACTTGCTGACTTTTCTAATTAAGAAAAGTTGCGATGTAAACTATTTTTCGTTTTAGGCAATACCTATGAATTATTTTACATCTTTCCTTGCTCTTTCAGATTACTTTTTTAATACAAAAAATATTTCATCTTTTTTTGTTTACTATAAATGAATACTTCTTATGCAGTTCTACATGATTAAGGTGTATTATTTCTTGGCGTAATTGTTTGTTATTATTATTGGTTAGATGCTTATTGCTGTTATTAATTTCGATCACGTTCAACATTATTGTTTTATTATCTTCCTGAGTTATAGAGTTTGGTTAGAGTTTGAAATTGCTCTCTAAATTAATACTTCGATAGAAATACCTTGTAATATTGGCTTTTATTGGTTTTACATCCTATCTCGATGTAACAGATTTAATATTTTAGTTTTACATAATATTTATAATATAATCTATAAAAACATTTCCATAATTTAAATGATTCTTGTAATTGTGAATTTAGTCAATGGTAAACGACCAATTGTTACTCGTTCAAGAATAGGTCTTAATTTTATATAATTTAATAAGAACATCAATATCCAAAAATCCATGATATTCCCTTCTTGACTTTAATCGAACCAATCCACTTTTTGATTTGATCAGAATCAGCATCTCCTAACTCAATTGCTAATTAATAACATATTATTGCTTCTTCAAACTTCTTCATAGTTTCTAAAATAACACCTAATCATAAAACTGACATTTTTACCCTTATTTTTATAAGCCAAAGGACAATTAGGATCTATTCGTAATGCTAAATCATATTATTCAATTGCTTCTTTAAATTTTTTTAAATCCTGTAATAGAATGCCTTTATTTATATACACTTCTATGCATTACTTATCAATTTATAAAGCTTAGTCATAACATTACAAAGCTTTACTATATTACTTCAATTAACTTAAGCAATTTCCTTAAAGTTAGTTTAATAAAATACCTTTTAGTGTATATGCATTCACATATTTATTATCTAAAGCTATGGCCTTATCTAGTTATTAAATTGCTTCCTAGAATTTTCTTTATTATTTTAGACAATTTCCTATTATAGCATGTCATCATACCTCTTAAATGGTATGCTTTTTCATAATTTGGATTTATTTTTAATACTTCCTCTAAACAATCTAAAGCCAGATCATACTTTTTCATCTCACATAGAATCAAACCTAATTTAAATAAGAATCTATATGACTTTTGCCAGTATATGCCTTGAGAAGATTTGGATCACTTTTTATTGCTGAATCCATATATATGAGAGCATCTTAAAGCTTTTGTTAAGTTCTTAATATGTTCCCTAAATAAAGATGAAATTTTGTACCAACATTAAAATTGTTCAAACCGAAGTTTGGATCAAATTATGAGGCTATCTTAAAAGAATTTAATGCTTCATTTAGTTGCTGGCTCTCAAATAGTGCAATTCCTATTGATCTTCAAAAATCAATACCTTTACAATAATGTATAAAGGCCTTATTATATGTGATTTTTAAACCCTCGTTTAAGGTTTCTAGAGCTGCATCATATATTTTGAACTTTACTAAAAGAGTAGCTAAATAATATCAATTATATTGAACCTTTTCTTGCATATGCACATGTCTGTCTTTTATCATAATTTATTGCTTAATCATAAAGCAGAATCGCCTTTTCTTAATTATCGTTCAATTCTAAGGCATATGCTTAAGCAATGGTTAAGACTGAATTAAATGATGTATTTTTTTCCCATCCGCACCAGTTAAGTAAATCAATAGATAGATTTCTATTCAATTCAAGAGATTATTCTAGTAACGACTAAGCTTCTTAGCATTTATTCAATTCAATTAAGACCCAACCTAAATTATTATCAAAAATACTGTAAAAGAAAAGAGTCTTATAATCCTGTTAATTTCTATCTATACTTCTCTTAAATACCTAATCGGCTTTATCCCATTCATGTTCTTGCATATATTGTAATCCTATCGAATATCTTTGAAAGTATACCTATTTCAAATAATTGTTAAGATTGATTCAAGTATGACATCTCTAGATCAGGACCCTACTATTGGACACATAAAAAGGAATTGCCACCATTATTTGGAGTTTAATTTTTCAGTTACTCGAATGAAGTTAATAGCAGTTTGAGGTTCTTAAATCTTGGATCTTAGATCAATAGTTCACTTTCTATATGCTATAAAATAAAGTATACTATAGGAATTGTTTAATCCAAATTTGTTATTCCAAGTCAATGAATACATAAATCTTAACATTGATAAATTAGAACTTTCTCTTAATTCCTAATAGTTCTATTCTTCAAGCATCTACTAGAGAGTAATAAATTTGTTCTTAGTAGCATCTATTTCTTTTAATTATTTATCATAAATTGCTCTAACTTCTATAAATAAGCCCTCTAATTCTTTATATAGATTGGAGAAAGTGGCAATATTTTTTGTTATTAAACCAAGAATTTCATTGAAACCTTTGCAATCCTCCTTATGTTTTGAGTGTTTATCTTCTTCCTGAATACACTTCAAACAGAACTACTTTTGAGAACATTAACAGTCTGAGTTTAAGCAAAAGCCTTAAATGGGATCGTTTAAGTGATCAATATATGTACAAGAATAATCATTATTAAACATTTTATAAACTAATTAGTAGATTTTAATAAATACAACTCGATTATGAATTTGATTCTATTACAAGACAAATCGCATATTCTACATCATTTAGAATAATACCATTATTAAAAATAACATACCCTTTCAATTTTTAATTTGACTCACTAATTTTATACCAATATGGTAGCTCATTTTTTAGTATAGAAATTTAAAGGTCTATATTAAAATTTAATGGTATTAATATACATATGGATTTAGGTTCAAATAATTTTCATTCAGAGAATATTTTCAATTAAATTAAATAAAAATTAAATAATTCTAATTCAGTCACCTTAATATACCAATTATAGTTAGCATCCCTCAATTCCGATAAATTAAGTTACAGTTTAATAATAATGTATGTGGTATTGTAATTATTTACAAAGGTAAAAGAATCAATTTTATGCATATTTATTTTTCATTTTACAATTGAATTTACAATTTTTACATTACATTTGGTATTATTAATATTAAATTAATTCGTTTTTATTAATATGACCACTAAATAGCAAGAACATGAAGACTTCTTAGAGCAGTGCTTCAATGTAAGAGATCGAGGTTTGATGAATAGAAAATGCATTAAGTTAAAATTAAGTATTTTTAAACGACCTTGTAGACAAAGATGATTATATTATAGGTTTAAGTAAATCATTGTATTTATCAATAGAATGACGCTTTATTATGCACAATTGGTGAGATGACGCATCAATGAGAAATATTAACAATAATAAAGAAAAAAGATAAAGAATAAATGAACTTGAATAAAGCACAGTGAAGTGAAATTTATGATTTTATACATATCTATAGATTAAGCATTAAATAATTAATATATCTTTATTGATGAAACCGCAAGAAATACCACAGTAAGCTGCTTAAAGTGATCATGAGTTTGATAAACATCATCATCATGAAAGTTAGGCAGATGATCATGGCGATGAACACCACCTGCGAGAATACACTTCAAAGGAGTTGAGGAGTATCAAAATCTAGGGTGTTATTTGTTTAATTGGAGGGATTGCTCTGCACTTTGTACTTGGAACATTTTATCTCTGGGGTGGAATTAGTACGCATTAGTTATTTATTTAGGTCCATATGTTGGTGCTTACATGAAAGACAGGGATCCAAGTGTCACCTAATCGACACTTTAGATCATATTTCCTATATTAGGAATTGGATTATTTTCTGTCCTCTCGTTTGGAGTAAAATTGGCTCAACGAATCGGATACAAAACGATGATTGGATTGGGTGGCAGCATCATATCGCTGGCCTTTTTAATATTGTCATTCATAAACAATATTTACGCATTCATCTTCATATATTGTTTCATGGTTGGTATTCCATCTGGATTAGTATATATGTTACCCATAAGTAAGATATTATTAAACGTGTAGTTTGTGGTTGGAAATTCTTTCCTTTCAATAGAGGATTGGTGTCTGGTTTGATTATTGCTGGATATGGATTTGGAGCATTTATTTTTAATTTTGTGTGTAAGGCAATTTGTAATCCAAATAATGAGGAGCCAAGTATTCCATTTGAAGAAGATGGAAAAATCAAGAAATACTTCTCCAAAGATGTGTTTCAAAATGTCCCCTTCATGTTTCAGATGATGGCATTGTATCTAATTTTATATATATAATTTTAGATCCTATTTTATATTAACAATAATAGCCACATTATTAATTAAATATCCAAGAGATCTTCATCTTGAATATTAAGCTGTTTTGGGTGATGGAACCAAGAAACCAAGTGGAATAAATCATGAGAAATCAATTGATTATCATCCAACAGTACTACATGCAGAATGCGAGACTCTAGGTTAAGGAATCAAATCAAGACCCTTTTGGTTTTTGATAGTCATGGTTTTATGCTCAGTTATTTTTGGGTTATTGATGGCAAATTGTTACAAAGTGTTTGGTTAAACTGTAAATTCTAAATGATCTATAATTTTAGCTTGGGATTGATGACTCAAGTTTGACTGTTCTTGGATCTGTTTAATCAGTGTGTAATGGAGGATCAAGATTTTTGTGGGCTGTGTTATTTGATAAATATGGGTTTAAGAAACTCTTTTTAGTTATTTCAGTGATTAATCTGATTTGTAGTGCTACAATCGGATACATTAATAATAGTTATGCTGGATATTTTATAATTTTATGTTTGACAATGTTTTGTGAAGGTGGTCTATTGTCATGCTATCCTGCAGTTAGTGCTAAAGTATTTGGACATAAAGTAATTGAAATATTAATGTGTAGGTAGGACCTGTTATCTATGGAGGTTTATTCTTTGTGATAGGTATATCAAACATGTTGGGATACTTGTTGTACAAATTTGGAGAACCGAAAATAGGGTATAATGGAGTATTTTGGATTGTATTCGGATTTTGTTGTGTGGCATTTATCTTGGGTGTGTTATTTAAGGAGGAACATGAATGGAAAAAGGAAAAAAAATGATATACAAATTTGTATATAAGTGATAAATTAGAAATTTAAATAATATAAAGAGATGGCTGACACAAAAGGCTCAATGGTAGCACCACTATCTAAATATAAATTGGTTTTCTTGGGTGATTAATCAGTGGGAAAGACATCCATTATAAATCGGTTTATGTTTGATACATTTGATGGGAAGGATCATGTAAGAGAAAGTTAAATTATAAAATAAGCCAACAGTGGGAATAGATTTTATTTCAAAGACTCTGTACTACGAGGATAGGACGATACGTTTATAGTTATGGGATACTGCAGGGTAAGAGAGATTTCGATCATTAATTCCGAGTTACATAAGAGACAGTGCAGTGGCAGTAGTGTGTTATGATGTGGAAGGTAGGTGTATCGAATTATGTAGTAAAAACTTCATTTGCGAGCATAACAAGATGGATATCGGATGTTCGTTTGGAGAGAGGAAATGATGTGATTATATTTATAGTGGCAAACAAGATCGATGTGGATAATAGGTAAAGAATAGGTACTAAATGAAAGAGTGATATCTACTGAGGAAGGAGCGAATCTAGCAAAAGAATGTGATGCTCATTTCATAGAGGTAAGTGCAAAGACTGGGAACAATGTCGAATTATTATTTAAATAAATTGCAGCGACATTGCCAGGGACAGAAACATCTTAAATGGTAAATTCTGTAATGAACAACCCAAATCAATGTATGATATTTAAACATTCAAGCAAATAATGTAAAATTAGAGAACCAAAAAAACTAAGAGTCGGAGAAAGTCTAAACTAAGGCCTGTTGTTGAATCTAATAAATTTATGCTCATTAAACATTGAAATTATTTTTTAAAGCATTTAACTCACTTTACAATTGCACAATTTATTTGTCTTTCTTAGCCAAAGATAATTAGAGTTCTGCAATCTTCCTCTCATAAAACAAATAATTTCTACTCTCCTATTATAAGGATTGCACATCCCGATGATCACTAAGAAGTAGAGTTTCATTCACAATCGAATCGAATGAATTTTGTAATAAAACAAAGAGTGAGTGTTATTCACCTGTGTGGATTGACTTAATTATTTATTTCGTTATTATAGTACCATCCAACAACTCTACAGATCCATCCTTTTTTAATAGATAACAACGAGAACCAAACATGGACACTTGTTCTACATTGTTAAAATGATGTTTGATAGTATTGGATTTATCCCAAAAGACAGCTATACCATCGGGTGTGACAATTGCAGAGTAATCAGTATTGCAGGCTAATTATTTAATTATTCCATTATAGTGAAGCACCTTGCCATTCAAGGTTAACTAATTTGAATAGATGAATGTCTAATAATCTCCTGCTGCCACGAATTTTATATTCTAGTGTTCAATCTTGATTGGCACACAACTTTTATCTTTATTCACCAATAGTTGTCCTTTGTTGCCTCTTCCAAAAGAGTAAAGGAAATCAGATTGATAAATCAAGGTGTGATAAGAACCACAAACGACGTTACCTAAAGGGATTTCGAGTTGTTCTGGTTCGTTCCTTGGCTCGTAATCTCCTAGACCCAATTGACCATCATCATTGTTGCCCCATATATACATTCCATTGTTTGTTCTTATTACCATATGCCATTATCCACATGCTATTAATTCTACCTTTGGGATGTCTATCAGTTTAGTGATGTTAAAACCTAATTAGCATTGATCATTAACCCAAAAGACAACACTGCTAGGTTTCCAAAAGCAGAAGTGTAAAGTACCCTCCACAAGCAATGTTTAATATTTTGACACCATAATTGTGTTCCTTCAATTCGGTTTGCTACTGGGTTATGCCCAATTGTCCTTGTTTGTTTGAACCTTCAATCAAAAGAGTTGTTATTTGCTACTCCGATGATCTCATTTGAATTCTTATTTAATTAAATAAAATATTAATCATGAAAAGACACAGTATAGGCAAACGATTTCGCAAAGTCAAAGGTTTGCGCAAATCTGATCCCAATGCAGTCGTTCCTGAAACACCGAAACAATTGCAAGATTACATCGACATATTGACTTCGAAAGGTGTGTAGATCAATAAAGTTAAGTATGCGATCTTCTAAACCAAAAATGGTCTAAAATATCCAGGTCTCGTTGGTATTCCAATTATTCCATGATTTAGCCTCTGAGAAGATCTTGTCAAATGAAACCCTAGTCTCAGTGCCAAGGGATTTGCTACTAACTACAAGACATGCATTTGAATCCCCTCTGAAACAGATGTTTATTGACCACCCACAATACTTTAGCAATTAGTTCCAATCCTCATGGGAAGATCATCAATTAATGGCATTTATCTTGTATGAATATCAGAGAGGTCCTGAATCTGAATGGCATCTACTAATATCTAATTTGCCTCGAGACATCGATTACCTCGTTTTTTGGAGTCACGAAGAACAAGAGTTGTTGGATGATGAAAAACTAATCAAATTGGCCAGAAAACAATACTCAGAATTCTTACTTGAATACGAAACTCTCAAATGCATCACTGATAAATATCCACAACACTTCAAACCAGAAACTGTCACCTTAGAAAATGCCAGATGGGTCTACACACATCTCGTCACCAGATGTTTCGGCAAGTACTTAGCCTATGTGACTATGGTGCCTTTTTGCGAACTGTTTAATCATGAATGCACAGATGTATTCTATGATTTTGAATACAATGCTGACAATCCTCATAAGAGTGAAGAGAGTGAATAAACTCAAGTCAAAGAATTGAAAGAAGACGAAGAATTATCAATCACATCCTCTGAGGGTTCCTATCATTCTGAAGATGAGATTAGTGATTCGGAATATGTGACTGACACCTATGAGTAATTCAAAGAGTTTAATTTCGATGATTTTAGTGAATAATCAACGTAGAAATTTTATGAGGAATTCAGCAAGACTTTCGATATCAAACAATTAGAAAATGAGGAAGAAGAGGAATTCAATAAGAGAATCAAAGATTTGCAGGATCAATAAATCAAAATGAGGAAGGATTTTAATATCAAGTTGAATCTTCAAAGAGAAGTGTTCCTCTTGTCTCGAGATTGCAAGACATTTGTATTCTAAAACATCGATTATGGAGATAACTATTCCATCTTCTTTATCGGATAGATGTTCGCTAAATTGGATAAGTCTATCTAAGAGTACATCACTGGAGGCAAGGCTTACTTTATGGCCAGAGAAGATGTCAAAAGAATCTAACTAACCTGCAACACTTACAGAAACAACTTGTACGCCTTTCAGAAGGATGTCATGAAATAACCAATCTATCAAACCAGTTATTTCCAATAAAAAAGAGCCAAGGGACAAAATCAATCCATGGACACCGTTGAACAAATTCTATCTCAACCTTTAGATCCCGATTGCGAATATTATAAATAGGTGTGGGAGAAGGATAAGTTTGATAGGTTTGTCATGAAAGCATCGAGCAAGGATCAATTTGACAAGGGAGCTTAGGTTTATTTTTGTTATGGCAGACTGTCCAATAGAATGATGCTCATGAGATATGGAATGTCATTAGAATATAATAAATATGATCATGTGCATTTGAGAATCGAATATTTGAAATATCTATAAAGCAATGAAGCCATCTGGTTGGTCCATAAATATCAAATAAGCAAATTCAAAAAATTCAAATTAAAGCATACTACCTTCCCTCTAGATTTCATTGTGTTTTGCAAATCAATCTATTGGTAATCATATCCTCAATACTTTACATAGGACTTTCAATGTACATTCTTTGGATTCTTTTTTCAAGATCTAAGATCTAAAATTAGAAAGAAAAGCATTACAATTAGCCTTAGAAATATTAGTTGAAGAAATTTCTAAGTTTTCTGATAAATTAGAAGACAACGAGAAATTATTGCATGACAACACATTAGGATATCATGAATACTTTGCTGTTATTTATAGATTGGAAAGACAGAGAATTTATCATCACAATATTAAGTAATTTTGATAACTCACAATAGTCTTATTAAAATCTGTATTGTTGTTATTGACAGAATGCTAGATGGAGTGCCATTTGAATAAGCCACTGAAAAAACATAATTTGATTTCGATTATTGCGAAACAAATCGTATTATCTTAAAGAAATATTTTGAACAGATGAAATATGCTCTTTATTTACCTAAATGAGATGTTAATTTTAGTGTTAATATAAATTATATTATGAATTATCCAAAAAGGTTTTCGATTGGCAAAATGCATTAGAGAGTATGACTAATAATTTAATTCTAAGGAAAAAGGCATCTATTAAAAGGATGAAAATTGCACCACTTTGCCTCAAAATAAAAAAACACAATATCAAATAGATTATATTGAGTAAGGAGTGAAACTATAGGATGTGAGTTTAGCAACCTTCTATCTAAAGAACGGTTTGCCCTATCGAGGTTTGATAGGTAATAATGAGTTGTTGTAAATAGGGAACAGCCACAGAAAATATCCCAGCTAATTATCTTTTAGTCAAAGTTCCCCGCCAATTGATAATCAGCAGTCAAACTGCTTTTGAATCAAGTCAGAGAGCCTTCTTTTTTAAACACAGAGAATTTTTCTTGGATCATGAAGATGGGGAAGAACATGCAATCATAGCATTTTTGATTATTAATAAAAGGGAAGGAATAAGATCCAAATACTATAGATTTATTGAGTAACTACCCAAAGATGTTAACATGTTACTATTTTGGCCAGAAGAGAAATTGAAATTATTGTAAGATGAAAATTTAATCCGTAAAGTACACAAAAAGAGGGAAGAATATGAATAGACCTTATTAACATTCAAAAAGATATTGAATACAAATGAAGAGGAATTCTAATGGGCGTATACCAACTTATATACCAGAGATTTTGGACATAATTTAAAATACAAAAGTATGGTGCCCTTTTGTGAATTCTTCAATCATGAATGTGTTGATGTGCACATCACTCTCTTATCTGAAGATGATAAAAATAAATAGAACGAATTCAATAATAGAAAATATAGATCAAAGAAGAATGGAAAAAATTAAAGAGATTAAGGCTTCTATGCTGATGAAGAACTATAAAGTGTTTAATCCTCCTCGGATTCAGATAACTCTCTAGACCTAGATCAAGATGAATCAGATCTTGATTACTTTATTGCAGATCAAATCATAGAATGGACTACTTAAAAGGAATTATTGGAGTAAACATATGAAATCCTTAGGGATTATGTTTACCAACAAGTTATGGGTTACTAACAGCAGTCAAATGGACGTGCTCGGAATGTAGCAAAGAAGATAATAAATTGGAAAGAGGATGAAGATTTTGACTACTTTTGTATAAACTCTTAAAAGACTGAGAATTTTAAAAAGGGATCTCAGGTCTACTTTAACTATGGAAGACTATCAAATAGAGAGCTATTATTAAGATATGGAATTGCCTTAGAAAAAAATAAATATGATCATGTCTATTTGAGAATCAAAACTGCAGACTTATTAAAAAGTGGAGTGAGCAGAATATTTTAGAAACAATATTTATCAATTAAACTAAAATACACTGAGTTCCCTTTTAATTTGCTTAAACTTGCCAAGGCTATTAACGAGTAATATTTAAAATAGGTTGTAGAAGTGAGAACCGAGATTGCTATGATCCTCAGAGCGTGTTGAACATCATTAATATTTAGACTGAATTGAAAGGTTAAGAGTTCTCATATTCCTAGGGTTGGCAAAATCTATCTAGTTACTGCAGGAATTTAAAGCTGAGTTCAAAGAAGATCTTTCTAAAGGTGATCTCTTATTAAAGGATTAAAAATTAGATTATGATGAGTATTTTGCTTTGGTTTATAGATTGGAAAAACAAAGAATCATTCAGCACAATATTATATTACTATAATTGGCTAAAGATATACTATTAGATCCAGAAAGACTGGAATACACTTCTGGTTCTCATGAGTCATCCTAATATCAGTATACATATAGGATAATCCTGAAAAAATACTTAAGTTAGATTCTCAAACAATGAAAACATTACTTCATATATATATAGTATATTTTAATTATTTATGATAATATAATAATTGCATAAATATTATCGATAGTAATAATTAAGATTGATTTAGAGTACCTGCAAACTTACATGATAACAAAATGCACATGAAAGGTATACGGTTCTCATGCAAATTTAAGTAATCAGTTTATAATAAATTAATACTAATATAATTCTAAAATATTATGGGATTTCATTAAATATTTTATTTAATAAACATCTAGAATTTATATTTACTTACAATTATTTATTTAGAAAATGAGGATAGTTACTTGCTAAATTGAGGAATCTCTAAGGAAGCGAAATTGCTAATTGTATTGCAACCTATAAATGAAATGATTATGCAATTAACTAAGAAAATTCTTAAATTTATGGTATCATAATTATCAATATAGAAAGTATATGAAAGAAGTAAATGTATCAAAACAGAAAATTAGACAAAAACTTTGATTTTCTATGTTCAATTGAATGAGATAAAATTTTAAGATCAAATAATCTTAGTATAATAAAATCATTACATTTAAACAAAGACATAAAACAAAAAAATGAGAATAAAGTAAATGAATTTATAATGAAGTATTTATAATTTAAGAATATATTGTTATCTCAAACATAATTTTGAGTTAAGTATTTATATCAAATGAAATATTAATAAATATTTTAATTAGTATTTACGTGTATTGGATGGAATAACAAATACTTCTTTAAGCCAAGATAGCATTCTTTTTAGGAAATTTTAATAAAGTGTTGGAAATATGGTAATAAAATGACCATGATGATGATTACTATTACTTTTTGGTTTCAAGAGCATTAATTGCAGCTAGAGAATTGAAACCAAAAACCATACGATTAACAAAGAAACCATCTTCCAAATTGTTGGAGATCACAGATATTGTCAGCAGATTTATGGGTCCACTAATTGAATAACAGAAATCAGATACTACTGTAGATGAGGATAGAAAACAAATTGAAGATGTATTGAAAAAACTTAAAGACATCATTCCTCAATAAAATTAGAAAATGATTTAAATCATATGTGCATATATGTCTGTGAATTCATGTGAAGCACAATATGCACTTTAATTGGATATGCCAAAAGATGCATTTTAATAGGAATTGCTATTTCTCTAATTTATGATATATCTAAGAGGAAGAAGATTTGACTTGGCAGAATCCACTTTACTAGATCTCAGAAGATTTGATGATGAAGACATCCTGACTTATCTTGCTTAAATATATCTAAATGTACATAGTGTTATATTTCTCTCTAGTTATACAATGGATAACCAGAATAGGCATATAAATCAATCTAGGAGACCAAGGATAGATTTGGAGATTCTTCAAAATTGATGAATTTGATGATCACCTGTCTAATTCAGTATGATATTCTCAAATAAGCATTTTAGTCAAAATAAATTTGAAGAGGCTTTTGAATTAGGGTAAAAAGTGAAAACGCTGATAATTGACAACGAGCAATTTTCAGACCGTCAAGAAATTGAAGTTTGTCTATCGAATCTAATTATTTTATGCGAATTGTTGAATAAATAATAATAGAAGGAAGAGTACATTTAAGTTTTGGAATAAATAAATAAATCGTGTCATTTCTTAAAGAGATATTAAGAGAAGGTGAAGAAGATTGAACAATTATCGTGATATTTTATAATCTATATGTTTGAATAAACAATACGATAAATTAGGTGTTGTAAAACAATAATATAATTTATATGTATAACTTCAATATTCCCCAACCAGATCTCTGTAATTCAATTTCTAATTTATTCTTCTCCTCAAACTTCGACTACCCAATGAAGATTGCTCTTAAACCTTTGGAGTAGGAATGTATACTTACTTCTTGTTGTTGTTGCGATTGTTGACTTTATTATTGAGAAGAAGTTATGTGCTATTGGAATATTTGAGGCGGAGATTGCATTTATAATTTCTTAGCCTTTTTAATCGAATTTCGAAGGAGATCCAAATCTACTTTGATTTCCTCTTCTAACAAGTTTAATCGATAGGCTAAGACTTAATCAATATCACTTACTGTATTGTATTTTGTTGTCCTTCGTGGCCACAAAGGTAATGTTCTTTTCTCTATTTCTAGCATCGTCTTGTTCAGTAATGGGACGCTACTTCTAAGGAGGCTGCTGCTCTTCTTGTTTCTTCACTGGTTTAGTTTTCTTGATGTTCTTGGAACAAGTTAAACAATGATATGGAGTGGTTTCTGGTTCATTTTCAATATTTTAATTTCTATATTTTTATTCGCAGGCAATGTGATTCTATTTTTATTATAAATGTTGCATACCCATTTTTAGCATTGATCGCATTAAACCCAGCCAGCCTCGTCATCGTAAGAGCCGTAAACCTTTAATAAATGAAATGAGGATATTGATACTTGTTCGCAAAAATCACAAAAATTTCCTTTATTATATAATTTAGAACATTTGTCACAAAAGAATAATATATCATGCCTCTTGGATTTGATTTTCTTGTCCCCAACATTCTTACACTGAACGTTGTAACATTTCTTAGTAGGTTATGCTGGTTCATCATCATCTACTGTTATAGGGTTCTCTGCATTGTTTTTCATCTTTTGAGCTGAATTCCCCTATGATTGATTGTTTAACACGTTCAGCTATTGCTATGATTACCCAGGATTTGGTAGATATGGTAGCATATCAATCCCATTCATCAAAGGTGGAAAATCTAAGAAATTAGTCCAACAAACATAAATATAAGTAATATAATGCCAGTATAAAGAGTATGGTTATCCTTACTTAGTAAATTCTAGGCTTGAAAGCAATCCTTCAATTATGAGTTTTAATTCATGCACTGCATTAAGTTTGGGGTAAGCAGCTATCTCAAAAAGTATTGCTATATCTCAGATCCAAACAGCTGAAAAAGAGGTTGATTGCTAATATAATCATCGGTATTTCAAAATATAATATATGGATATCAGTAAATAGAATGATATGTTTAGATGTAATGTCATACCTTTAAAAAAGAAATGATTGATCAAATTCAGAGCCATTGCTTCCGAAACAAAATGGTTGATTATTATTCTTTCCTTGACTCATTTTTTATATTGTTTAAATTAAAAAGAACCTGAATTATATAAAATACAACCTTGTAATAAAATGTATGTAAAACTCATTCGATGATATTTTTAATTAAAATTGTTCTATAAATCTATTTATAATATTTTTCCCATTTTTATTATATTGTATTTTAAGAACTTATAACTTGAATCATTTAATAACACCATAATTAGAATTAGATTTTGTTATATAATTCAATTTGAGATGCAGCTCAAAATATTACTCTAAAATCCATTTTCCAATTACTGACTATTAAATAGAAATCAGCCACTATTAAAAGTAAATGTATTATAGAACAATATCATCTAAAATCCAACATCTCTTTCTCCATTTTATTAGCACTTAACTAATAAAAGATTAGAGTATTAGAGTATAATACTCATAATATATACTCTTAGATTTCAGCAAAATAGTAAACTTAATTCATTTATTTGGAACCAGACATCATAACTAAAGAGTCTACAAAATGAATAACCTCCAAAGTGTAAATATGAAAATTGCAGGTTAGTATTACAACGACATAATTAAGCTATGAGTTCATTTTGATATATATAAGAATCTATTCATTATGAATGTAGTAGAAATAGGAGGATATAGATTAAAAACTGTGAAGTGTTCTAGATATTACTTAATATTTGATAGTGTTCAGTATAGTAATGGAATTTTGCCTATGAGATATGGAAATTTGGAACTTTATATAGAAAAGAAATTACATTTGATTTAACCAGATTGAATTAATTTCAATATGATAATGATCACATTTTTGTAGAAACGGATTAAATTTATTTTGAAAATAAGAATTATCTAAAATATTAACAGGAGACTCTGTTTAAATATAGATAGACTACAATTATTGATTGATATTCTTCCCAAAGTATCTCATGATAGGATAATGGAATTATAATCTCTTAAGCTCTCTTCCTACTAATTTTAATAAATAATCAGTTCAAGTAAATTAAGATTTAATAGCTATTTGTTTTAATCTGTACAGTTCTTAGAATACAATATGAAAAGTATCTATAATTATATAGTCAATCTAATGACATTTTAAAATAAAAAGAATTAAGAATAATGTATTTCCTATTAAAAATCATATGACATATTCAATGTGGAAATAATTCAAGTATTTTATTAGATATACTTTAAATCTCTTTGCTGTTTACATTGTGAGTCTCCAAATAATTGAGTGCGTACTCTCTTGATTCTACATCTGCTTCCATCAATTTTAATAGGGAGTCTGTCACATCTCTCACTAAGTCAGGATAATAAAAGAATTCCATCAGAATTTCTACTATTTTAACTGTTTCCTAATTTAATCTCTTATTAATCATACTTCCAAGGCCACATAGATGGCTTCATTGTAGTCTCTCAAGAATTTGCAAAGAGTTCTACCATATTATTTATATTCATCATAATTTTCTAATCCTCTTGGGATCAGTTTAGCCAAAGCAATAACGACCCTATGACCAAGCAAGTCATCTAAAGTTTCATAGCTATTTGACAATAATTTAGTAATGATAATAAATCCATCAGGGTAATCTGCAATATTAGTTAATGCTTATTTAACATCCTTACTGAAATCTTTATTTAGTAACGAAATCAATTTCTAGTATTTATTTAAATTGATATACTTAGATAATTTCATCATTTTCAACATGTACACATTACTTTTTGCCATCAAGATTAATAGTGCAATTCATGATCAAAATAGTTGCAAAATAAGCTTCTTCCAATAAGGGACTATCCAGATATCGATTGGCAACATTGATAGCATTTTCTCTAATTGCTTCTTCTTTGCCTTCATGATTAGCACATATTTTAGATAGCACTTCCAAAGACAAATAAGTTATTCTTTAAGTATAGCTTTAATCATAGTAATTCTCTTAAGATAGAATTTCAATGAATCTCTTAATGGTTCCACAATTTAAAAAGAAGAAAATGCCATTATCAAATTCTACGATTTTGGCAAATGCTTCCAATAAATAAACAGTAAATTTAGGATATTCTTTAGATTGCATAAAGGATTAGATCATTTTTTTAGTGAGATTAGATTTGCACAAAGATATCTACGCCATCTCTTCCAGTAATTATTCTACATAAAGCCCATCCACACTATTCTCTTGCATCATCAAATAATAATTTAGATAATCCATCAAAACTCAAATCGTCTAGTTGTTCTCTTCCTCTCATTATGCTTACTAAACATCCCAATAAAATGACTGCTTGTTTTCTGATCTAGATATCTTTATGATGTAAATATGCACTAGCAATTCCCACCAGACCTAGGTCTAAAGAGAAGGATTACCTTGGGATATCATTTAATCCTTCATTTCTTAATGGTCAACCATCTCATTTAATGTGATCAAGGCATCTCTATATTTAAAAGATTCAATGTTCGCCATGAGCAATATTTCAATCAATTTAGGAATGGAACGGTCAAAGACTGCATGATAAACCTATTCTTGAGTATGAGTATTACTTCAGAGGGATCGTATCTATCCTTGAAATCCGGTTCAACATAGGGATGTCTATCCTTGAGGTTTTCAGAAACTACGTGAAGTTTATAGCTTTGCATGTTATATAAATTATATCAATTTTAATTATTAAAAAGATCATTTCTCAATGATAAAAATTAACTAGCTAGTGCCATTATCAGTGATCGATGATTGGTCTCTCTCGCATTTGAATTAGCATTCTAATTAATATTTAAACTTCTCTATATTGTCTCTACATTTGATTGTTTGTATTATATAACATCTAATTTAATAAAATGAAGTACTCTTTTGTTAAGTATTAGTTCCTAGGGGAGCCAGTCTGAAACTATCAACATCTATTATCTCATCATAAACTTTATCCCAACCCAGATAATGGATGAACACCTACTTAGGCTAATCATTTTTTCCATATCTTATATCTTTTACTTCACCTTGACACCAAACAAAAACCGTGTCCAGAATATCTAATCTCATTCCTACAGTAAACTCTTTGACCCTTCCTCTCTCCTTCCACAATTCTATCTCTTATAATTTAACTTCATAATCTTTATTATTCTTCTGAGCAATCCCTATCCAGTAATCGATGGAAAGACAAGGAAAAGCAAAATCCCCCTTCAACTCTCTACTGCAAACTGGGCATTTTTTCTTTCATAAATATAAATAAATGTACTCGACATTTGAGTAGATGATCAAATAAGCATTTTTAACAGCAATTATGTTGGCAAGTTGTTGTTACATAATTAACATAAAAACATTTGCACAAACTGCAAATCTAATCTGTATTGTCTTCAGGAACATAAGGTTATTATTCTTTATATTCATATATTATACTTTGTTTTCTTGTTTGATACTCATCTAGATTCGTCTAAGCTCTTCTCTTTTTTAATATAAATTGCTCCAATTTCTCTGTAAACTTGGTCTTTCTCAATTCATCAATTGCATTCATTTTATCACTTTAATTATTTGTTCATTTATAAAAATGAATAAAGTTCTTCAATATAAACTTGAGATTATTAATTTAAGATAACAACATGTGTATAGAATAAATGCGAAACTGTTCAATCAAAATGCAGTTGAATAAATCCCTAGATCTGAATTTCAATGATAAAATCCCTCAGAATCCCAAGATTGCAAACTAAATGCAGGTATAACTGTTTTGAAGCACACTTCAATTGTGTGCATTAAATTGGCAGATAAGGACAAGGTTTATTCATGTTGTACGTGAATAATGTGAGATATTGTGAATATAAAGGAGCGTAATATTGAATCTATAATAAATGAGATTATTGTTTATTGAATATTCATCATATTATAATTACAATGAGATGTCATTGGTAGGTTTAATTAACAATTATTTATGCGCAAATAATATAAATGCTTGTTTTAATTATGGAAAATTTTAAATCTTTTTTTTAAAAGTTAATAACACATGGTAAATTTTTCAGTTGATCAAATCAGAGAAATCATGGACAAATAGGACAACATCAGAAACATGTCTGTCATTGCTCACGTCGATCATGGTAAATCCACACTCACAGACTCATTGTTATGCAAAGCTGGTATCATCGCCTCAAAAGTTGCTGGTGATGCAAGAGCCACAGATACCAGAGAAGATGAAAAGGAAAGAGGTATTACAATCAAGTCCACTGGTGTTTCACTTTATTATGAATATGACATCTATGAACAATAAGACCTTAGAAAAGTTTTTGATCAACTTGATCGATTCCCCAGGACACGTTGATTTCAGTTCTGAAGTCACAGCTGCCTTAAGAGTTACAGACGGTGCTTTAGTCGTTGTTGATTGTGTTGAAGGAGTTTGTGTCTAAACCGAAACAGTGTTGAGACAAGCTATGCAAGAGAAGATCAAGCCAGTTGTCATGGTTAACAAAATCGATAGAGCTATCTTGGAATTGAAGCATGATGGTGAAACAATGTATTAAAACTTCGTCAGAGTCGTTGATATGGTCAATGTCATCATCAACACCTATTAATAAGAAGACATGGGTGATCTCCTTGTTCATCCAGAACTCGGATCAGTCTCATTTGGTTCAGGAAAGGAATGCTGGGCCTTCTCATGCACCAGATTTGCCAGAATCTATGCCAACAAATTCAAGGTTGAACCACTCAAATTATAAGAAAGATTATGGGGAGACAATTACTTTGATGCTGAAGGAAAATGCTGGAGAAAAGACAACATCAGTGGATCAGGTAAAGCTATGAAGAGAGCCTTCGTTGCTTTCATCATGGACCCAATCTGCAAATTGGCTAATGCTGTTATGGAAGGAAATATGGATGTAGCTAATAAAATGTTTGAAACTTTGGGATTGAAACTCACATAAGAAGAAGCTAAATTAGAAGGAAAGCATTTACTCAAGGCTGTTATGTCCAAATGGATTAATGCTGCTGATACATTACTTGAAATGATTGTGTGCCATTTACCATCACCAAGAAAGGCTTAAAAATACAGAACTTCATATTTATATGAAGGACCATAAGATGATGCTATTGCTTAATCAATGAGAGAATGCAACCCAAAGGGTCCATTAATTATGTACGTCTCCAAGATGGTTCCAACAACTGATAGAGGAAGATTCTTTGCTTTCGGTAGAGTTTTCTCTGGTACCATTGCTACTGGATAAAAGGTCAGAATTATGGGAGCAAACTACAAAGTAGGAAAGAAGGAGGACTTATTTGAAAAAGCTATCTAAAGAACAGTTCTCATGATGGCCAGCAGAGTCGAATACATCCCAGATGTTCCATGTGGTAACACAGTCGGATTGGTCGGTGTTGATCAATATTTAATGAAGACTGGTACCATCTCAGACCACCCAGATTGCCATTTGATCAGATCAATGAAATATTCAGTATCTCCAGTCGTCAGAGTTGCTGTCTAACCAAAGAACCCAGGAGATTTACCAAAATTGGTCGATGGATTAAAGAAATTGTCAAAATCAGATCCATTAGTGTTATGCACAACTGAAGAATCAGGATAAAACGTTGTTGCCGGATGTGGTGAATTACACGTTGAAATCTGTTTGAATGATTTAGAAAAAGACTTTGCAGGTATTGAACTTATCAAATCTGACCCAATCGTCTCATACAAGGAAACAGTATCTGCTACCTCAAACATTGTTTGCATGTCTAAATCACCAAATAAGCACAACAGAATTTATGCTTAAGCCACACCATTACATGAAAATTTACCAGATGCTATTGAAAAAGGATAAGTCACACCAAAAGATGAACCAAAACTCAGAGCCAAAGCACTTAATGAAGAATATGATTGGGATAAGGATGATGCACTCAGAATCTGGACCTTTGGACCAGATAACTCAGGTGCCAACATCTTGATGGACAAGACATCAGGAGTTTAATACATGAACGAATTGAGAGAATCAATGGAATCTGCTTGGTAATGGTCAACCAAGGAAGGACCACTTTGCGAAGAAAATCAAAGAGGTATCAGAGTCAACATTTTGGATTGTGTCTTACATGCCGATGCCATCCACAGAGGAGGTGGTTAAATCATCCCAACTGCCAGAAGATTGTATTATGCATGCGAATTGACAGCTCAACCAAGATTATAAGAACCAGTCTTCTTGGCTGAAATCACTGCACCAAATGATGCTACTGGTGGTGTATATAACTGTCTCAACACCAGAAGAGGAACAGTCATTGAAGAGGAATAAGTTGCAGGAACCCCACTCTCAGTGGTATCATAATTATTCTATTTTCATAGGTTAGAGCTCATTTACCAGTCGCTGAATCTTTCGGTTTCACTGCCCATTTAAGAGGTATGACTCAAGGACAAGCCTTCCCTCAATGCGTTTTTGATCACTGGGCCATTGTCAATGGTAACCCACTTGAAGCTGGAAGCAAAGTATTATTTTATATTAATCATTTAGGTTAATGATTTAGTATTATCCATCAGAAAGAGAAAGGGTATCAAAGTCTAATTGCCAGACCTTAATGAATATTTGGACAAACTCTGATCTAAATATTGTATGTTAAATAAATACAAACATTCAATTTTAAATTATTATTATTGTTACTTTATGATATGGTTCAAATTTGAATTTGATTGTCACTTATATATAAAAAAACATTAAAGTATTCTCATTAATTTTAATGATTCACAATTGGAATTATTAAATTAAATTATTAAAATATGAATTCAAGACTTCTTAAGATATTCGAAAGTGGATTCCTAGGACTCTTGGGATTCACTCTAATTGCTCAATAATAGAAAAGATTCCAATGCGCTGCACCGTATTTCTCTTTTATTTCACATTCAGAATTATAATAATTTCGTCTTAGATTTCCTAGTCTTTATGTGTTGGAAAAATTCTAAGTTGAACATTTGTTGAGTGTGATCCGTAATCAAACTACTCAAACCAAAGTATATATGGTCTCAAACCTAATTAGGACTTCAGATTGTATTCTGACAGATTGATTAGATTGCTAATGGAAAAGGCCATCTCTGAACATAGTAAAAAGTTGGCTCCTCCAGAAGGCTCACAAACTTAAACACCAGCCTAAGAGATTTAATTTGAGAACAAATAATTCTGTGTTGTAGTGATGGTAAGATCAGGAAACGCCTTCTTAGGCGAAGCTCTCAAGGTGCTTCCAGGAGCTTCAGTTGGATTTATTTTAGTTTAAGAACATCCATAAACTAAAGATCCCTAGTTAATGTATTGCAAATTCCCAGAGGATATCGATCAAAAACAAGTATCAATGAACTAAATTAGGTCATCCTTACTGATGCCATGATTACAACAGGCGGAAGAATCAGTACAGCAATAAAAGCACTTCAATCCAATGGAGTCAATTAGGAAAACATTGCTGCTGTGAACATTGTTTCATGCGAAAAAGGACTTTCAAAAGTCCTGCATTAATTCCCTAAGGTCAAAGTCATTACTGCTGGAGTTGATTACGCACTTAATACTATTCAAGATCATCGCTTCCCAGGAGTTGGAGACTTTGGAGATAGATATTTTGGAACTGTTGATCAATGAAAAATTATATAGTATGTTATACATTAATAGGTTAATAAATATCATCATTATGTTTCACTCTACTTTTACAATTAGATCACTTTCTTTGTCTTATATTGCTCTTATATAGCTTGGTTAACAAGGTCTTTATAAGCTGCCTCTAAGAATTTACTTTCGTCATTAATTAATTATGCCTAATCATTGAAATAATCTATTAATTCAATTGATAGTAATTCATTTAATTCAGGTCCACTCAAGGGTGGCAATTCTGACCAAATTAATTCTTATCCGCAGCCAAATCTTTTATTTTTCTTATCATTTTATTTTTCAATATCCCTTTCTATATCCAACTATTAGTAAATCCATTTAATTATATCATCATCAGGTTTCAACCTCAAAAATGAATACATTAAATTTTAATTCATATCATTCTTCTCTCTTATTAACTTCTCAAATTAATCCTTTGTAAAGTTTTGTCCAAGAACTTTCTATAAATACTTATCCTCCCTTATAATTTGGTAAATATAATCTTAATTTGAATCAGACTATGATTTCTAAGATGTATTTTGTGTATTACTGAATTAAATTTCTTTCAACACTAATTTGTTTGATTCTAATTCAATTTCGTATCTACATTTAGTTGAAGAGTTTTTCAATAATGAATCTGAAGTGGTATAAACTCTATTTCCACAAGTAGTTTATCCATCACATCCAGCAACTTTAATCCATATTAATTTACAATGTGGACATTGTTTTAAACATTAAAAACAATGATTTTTTGAATTAATCATTTTTTCTTAAGCCAATTTAATTACCTTTTCAAGATCCTTTTTTATTTCTTTTTTTAGATATATATGATGTAAATAGCTAACATTAATTCCATTCGTATCATAAAACTCATTAAGTTGTTCTCCATGCTATTTTTCAAACTGCTCCACTTATTTATTTGCAATATTCTTAATTTCTAATGATATAAAATGCAAAATATCAACAGCTTTAGGGTCATCCAAATTAACCTCTTCATTTATATATTTAATAAACACCTATGCCGTCTTTCTAAATGACTTAATAATTTATTCTTTATCTCTTTCTAATTTATCTTGACTTTCATAATTCAAAGTTGATAAATCAAACTAACTAATTATTTCTGTATCTGATAATTTAATAGATGTTAGTTTTGATTCAAAAATTATATTTTAAACTAATAGAGCGATAACTTTAGGATCATTAAGTTTAGAATAATAAAGAATAGATCCAATATTAAATCTATCCTTTATTTTCTTTGTTAAATGCTATTAATCTTGTTCTTTATTTTCTGAAAGATCCCAATGTGATACTATAACCGTTACCATATCCCTATATCTAGTGATTGGAGCTATGACTTATTACAATGCATTCATCATTACTCCATCTCTGTCAAATTTTTATATTAATAATATTCTATTAACATCGCCTATTGAAAGTGCTGCAATTACTCCTGCAGCATGTAATAATTTTTCTTCATCAGATTCGAACCCAGGGGTATCAATTACTTCAAACTGCTCTCCAAAAATGCATTATCCAACTACTACTTATTTAGTAACAGATGCTCCTCCCTATTTTACAGGCTCTTAATTCTTTGTCAAATTATTAAAAAATGCAGTTTTGCCAGATCCAATAACACCTACAAGAACAACTCTTAATACGTCCATAAATTCCTTAATTAGCTTTTATTAATTCTATTAAAATTTTATTCAACATATATATCAACATTTGTTTGATTCCTAAAAAAAGAATGAAAATTTATAACAAAATAATTATACTAACAATTATGCTAAAATTATATAAGATATAAAGGTCATTCAATAGATTTTAGTTTTAAAATAATTATATTCTTTATTGGCTGATGCAACATTAGACTAGATGTTATTTGCTTTAATCTCCTGTTGTGAGGAAAATTGAGATGATAATATTTTTGTAGTTTTTTTTTGTTCTTCAATGGCATCTTTTACTAACTTTTTATATGAAAGTTCTAAAAAATATGCTTCATCTTTTAATAATTTTTCTTAATCCCTATTAAAAAAATCAATCAAATCTTGTGAAAGTAATTCATTTAATTCAGGCCCACTCAAAGGAGGTTGTTCTGACCAATTAAATTTCCTTCCGCATCCAATCGATTTATTTGAATTATCATCTGCATTTTCAACTTTAAAAAAACTATAAAAATAAATTCTGAGTTATTATAATTGCTTTCCTTTATTCTCATCATTAATCCTTTAACAAATATCATCTAAACGATTTCCAAATTTCTAGTTCATTAAATTCCATAAGTCTGTTTTAGTAAAATTCTATCCTAAATGTTTCTAAAAATGTATATCATTTTTAAAGTATTTATATATTTAATTAAACTTTGAGCTTATTTCCTCCTTTACAGTTGAATATTATTAGCTAGTAGGACGGACAATATCAACTTATAATTGATTATCTATAATTTTGATTTCAAATTTCTTCGGTGCTGATGCTTGACCAATAATTTCATCTTATTCAAAAGGGAGAATTCTATTTCCACATTTAGTTTCTCCATCGCAACCAAACACCTTCATCCAAGGTTATTTACAATATGGACATAATTTTATGAAATGATATATATGAATTTGGCATTTTGTCATTGTCGTTTGGGCTAATTTAATCACATTATTTAAATCCAACCAAATTTATTTTTTTAAATAAATATGATGCAGATATCGAATGTTAACACCTTATACATCAAAGAATTCGTTTAATTCATCTCCATGCAAAATCTCAAATTCTTCAACATGCCTATTTGCTTCAGCTTTAATATCCTTTGTTAATTCATGTAAAATATCAATAAGTAGAGGGTCATTCAAATCTATTGACTCAATAAATGATTTATATATTCTTGCAGTTTTTCTAAATTGACGTAGAATAGCTGATTAATTCTTTTCTAATTTTGTCTAATTGTAATCATCTAATTGCATAAAATCAAATTAACTAAATATTTCTGAATCTTGTAATAAAATTGATTTCTAATCTGATTAATTTAGGATGTTAATGATTTTCATTGAAATATCATTATTGTCAAATGATAAGATGGAATAAAATAAAATTGAGTCTATATTAAACTCTTATTTTATTCTCTATGAAAAGCGATCTTAATCATCAGCAATATTCCTTGAATGATCGAAATGAGAAACTAAAATTGTTACGATATCTTTATATCTCTTAATCGGAGACAATACTTGTCGAATTGAACTAATCATTCTATCATCTCGATCAAACTTTACAAATATAAGGATTCGATTAACATCTCCTAAAGTTAATGCTGCAATAACACCAGCAGCATGTACTAATTTGTCACTTTCACTTTCAAAACCTGGGGTGTCTACTACTTCAAACTCACCTATTGTTGCTTATCCAACTACAACATTTTTTGTTACTGATGGGCCTCCTGAAATTTCAGGTTCATTAGAAGATGTAATGCGATTAAAAAAAGCAGTTTTACCCGCTCCTATCGACCCTAAGAGAGCAATTCTAAATTTTTTCATTATTTCTATTTCTATTTCTAAATCAATATATATATGAATATCGATAGTAGCTTTCTAATAGAATAAGATTTTTCTATTAAGAAAGTTAATTTTATAATATATTTAAAATAAACTCAGATCATTAAAGTTTAATTAAAAATGATTATTCCGAGCAAAGTCAAAAAGTAATCAATGATTATCCTTAGGCACTTCTATTCGAGAACTATCAGCATTTTCAGTATCTGAATTAAAATTATCATCTATACTCATTTTAATGCTGTATCTTCTTTTAACATTTTATTGTTCAATCTTTGTTTTTTCAATATGATTTTAAAAATTTTACTAAAGATTTTAGTTATATTGTTCCTATTTTTGTTTTACTGTATCGTCTAAAGTTTCCATGATATTTAATAGCTTTGGGATTACTTTTATATTCTTCAATTATTCAGTAATTGCTTAATTCATAAGATTTTTATAGGTCCTTTCCAACTCTTTTGCAATATCGTCAGCTTCATCTTTTAATAATTATTCCTGATCATTGAAATAATCAAGCAATTCAGGTGATAGTAATTCTTATAAAAGTGGTCCACTCAGAGGAGCTAAATCTTTCCACACAATTACATTCCCACATCCTAATGATTTTTACTTATAAAAATTCAAGTTTGGAAAATCAGATTAGAACCATCCAGATTCTCTAAGTAGAAATTTGAACTCATTAATCATCATTTCTTGATCTACTTCATATATATTTTTAATATAGTAGTCAACTCTTTATAAACCTAAAATAGAAATAACCAATTCAACTTTTAACTATTCTAAATCCGAATCTGAATCTGAATTAAAAAATGAATAGTAAATTTTAAAATTCTTACTTAATACAGGATTGTCCTTTATAGAATTGAACAATATTTAATATATATTTAGATCTTATTAAATTACTAATTTTTTTTCACTTTTTTATTCATCCAATATCTCAATATCAACAGAATCATTATTTACTATTATTTTGAAACGCTTTTCATTTTAAGTTCTTACCAGCAGATCGTCAAAATAAGAATCTACCCTATTTCCACATGTAGTTTCATTATCACAACCAACAACTTTTATCCAGACTAATCCACAATAAGGACACTATTTAATCCAATTAAAACAGTGAATTTAAGATTCTTTCATTTTAGATTATGCTTTTTTAATAACTTATTCAAGATCCAATCGAAGTTCCTTTTTCAGATAAATATGATGTAGGTATCTTACATTTATGCCATCTGTATCATAGGTTTCATTCATATAATCTCCATATTGCCTTTCAAATTTTTCAATAAATTCATTTGCAATGCTTTTAATAGATAGTGATAAGTAATGCAATTTGTCAATCAAATAATTTTCATTTAGTTACTAAGTTTCTATGTACATTAAAAATAATTTTGAGATTTTTCTAAAACTACTCCTAATTTAAGAAATTGATTTATTAAATTCCATTTCAGATTCTTCACTTACGCTTATTAAGTCAAATTGACTATAGATTTCTGATTCTTGTAAGTGAATTTTAGTAAATCGAGATAAAAGAATAATCTTAGTTATTTTTTCTGTGATAATAATAGGATCATCTTCAAATGAAGAAATTATTACTGAAGAGATATTAAAATTGTTTTTAATTGCTGTTTCTATTTAATATTTTGCTTCTAATTCTTGTTGTTATTAGGATTCCTAACTTTTATAACGATGTCGTATGTTTCTTTATTATTCGTCCCAATAAGTTACAACAATCGTGATTAAATCTTTGTATCTTTAAATTGATCCAATGACTTTTTTGATATTTTTTATCATGATGTCTGTTCTTTCACATTTGACAACAATCAGAATTCTGTTGACATCTCCCTATGCCAATGCTGCAATTACACCAGCAGCGTGTAATAATTTATCCTCCGATGCATCGAATCCAGGTGTATCAACAACTTCAAATTCTCCATGTGCAGCTTAACCAATCACAATTTATTTTGTTACTGACTTTCCTCCATAAATTACAGCTTCATTTGCATTGGTTATTTTATTAAATAGGTATGTTTTTCCATGTCCTAAAACTCCTAACAAGACCACTCTTAAAGCAGACATACAATTAAAATATAATGCTAATCTAAGAATGCTTAATAATTTTTATTTGTAATTCTATTAAATATTAATATACAAATAAAATAATTAATAACTGACTATCAATAAAATATTAAGGAGTGATTTAATTCGTAAATAATACATTTTAATCTATTGTAATAATAAGATTGAAATAAAAAATGTAAAGATAGATATGTATAATAATATGAATTAAAAGAGCATAGTTATAATTGATTAACGATGACATTTTAAATAATTAATATTAATATTCAAAATATGAGCAATCATCCTTCTTAAAGACCTCCTCAACCAGTTTAAAATGCCCCTCATTAGCCATTAGCATATTCACCACCAAGAACATATGCCCCACCAGTGCAATTTGCTAGTCCATCATACTACCCTATTTAATAATCTGTTGTTGCTGCTCCTGTCTAATATGTTCCTTAACCAGTGGCAGTTCAACCAATTGTATAACCAGTTGCTGTCCAACCAGCTTAATAAGTGATAAAGGGTGAAAGCAGAATTGAGTAAGAATCAAAATTCAAATATTTTATAGATATATCCCATATGAGAAATCTGTTATTGAATATGAAGAGGTGAGACAAAGAATCTAAGTACCAAGAGAGAAATACGTCACTGAATATTAAGCTGTGGAATATTAGACAGAATATATCCCTTAAGTATTTTATGATAAGGTTACAGGTATAAATATGAAATAACAACAATAGAATATGTTCCTGTGGACAGATTTCAAGATAGAGTAGAATATTATCCAGTTGAGAGATAAGTGGTTCACTAATAATAAGTTGTTGCTCAACCCGTCGTTTAATCTGTTGTGCAATAAGTTCCTTAATATGTTGCACCTGTTCCATAATATGTTTCTCCAGTTGCATAACCATATGTTGCTTAATCATATGTTCAACCAAGCTATGTTCCATCAAGAGTTGCCCCAGTGTATAATCACGCACCATATTAAGGCAGACCTGTCAGTCAACCAAGAAGATTTGTACTTAAATATAATTTATGTCTTAGTCTCCCCCATCTAAACCAGTGTAAATTTAGAAATAACCATAAGAGAAAAAGAAGACATTTTTAGAAAATATCTTTAGTTGATAAGTTATATATATAAATATTTAAATATAAAATATATTATTTTTTATTTTAATATATTCAAATTAATCTCCAAACTTTAATAGATTTATCATCACTAGTGCTTACTAAAAATCCAATCTCTTCGATAAGTTCAATAGATCTAACAATATCTTAATGTCCTTCTAAACTGGCAACCAATTGTCCACTCTACCATTCCCAAATCTTAATTGTTTTATCAAATGAAGCAGAAGCAATCAAATCTTTATCTATCATCTACAATTATACAATTAAATACTTTAATTCTCCATACAAAACTCTTATGCGAACCCATTCTTCTCACAATCTTTTACTCAGTCACATTTATGATCAAGATTTCTCCTTTAAAATTACCAACAGCTATTTCATTTTAAGATACTCTGGCTATTCCATTTACAAAACAAGAATCAAACAATTACATTTTCATTTCTCCGGTCTAAATATTCAATAGTCTTATAGCCTTATCGTCAGAACAACAAATAACTTCTTCTTGATTCCAAGATAGCAAATCATTAAAAGATGTCTTGAATTCCTTGAACACTTTTATACATTATCCATTCTATAAATTCCAAACTCTCACAGTTTCATCATATGAACATGACACTAATGTCCCTGGAACAGGTTGAGTCAATGAAAATATGTAATTTATATGCCCTTTCAATTCCTTAATCAATTATGATCTCTCTAAATCCCAAATCTTAATAGTCCATTCATCTTTTTGATTTTACCCAGCTGAAATAAGAGTTGTTGTATCTGATAATAATAAAGAATAAACGTTCTTTCCATGATTCAAGGACTACATGAATTAATATTATCCTTCCATTGTCAATCCAATTATCTTTATATTACCTTGCCAGTCTCCTGTAGCAATGACTTATGGACTAATCTTACAAACAGCCCACACCTAACTTTAATGTAAGTCTCTTGCATCAATAAATAACTTGGCATTTAATTATGATGCCAAACCAGAGGCAAATCTATTCTGAAAATGAGTAGTAGTTGGTGGTACACTGGTTCTTGGTAATTGACTTGCAGTTCCAATGAAATTAGTTTGTGGGATTTAGCTAAATCCACCACCAAATCCGAAACCTCCTCCACCTTAAATATTGCCCTAAGTTCCTGGAATCCTCAATCTTGGTATCTCTACACCTTCCTTAGAATTATTGATAATCATTTTTACTTTCACATGCTTAAAATCAAATGGAGTTTATTTAAATGTTATTAAGCTTTGTTCTAGTTAATGCAACGTTTAACGAATAACTTCTTCACATTCTACAAGAGTAGTTTACAATTATTATGGTAACAATTTAATTTCCTATGGATCTGCATTAATCAATTCTACACATGTTTATATTGTTTCATCTTCAGCTTCCATTGCTAATGTATTGACTAAATACTATACCTCTTCCCTTTAATACCAAGTCCATGATTTGTTCAATTACATTATCATCCAATAAAAAATCAGCCAAAAAGCCTTTCTTGATTACTTCTCCCATTCCATGCTTTGTCCAGTACATAAACTAGGAATATAAATCATTAAGATGATTATCGAAATCCATTTTTATTTTCAAGAACATTTCATCTATTTCATTTTATAAATGATCTTTCTTAACAACTTTCAGAACCTTATCAAAAAAGTCAAACTCTGCTATTGCTAATTTGTCAGTCAACAATTTAACAAATTCAGGCACTTATACTTTATGAACACAAGTATGTGCCCACAAACATCTAACATACATGAGTTTATCGAATACCCAACACATAATTTTCTTCTTTCATGAATGCATTTCTATTCTATACAAAATCCTTTTAATTATTTCATGTGAATTCCACAATCAATTCCTGTAACTTATCCCACCTATGGATGATCGATTGCTGATTTCGAAATACCAGAAACCGCCTTCATATCACTAAAATTCACAGGTGCTTGTGAGTTACCAAGGGAAAAATGAACCGACTTAGAAAGAGCCTAAGAAGAGGTTGAAAGCTTATTAGCATTAGTTGGATTTAACATTTAATTTTTTATTTTTTATTTATGAATAACTGATTTAACATCATATTAAATCTAATTCTCATTATCATAGTCGAACTTAAGACTTTATAAATTCTCTTTAAACTTGAACCTATAATATAAATAGAAAATCTTCTCTTTTAATAACTTTTTTATACCATTCCTCAATAATAATTAATATAATTAGAATTGTTTAGGAATATCTTCTTTTATTGTATTTGTTTTTGTTGTACAAAACTAGTCAACAATATAAAATGGAGGTTGATTACAAACCATAAATAATATAATATTCCAACTCAATTCTTAAGGCCATGAAGAGAAATCAAAATATATATAAATTAATTCTCTATCCAGTCTAAACAAAAATTTTAAGGAGGTTGAGTTCTTTTCGATATGGAAATATCCAGAAACCAATAGTCAAGAGCAAAGATGGATAGTCCGTGTTTTTAATGATAACACATATTATTGATGATATTTTATATTAATCTAAGAATAAAACAATGGTTTATTTTGATCAAATATATAATGAACTATATTTTCATTTATCCAGTAATAATAATGAACCTAGATAAATGCATTTGGCATAAGATTCGTTAGTTTTCCAAGAAATTTTGGATTTTTAAAAATGGCAAAGGAGAACTTTTGGAAATGATTTTAGATTAATATTTGTCTATTTATTTGGATCAAATATGAATAATTCAAATAATAGGAGGCCTCATGTGAATTGAAATTCATTACGGATCATCATCAAATTGTTATTTTACTTATTCATGTAATCACTGATCACAACCTATAGAGGTGATGGAGGTCCCAAAGAATGTGGGGGTTTGATTATAATACAATTTAATTTGGATAGAGTGTTTCAATTATAAATCCATTTTATTTTAAATAAGATTTATTTTCACATACTTATTAAACTTACATTAATAACCATATAAAATGCTTCTATAAAATGATTCAATTAAATAAGATAATTTTAGCCAATAAATCGATGGGACTCATCATTTGTCACAACATTCATTCTAAAAATAAGAAAGTCTCTTTTGTACAAGATAATGCAGACTATTAATATAGACAAGGTTAGAAATAAAGTTTAGACCTACCATATAGACACTACATTAACAAGAGTAACTACATTGCAAGTATATTGCATCACGGACCTGGAAAATTTAATTAAAAAGGAAGTGTAAAATTAATGAACGGAATAGGTAATGATATTTATTATAATTCATTAGGCCACAGCTCTATTATGTAAAGAAGATTCTTGGAAAAAATTAATTTGAATACCGCTTACTTTCACTCCAAACCACTCGTAATCATGAATTCGTAATGACTCCACTATTAAATATTTAAATATAATTAGATTTTTAATTAGTGAACTAGTTACCTGCTCTTAAAATTATTTTCTTCATTCTTTTATAAAACCTAAAATACAATGTATATAGTTTATAGTCTTTAAAAACTAAATATCTAATCTTAAATAAAGATTAGATAGGAACCTGAAATGAATTGCCATTTCAGAACATTTATCAAAGCAACAAAATACTCATAAAAAGATCTAACTTAATAAATAAGATATTAGACAAAGCATCTAGAATGTATCAATAATTATCTATATAACATAAAGGTAAGTAATAAAATTAATCATTTTTAAATTAGACATTAAATTTCATAGTGAGCTCGATATTAAATTTATAATTGCTATGACTAAATAATAAATAAAATTAATTCATCGATTTATGCATATACTTTAATTTATTTGTTATACTGTTAAAAATCAACATAATAATTATCAAAAACCCATCTTGAGATGAATTAATAAATGAAGTATATATTATTTAAAATAATAAATTGAAGCTATATATTAATTTTTATGATTAATGTTTATTATCACAAATTAAAAGTATTTATAAAATTAAAAATAAATCACATAAAAAAAAGTTTTAGAAATTTTGATCACTTTTGAAATTTCTTTTATTCCTTTTCCCTTCTTTTTGCTATCCTTAAGTCGGTCTAGAAGACAAATTACTACTTTTAAATTTTCTTAGGCGAAGCTTCCGTCTTATGTGCAGTTGACTAGAAGAATGACAAATTAATTGATTTAGAATGTTTCCTTTATACACTTGACTATCGAACAGGAAAAGGACTTATTGTTGGTCTATAAGAATATTTAGGTGTGTTATTTTCCTTTTTCAATTATTATTCAAATATCCATTTATCCCTTTATTGATTCCATTTCAGCTAATTACTAACGAAGGTTTCAGTATCTTATTGAGAAAATTTAATGTTTTATGATTTAGTGCTTAAAGGTTAAAATGATAGGCTTTAATAATATTCTTCTATTTCTTATTATTATTATTATTGCTATTCTTAAATTTTGTCATTTTTTGTTTATATAATATATTTAACTCTTTCATGAATAGGAATGTAAGAATTGGCCCTTCGAGTTACACTTTACTCATTGTACATCTTGGTGCTTTCCAATGTTTATGTAGCTATTCTTTCTGGGTCATTGTTTTCGTGATTACCCTAATTCTCATATCGAATGTTAGAAGTTAATTCTTATTGCATATTCTTTTCTTTATTAAGTAATAAATCTCCAAATTTGCTATTTTTTGATGCTTCCATATAATTGCTGATCATTTCCTAAATTTGCTGAGTCTTATTGATTTTTGGTTTGCCTTTACTTTGCATTTATTCATTCCTCAATTATTCTTCTTTCATTTGCAAAATTTTTTTTTGTTTTTCTAATTCATAAGATTTTTACCTTATTTAAAAATCGGATTCCACCTCAACAAACTTTGATTTTGTAAACTACATTTCATTTAATATTTTAACAGTTGAAATATTTAACTTATCTAAAATTGAATCCTAATCAGATTATAACGTATAAGATCTGCAATGAGACTTTTATTTTTAATTGTCGAAATAACTCTTTTTTGCTTAACTTTTAAGTTGTTTCATTAGCAAATAACAATAAATTTAATTATAACACTATTATTATTATAGAATTTAAAACAAGTAATTTTTTTATTGATTATTGAAATCAAACCATTTCTTTAGTCAAATAGTATGGATTGTAAGATCTGCCTTAATTAAAAAATTAGTGTATAAATTTTTGATGATAATTAATTTCAACTGTTTTACCTTCGATTAACACAATTCAATTTTTTAATTGATTTATATTAAATTGACCATTAAAAAAATTTAACATCTGATTTATGTTGTTTAAAGAAATAATCTAATTTAAGGATTATCGTTATCATTTCTTATGTAAACTTGTATTTATTTTAAGTACTAATAATAATAGTATATAATATAAAAGTGAGACATTACTTGACTGGTTATTTTAATATATCGATAACATAGAGTAATATCATTCCCTTTAGGCTCATAGCTTAAAGTCATTGAATGAGCATGGCTGTTGACTTGATAACTCCTGGTAATTAATTGAATTCTAAGTATAGTCCTTATATTCCTATATGATTAGTGAGCAATTTTCATTTATCTCTATTAGCTCCTGCTTTAGAACTTCATAATTTTCATCATCAGAGGGATATACTATGATAAACCTCTCTGGATATTATTATAGTATGAAATGCCTATCTGTGTTATCTGAAATTTGAATGAAGGAATTATCTTTATCAGTTTATTTTTCAGATTTTTGAGAGAGTGTATGATGTCTTGTGATTTCAGCTGTGCATTCAGAGAACATGGATTTGCAAGAGCAAGAAGTACCCATTATTAATAATATATTTATTTAATCTTTACTAATCCAATATTAATACTAAAAGTCGAGATAATAACATTATTTATTCACATATAAATTTAAAATTAATCAGGAGATAGGAGATAGAAAAAAAAAATTACTTTTTAATTTATTTCTCTCAGAATGGTTTTAATAAATAATATATAAAAAAATAATAAATATTCATGAATACCGAAGCAAATACACCTAAACCTGCTTAAGTTTTGATGGAGATACCAACTATTATTCTAGAAGTAAAAAAGGCGCATGAATAATACCCGAATATAGAAAAGGAATTCGAAGAAAGGACAAAAAAATTTAGTAATTTAACTCAAACGATGACTGTAAATTTTGAATGTAGTTTATCAAAAGAACCAATAAAATATGCAGTATTAATAAATAACTAAAATAAAGGTTTACTTAGCAGAATGTTTTAAGTCCTTCAGACATTACGATACTTTAATAGATTTAGAGCAATTTTTGAAATTATACTTTTCGAATGCAACCCAACAGGCAGCCAAAGTATTACAATGTCCTATATGTAAATCTTAAACGAAGTTTGAGAAAATAGAACAAGCCTTCTTTCCTCATTTGTTGATTAATTAGTTAAGATCAAAAGTAATTATCATGATAATAGAAATAGTGTGGGGAATTTCCATAACATATGATGTATAACTTCGTGGATAAAACATTCTACCCATTGCACAAGGGGAAAATGGGAAGTTTGTAGAATGCTTATTTTGAATAGATTGCCAAATTGATGAAAAAGGAAATTATGCCATAAAGTTAATTCTATCAGCTTGTTTAAAAGTGGAATGCGAATTTTAACTTTTTGTTTTACAACAATTGCTCTTTGAGTTCTATGAAGGTGATGATTCCAGTCAGGAGTTAGAATTGCAATCACTTCGAAGTCTATGATTTGACAGCATTATTGCATCATTTTGATAAAAAAGAAAAATAATTTAAATGCAAAAGACCTGATTGCAATTCAATAATTAAAGAAGAAGATTTGTGTTTAGATTAAGATTTATTCAACAGTTGTTTAAAGTCCTACAGTTTTAGATTTTCCTTCATATACAACAAAGAAAAACGTTAATTGGAGGACATTTTGGAAGAGAAACAAGATATTAATTTAATAAAGTATAGATCATTTACAAAATTATCAGAATACTTAAATTATTAGTCTAAAATCTATAAGATAGTGGATTAGATTTACACAAGTCTTATCAATCAGGAAAAAACAGAGGAGTTTTACTAGAAACATTCACTAGACAAGATTGCGAGTGAAAAATTGGAATTTAAGTTTTGTTAATTTACTGGTTAGAGGATAGAGCTACCTTGTAGATGCATCAGATGCGAATAGATTCAAACGTGCGATCTAAGGTATATGAGTTGTATTTTGTATCAATTTTAAAACCCTGCTGAAGGAAAAATGGCTGGGAATATCATTGATCATTGTCCTCTCTGCAAGAATCCATTCACAAAGAAATAAAAACCTAAAGATACAGCTCTACATGAACAAGTCTATGTAGATGTAAAGATGATGAATTTCATTACAATAACCACTGGATTTGTAAATATCAATTAAAAGGACTTCATAAATTATTTGAACAATAAATTAATTACAAAGGTTATTGTAAAAAATGATTAAGAATCAATCTTGAAAGGCAAATAAGCTATAACAACAATCTAATTGAAGGTAAAACAATTTAAGTGAATATAGTGTCCAATATCAAAAAAGAAGATATTAAGGCCAATAAGAGGTAATAATTGCACTCACGCTTAACCCTTTGATTAGGGCATAATAGATTTGCATCAAAATGGGACAATCGATCTAAATCAAATAAAATGTCCAATTTGTTAGACAAAGTTTGACTATTTTATAGAAGACAATTTTTTGAAGGATCAATTATAAATATTTTTCTCATACAATTTAGAAGAATGTGATGCTGTTCGATTAAGTATAATGAATGATAAAATTTAAATAAAACCCAGAAATTAGTGATTGGTGATTATATATATACATTAATTTAAAACTGATAATCAATCCCATAATTTAAGTACTCCATCCCATCCACAAGTAACAACCTTGCTTGGTTCAATAGGATGCCATTCAACTCCTATACAAACATTATCATGAGCCTAATCATTAAATATGATATAATTACCTAGATAGTTCTGTAACTTTTGGCTGTTTTCCAATCCCAAAAGAATACTCTACCTTCTGAATCACCAGAGGCTAAGAATTAACCATCAGCCGAGAAGGTAACTCCACATGCATATCCTGCAGATACATGTCCTTTAAAGTTCTTCTTCCTGTTCATTCTGAAATTTCCAGCCTTAGTGTCATACACTATGATCTTGATTTTAATGATAAATAAATTACCAAATTGTTACTTTGTTATCCAACCCAATTAAGTCCAGATGGATTAACAGCAGTAGCAGTCACTGCATGCATTTCAGGATCACTGATGTGTTTTATAACAACAGGGATACCAAATTCCCAGATGAATAGTTTTTTGTCATCAGAACTGGAAACAAATTTTCTATTTTAATTAAAATATGTGATTGTGTTAATGGCTTGTAAATGTTCATCGTATACTAATGTTTATTGTCCACTTCTGATATCAAACTATTTTATTCTTTTATCTGATGATCCTAACAAAAATGAATGTTGCTTAGCTGGATCTGGATTTAGTCTTACACAATAAGGGAAATGTTATAGATTAATGGTTTGAGTGACTTTGCCATATTCTGTATCCCAAACTAGAATCTTTTTATCATAGGCAGCGGACAAAAATGTTCTGCCATCATTGGAGAAATTGAGATCTCTTAATGCTCCTTAATGTCCATAATATGTTCTGACACATTGTTTGTTACCAATGATATCCCACATCTTAATTTTATTGTCTAGACTACCACTCAACATGAGATGACCAAATTTGGGAAAGAATTTAATTACTTATACACCCTTAGTGTGACCATGAAATGTTTAGATGCATCTTTTTGGGATATAACATGTGTGATCAACATATTTTAATTCAGGTGGCGGTGCAATGAATTATCTTCCTCCAAATTACTCTGTTTAACTTACATGCTATTCCATATAAGGCACAAAGTTTTCTTCTTATTTTTTTGATTCATCTATTTTTTATTTTCTCTATTCTTCCAATTGATCTAACAATTATTATTATTCTTCATTCATTTGTATGTTTTCAAATTATTCATCCTATTGTCCTGCCCAAGGTCCCATAAACTCTCCTTTGGATGGATCATTAGCCTTCACTCTATTAGATTTTAATTCTTATTATTTCAATTTGTCTTCTTTGTGCATACCTGCAAGTACATTTTTACTAAAAAGTGGATCTGCTGCATCTACATCATAACCTTCTTTCATTAAACTAGATAATTGCTCTTATTTTTAATTACATGCTATCACTCTTCTATTCCTTTCTAATTTAAATTCATCATTATACCATTGGGATCAACTGCAAAACCATACACATTGAATTTATGAAATTACTCTTCAAACACTGCATCATTGTAATAGATTGATTCTACATTGCCTGTTAGATGATTCTTCTTCTATCCCAGGAAATTATATGTTTTTGATAATTCAAGTGCTTTCTCCTCCTCCTTCTTCTTTACCAGATGTGAACAATCAACCTCAGGATTCACCAATATTGACTTTGGCTTGTTGTCTATGATCTCCTGCTCATCATCGCTATAATCCACTAACATTATTAATTAATTATTTATTTAATTATCTTCTATCTTTATGATAAATTAATAAGTAAACTCTACAAAAACAGAACCAGTATAAATTAATTATGATTAAATGAAAGGTAATGTGTATATCATAATTAGGTCCATTTTAATATGCACCATTTACTATTGATCATCCAGGATAACCTGAAGATGATTTCTCAGTCAAAGACCCAACTGTAAAGACCTTAGATCGATCTAGATTGTGTTTATCCCCTTTTAATGTTAATCATGAGGTTTCCTTCTTATTTTCATTTTTAAGATTTCTAATGAAAGGATTTCCTTCATCTAAGAACCAAGCAACTTTCAATTATTGGCATTCACCTAAAAAAGTCAAGAGACTACTAAAGGTTTCTAGAATCAGAAGAAACTCAAACCCAGATTTGCAGAACTTCTCAAAGCCAAAATCAACATCAATGAAAAAGTAAGGAAATATTCCTATATTTTTGATCTGGGCCAATCGGACAGCATTCCATCATGTAATAAATGTGTTGAGTTTTAGTTGTCCTGTTGCCCAATTCAAAACTACATAAATATTGGAGTCTCATTTATTTATTGATAATGATAGTTCAGGTTATAATCATTCCGTTAAAGCTCGCACACATTTATGTTATATTTCTCACTCTCAAACTTGTCGATGCCCTCTTGAACTCAATTTCAACATTTGCAAATAATGGATAAATTGAAACTCACCTCATAACCATCATACATCATTACTGCAAATCCTAATTGATATTTGACATAGTAAACACCCATTTATATGAAATCCTAGGCTTTTCTTATTACGATTCTACTTTAACAAGATTACTGGTGCATTACTATCAACTTGCTGAGTACTATCCCAAGATTAGTAAAACTTTAAAAGCAAATCTAATTGTAAATATTCATGCATATCCACATAGTGAATACAATATCTTCAATTAATTGTCACTTTTAATAATCTTAATAATAAAAGCGATCTTACTGGTCCACGTCCTCACATGCTTTTGGTTATTCAAATTGTTAAATGAAGAGGAGGACTCCTTCTTAGAATAGTATTTGCATTCCTTGTACTATGTACTAAGTATTTTGACCTTCAACTCTACCTTAATCGATATAAATGACCATCAGAGTGTTATTGTCTATACTGTCATTTCATTCATCTCTCTCCTTTTCTTGGCCTATTTCTTAGCTAAAATGATTGCAATAATCAAGGAGGAGGAACTAGAACAACAATTAAGTGAATTTATGACTTAGACAAACTTGGATTCCACTCTAAAACAAAAAATATTGAGTCATTTGCTCTATCAACCGTAATACTGCCATGATAGGTTCATTTCAAAATTATCCAGTAACTTAAATTAAGAATACAAAGTCAGTCAAAGAGCCAAATTATTGTATTCATATTTTAAACACTTTAATAAAAGGACAATTTAAAAAATTATCGATAATAGCTACGAAATTGTATGTTAACCTGATTAAACCATAATTCAAGAAGGAACATTGGATGATTGCTCACTATATTTCATCTTATAAGGTTAGGTGTATTTGAAATCTAAGAATAATATCAAGTTGTAGGTTTGGAAACAAAATAAATCATTTGGCGAAATTGAATTTTATACTCAAAAACCAAGGAATTTCACTGTTCAAAGCGAAGGAGTAACTAGACTATTAAAAATTGAACGCTCAACTTTCTTAGAACTTTTGAACTTTACTGACAAAGTATAATTAAACTGATATCAACACTTAGCAATTGTTTATTCAACAGAGGGATAAAATCATCTTCAATTTAGGTTTACCAATTGAATGTGCCTGTTGTTTATAGGATGATCACATTATCACAAAATGTCCTATGTTGACATATAGGCCAGATAAAAGTTTCATTGTAAAAAAGTTTACCTTTCCACATAAACAACCAAGGCAAGAATGTAGTTATTGGTCATATAATACATAGATAAAAGAAGAGTCTCAAAGGATATGAAGGCATTAAATTTTTATTAATGTGCCTCATAATATGAAGTGGCATTTTTAAAACTGTTTTCAGATCAATTACATATGTCGCAACTTAGCCAATCCCAATTTGCATATGATGATTTAGCTATTCGGGATTCATATATCAGTGCCAGAAGTTTAACAAAATTAAGCAGAGACAGATCAGTTGTCAAGTCCACTTCTTTTATGAAATAGCAATCAGCCTATGAATAATAATCTTTTCCAAATAACACAGACAATATATTGTATTCATAAACATCATTAAAAGCTCTAATTTAGATTAAGATAAAGAATTTCAAATCCTCAATGGTAAATAAGATAAAAATTATGATGAATTTGCATCATTAGCCAGAACAGACCAATAGAAAAGAACATTTGCAACTGCAGGATTTGGATCTCAAAGCTTAGCTGCATCAAATAAAGATCTAACTTAAAAATCCTTAAACATCATTTTGGAACACGAAAACTCTGACAGTATCTCTGAACCCAACTCTAAGTCGATAGAGGAAGAGAATGTTGTTGAGTCTCCTTAAGATAAATTTGAGAGGAAGAATAATGATCCGAAATTAACATTCAATTACAATTTTGAAACCTAAATGAATGAACTTCAAAAGTAAAATTAAAGTCCTCCTCGATTATCACGTCTAGGATCTGGCTCAATTAGACAACAAAGTTCAAGGAATAGTACATATAAATATCCAGATGTAATCAGTCAACGTGAAAATTCATCCAGATCACTTACTTATAGTCCAATTCCTTCTAATAGTTAATATAAATCAGGAAAGCCTTCCTCTAAGCAGCATAGAAAGTCTACTTTTTCTTTCCCCTAAAAATTAATTTAATAAACTCGTTAAGTTGAAATAACCAATTTTGATGATAGTAGAAGTTAGCAATAAAGACCTTCAATCAGGAAGATATCTACTAAAACAGGAACCAAAGTATCTGTCATCCCTTCTAGTTTTTAACCATTTAGTAATGTGGATGTATTTATCTTTAATTAATTAAGTTACCCGTCTATGCTAACAACCCTTTTGGACTTAATAATTTTGATGCTATGTGTACTTTTGATGACTATTTGCCTCACAATAATTATGAGATCACCATTTATAAGTATTTTATTGATAAATCATTAAGGGCGAACAAATTTAGAAACATTAAAAAAATACATATTTCGAAGTACTTATCCGACTATCAATTATCAAAAATGATTTAGTTATTAAAATAAAAAAGATTGAAAACAGTTAAAAGTTAACAAAAATTAGAGTGATTATATAATTATTTTAATTACGAATGATAATTAAATTTAAATGAGCTCACTACATTACATCATTTTAATTATAAAATTTAAAGATTTGGATTAATCCAAAAACTAATTTTTTGAATCTAATATCTAAATAATAGTATATATCTGTCTGTGATCCAACGCAAATCAGTTATAAAATGTTAAAACTAATTAAATATGATTAATAAATTATCAGCAATTTTATTAGCTTACGTTGAAATCTTAATATGGGTTGTCGTGTTCAGAAATCTAAGAATTAATCAAATAAACTATGCCAAGCTCCCCAAGAAATCCCAGAAAGTGCAAGAATCGTTCAGGAAAATGATGGCTAGACACATGGGTAAAAGAGTGATATTAGAGAAACAGAAAATTTTACATCCCAATTACAATAAGTAGAAATTGGCAAAAGACTTAAGCATATGGCCAGCGGTGACGAGCTCAATAAATTCATCAATAAAAAACAAACCAATCCCTAAAACCATTTTGGGTATATCAAAAACTCCCCAGAATAAAGAAGAAAACTCTCTTTGATGAATAGTCCTAAACTATGAATTGAGTTTTTCTTATTTCTTGTATTATTGATTCTTCTTTAACCATACAAATTAGATAATTATGATATAGAAAAAGATTACATAAATCAAATATTCCCTAAGCTATTTCACTCAAAATGCCAATTTCTTATCTAACTACTATGGCCCCGTTTCTGTCTAAAGAACAAGGGTGGACATTGTCATCTCTGGTTTTTAATTACTCATCCTGATATTTTCTATTCTTAAATTCATTGAATACTGTATGATGATAGAGTACTTTATATAGTCGTAGTACTAGTTCTTATTTGACATTACTATTTATTTAGGTGCTTCAAAATGTTTTACTAAATTTCTATTAATTCACTTGATTATTTTGAAATCCTTTTAATATTCCCACACTCGACGATCTACTCTCCACTTGATTTTGTTGAATTACAACCCATTTAAAATCAATATTAAATTAATTAATAAAATATAAAAAAATTCTTTTAAAGTATCATCAATATTACTTGAATTGAAAATCTTTAATTTTTCATTGTTAATAATGCTTTGTAATTAGAATTCAAATATATTTATATTAATTTATTAAGATTTCCAATTAATGGGCTGTGCCAATATCAAATAATAAACAAAGACTATTTTTAGCCCTTCCGAGATATAGTTTTAATATACCAACCAGAGAAACGAAGATCCCAAGAATGAAGCTAAAATTTTTAAAATCAATAAAAACCCCATTCTATAAAGAAGAGCGAGTTAGAAAAGTCCTTTAACTAATCCTGGGTCCTTCCTGACTAGAAACTCTTGAATGATTCACTTGTATATGTTGACGTATGAACATACAATTCATTATATTCGTATTACATTTATGTTTCATTTTTAATTACAACTAAATATTAAGGCACTAAAAACTTATACTTAAGTGCTTCATGCTTAGAAATAAGAGGGGTCAGTAAACTAACTTTAATATCTAACCTAAATTCTAATTAATAACAATTTATTTATAGAAATATTGAAGAAATTAAGTTCCAGATTAAGAATTAGATTCTAATAAGATACAGATTAGGGCAAAGTGTTATTTGGCTTTGATTTGATAGATTGATTAGAGTTAAAAAGATATAGTCATAATTCTGATAATTAAAGTATTACTCATTTTATTTTAATAAATACGTAATACATAAAAGTTCTCTAGGTTTAATAAAAATTAATTTTTAAATTCATGAATAATTCGGAATATAATTCTAATTTGACTCAATTAAAATACATATATATAATTAATAATCATAATTTTTTTATTGGATATGGGTTGTGTTACTTAAAAATAATGTCCAAATTAAAAGCAAAATAAATTTCGATTCCACAGTTAATCTTTTTCCAATGTTCATCAAAATAAAAAAGTGATTATCGAATCCCCAAACACAACGAATAACAATAATCCAATTTTACATTATAGATCAATTGATATAACAAACGATGAGGAGTTCATCTTGAAAAGGGATAAGAAATATATTGCTTCGAATAAGGAATCACCTACAACAACACCAAAATTTAATTAAACGAATCCAATGTGCATTGGTCAAAGAAAGAATGTCAAAGTGATGTGAGTCCCATTGAGATATTTGAAAAAATTCATGATTATTAGCTGAATATAATAAATATTTTCAACAATTTTTGCTTATGTCACCTTGAATTTTAACATATTAGTATGTAAAATAAAAAAGACAAAAGGGAACTATGGATTTTCATGTTCTGTTGAATTCAAAGGAAGGAACAATTCAATTAAGCTAAATCAAAAGTGAAAAGACTTATTTGGAAAGTAAATACGGCAACAGATTTATTATCGAAATAACAATTTAAAACAAATTCATAGAAAGAATAATAATAATGTTATTCTTCATTCATGTAAATCTTTATTATTAAAATCATTATAGAAAAGTAATTTATAAAAAAAAAAATTATCTTACTCAGACACTTAAAAAATGACTTATTCTCCAAACTTAATTCAATAACTCAATTATATATTAAGTGGAGGATAGTAATGTAGTTATACCAAAACTATAGTTTATAATTAAATAGTTGGAAATTTATAATACATTTTATTTTAATTAATTATCGAACTTTGATTATGAGGACAACTCCAAATAGTGTTAAGGAAACAGCTTCTAAGGCTTCAACTCAAGATTATAAAAAATAGCAATCGCAACCAGTATATGTTATAAAATGATTTTCAGACTGTTAGCATACCGGAGTCTAGTTAATTGTTTCACATACCATAGAAATATTGTCAGCAGAGATTCAAGCCTTAGCCTACGATTTCGAAATCTATTGAAGAGAAGAGATACAAGGCGAATAAAAATAATTTTTCAGAAATTAACAATAGAACCAACAGTAGTTCTAAAAGTCGCATATCAGCATTCACAAGCAATCAAATAGAGGATGAATCAATGTATAGTTCATAAAATGCTTTAAAATTAAAAAAATTAATAGGGGATTCGTAGACTTTGAATGCTCATCTATATATGTAGATTTTAATAACAACACATTTTTAGCTCAAAATCTAATTTGACATGTGATTCAACAAGTCCAGGAGTAAGATAGAATAAATCAGGATACAAAAAGTAGAATGATTTAGACATAGCATAAATTAATATGTTGAGAGAAAAGACACTAATGCAGAAGAAGGCTTATTAATTGTAATTCACTTAATCCAAAGACTTAATGGATTAATTATTGAATTTGGACAGATAAATTTAAGGAACAGTGCAAGAACAATCAAAAAAATTGCTCTATTTAAAATCGAGAGGTTTATGGGAACCATTCAAAGATTTGTTCAATAAGCAATTCGCAAGAACATCTTTATAATATAAGTCCTCCTTAAATTTATTGTAGATTCAGGTAAGAGAGATTGAATAACAATGGCAAGATATAACAATGAATATTACTAATAACATATTTGAGTTGATGTAAAATTCTGCAGTTCTTATGTCATATGAATAGGACTTAAAATTGAATGAAATGATAGAACAAATGAGAAGAGAAAGGGATATTTGGTAAAATAATTATAAATCTCTTGAATAAGAAAGAGACATCTTGTTAGAGACAGTATCTTAATTAAAATAAACATTAGAGAAGATAAAACCCTAATAACAATAATAATAATCTAAGAAAGGAAAAGATATAGACTAATTGGAAACTCATTAATTGAAAGAGATGGCTCAATTGATGCAAGACAAGATTTAGGAAATGTCTGAGAAGGAATCTAAGTTAATCAAATTAGTATTAGCAATAAAGAGATCAGGAATTGATATTGAAAAAATATACAATGAGGAAGTTCTGAATGAAGATTCGATTTCAGAATAACAGAATCAGTCTATTAGAGAAAAAAAGTAACATCAATTTTTAACATTAGATAGATGATAACAAAATTAGAAAAGAGCTATAATGATGCAGATAATTCAGTTGTTAACGATTCGGATGAATCCAGTTTCTAATATAATGGAAGATTGGAAGATGAGAGTATAGTAGAGAGTATCCGAAGATTTGAAAATAGAATTTCAAATAATGCATATGCCTTAGAAAGTAAAAGTTAAGTAAGGATGAAGATTGATTTGTCTAAATGTAATCAGAATCAATAAAAAATCCAATAGTTATAATAGTTACAATAATAATAATTAGTTAAGAAACAACAATAACAGCAATAGAATACTATAAATAAATTAAAAATACCTGAATAAGATCCCTTAGGATTTCATTAAGAATTTATGATGAAGTTCAACGAGTTTTCAGAGAGTTGGAGACTGCAAGTCTTAAAAGATGAGAAAAAGATAAATTAATGAGTTAATATAAATTTTGATTAATTATTTTAAGTAAAAAAGATGTATAGGGAAAATCATAGATCATCTTTATTCGTATAAAATTATATAAGCACCTTTGTCGGAGAGATGTTGATTAGTTTTATCTTTGGTTACTACGTTGTCATCGAAATTATACCATTAATTTTATCTTTAAGTATAAGCCACATAATGACCTCCATTTAACTAACCCATGTGAGAGATCACTCCCTTCAAAGTGTATTTAGTGTATTCTACATTTTCCTCACAAAACTCTTTGATATCGAGAATTTCAGGATATTTAACTTCATCCGTAATTTTTTGACTCCTAGGAATTTGGGTAAAACGTTTCAGATGAAGAATAAGATATTTTGGAGTTTAAGTGAGTTTAATTTTCCTTAAGACAGATTTATTTACAAAATTGCATCTATCACATTTCCAAACATCATTTATTTACTCTTCTTTAAAGTAGTTCTAGAGACAATCATATAATTTGTATTCTTTAGGAATACTATTTTTTTATAAAGGAAGATTTAAATCTAAGATTGGATCAAATCCCTCGCTGATCTGTTTGCATTTTGAACAATAGGATTTACTTGCTATTTGACCAGCAAATAAATCAGTTATGATGTCAGGATTTCTACTTTTGTAAATATCCCAAGCTTCCTAAGCATTTGGGAATTCTTCTTTTTTATATTGCTTTTTTCCCACTAATTCTTCTTAGATTTCTGAAAGGAGATACAATAAGAATTCATGAGCATCTTGTTACTACGTGTATTTAAACTTATTCAAGCACATATTTTAGAGTTTCTCAACAGATATAGATGACCCTGGGATAGAGTTCTACACTACTTTTAAAAACTCTTGATAAGCCATAGTAAATTTCTTATTTTGTTATTTTGGGTATTTTATTAATGAATTATTTAATTCTTTTATGCTAAGTAGACATTATAAAATTGAGTTCATGTAACAATAATATTTTGGGTTATTGAGACCGACATAAGGTAGTTCATAAGGTTTTGGGTTAATTTTTATCGAATTAGTTTTTTGTGGAATTGATCTTCCATTTGTGTTTTTAATGTTGGTGATTTCTGATTCCTCTAAATTTTAAATTTCATATTTTGCTATCTCTATGGCTGGATCAAATGAGATTTTGGAAGGGTTAGCGGTATGGGTTGTAACATTAGTTAGATCGTCATGGAAAATATCTGGTGACATCACTGTAATATCCAAATCGATAATTATTGTTGGTCCTCCACCATACAATAGTTATATAAAATTCCATGATCTATCATTTAGAAGTACGTAGTGTCTATCTGGTTTTAAACCTGGAAGAAGCTAAGTATCCTTCTCTGATCTGATAACGACTATCTCTTTGTTGGTATTATCTTCAGTCAATAATTTATGATTATTAATTGGTGGAGGTATATCGTCTATATTTCTTTCAAGGAATTTCGTATAATTTACAGCCCATCTACACTCAACAAAATGCGTAGTTGGTAAATCTTATTCAATTAAAGAAGTTACGAATGCCTTCTCAATATCGATGCTATAGAACTTAAATTTATATATACCTCATATCGAATTTCCCTTGATTTCTGTATACTTTGATTCTGTTAACTATGTTTTAAATCTCTTAAAGCTTTTTGTCTTTTTCGTTCATGGGCTCTATATTTTTAATCTCTTGGATTGCCTCTTTGTTTGTGTATTCCTCACATTTGCTCTGTTTAATTGATTCAGCATCAGAATGAGCAGCGGTAGAACCATTTTTCACGGATTTACTAGATTATTTAGAAACACAGTTTACTTTTCTTTTTTTGGCTTATTATTGCAGCAAATAAACATTAAAATTTTTATTAATATCTATTAATAAATAGAAATCAAAATAAAAATTACTTTTTAACCGAAAGATATATTTTATAAACAACTGAACATTTCTAAATAATCATAATCATTTTTATATAATTGATAAAATTCAATCATTTTTAGCCATTTTCCATTTAATTCAATTTTGAATCTTGAGGAATTTATCAGTTAAAAATTGATATTTTAATAATTTTAATTATTGTTTTTAATTAAATATAGTATTTTGAATTTTCATTTTTAAACATAAGAATTTTTTATTTCTGCAATCTAAAAACGATAAACTTGAACAATATAAAGGAGATTGAATTATATTCGATTGACTTCATTTTTCTGCTTCTCAGATATTTACTTTTGATTTGGTTTACTTAAGTATGGCTATTTCTTTTTTGTTTATTAGGGCAGATAATTATTAGATAAAAAATTTATAACTTTTTTAGAACAAGAACAAAATTTTATCTAAAGGAATCTAATAATTTTATTGATTTCTTCTAAATTTTATATAAACTAAATCATTTATTGCAATAGAATACATCTATATTTAATTTTTGAAATCTTATTGATAAGGATTTTCTAATTATGTTTCAGATTATTTTATATATTTTTTTATTCTATACTTTTGCTTGATTGCTTAAGTTAATAGGATAATACATTCTTTTTTTTGATATTTTTTTGTTTAAACTGAGTTAAAAATGATATGTAGTTTTACAAATTCAATATCCCTTTCTACTAATTTATTATAATAATTGGATCACTATTCTAAATAATCAGATTTATATAGCTAATGAAGGAGTAAAGAAAGCCAAAGGATTTTTTATGATTTCTGATTTGTTTTATATGTAATTATGATCCATCTAATTCAAACTTTATAGTAATAATTAGATTCTCATAAATTATATTTAATGGCAAGAAAAAATAATAAATAAAAAAAGAAGGCTTAACATGAGTTTATATTATAAAAGGAATAAGAAGAATAAAAAAAGAGGGAATTGAAATAACAGAAAAAAATAGAGAAAGAAGAAAATAAATGGATTGATGATTTGGATGATCTGGAAATTGATTCGGAAGAACATGTCTTTGGGTTGAAGAAGAAAATTAAAAAGGACAAAAAGAACAAGAAAACAAAGAAAGAAGTATATAATATTTTAAGTTTAGAAATAAGTAATGAAAAAACCAGAAAGTAGAGTTGATTCTGCTCGTAGAAAAAAAAGAGAAAGAAAAGCAAGAAAGCATCCAATTAGTTATAGCAAAGAAATTGAAATGTGAAAATTATTCTAATCATAAGATAAATAATTAATTATCATTCACTTTTTCACAGCTTCCAATTTCCATACTAAATGATCAGTTATTGATATTCTAGTGTTATTTTCTACCAATATATCCCAATCCGACCTTTTTTCATTTATATATGGCACCCAAATTCTCCCTTTCAGTGGTTCATTAGAGTTGTCTATTTCAATTCCTAGCGCTTTGAGTATTCGAAGCAGTACCATCTAATTTTTATATGTAATAGTGAAACCGATCATCAGAAGGATCATAAACTGAAATAAAATTACCATCGCACTTATCAGAAACTTTCTCACTAAAACATATTCCATTCATCACATTCATAATAAGATCACTCTTCTATTTCTCATCAAAGTATTTAAACTGTTTCTCAGTTCTGTTTTCGGGATGCAGAATCCGAATAACAAAGCCTTATTTCATGTCCTCTAACTATTTATTGTATAATTCTTTACTTTTTTATTTCCATTTGATTTTACGCATCCCATTTATTTTAATGTTAAGAATTTAAGTTTTTTTTTAATTTTGGATTATCTATGGAGCTGGATAGAGATTAGACACCCTTGAATCATAAATCTAATTAGAATCGAATCATATAAACAAATGCAAAACAGTAGATAGAGATGAATAAACTTCTAAGTAAATTCACCAAAATAAGTGGATAAATTAATAGATCAAAAATTGAGATTTCAAATGACATTAACATTATTGAAGTCATACAACCTATTTATGTATATCTGCTCCATTTCGTAAATTTCAGGATTAGATTTCAAAGATTTACTGAATTCAATTAAAATGGGTAAGAAAGCTCTCTCATATGAACAAACCAAAAATACATATCATAGGCAATTTAATTTATATTTTAAACTAAAAGAAGATTTGAATTGAAGAAAATATTCTTATATTTTAAGATAGCAATTCTGTTTTTAAATAAATGTTATATATATATACATATAAAATTTTGATATATTTATATAAAATTAATATACAAAAGCAAACTGAACAATAGGTTAATTGAACTTAAACTTAAATTATCCTTTTAAAAGCATATAAATAAATAAGAATCATAGAATTTATATAGATAAAGAATTAATTATTAGCATAATTCGTTTAGATGACGATTCCAAAAATATTTCTAATCAATAATAACAAACTACTTTAAATAATATTATATTTTAGATTATTTAAAATAAATTTAATATAAATTCAAAAAAATAGTATTTCTGTAGCAACTTTAGGTTTCTTTTATTAAAATAAAAATTTGCATATGTTTATTATTTTAGGTATTAATTGTTTTGCAAGAACTATTGCCAGACTTAAAATCAATAAGTTCATGTGTATAAATCCTAAAGTAACTTTGTTTTCGTAAGAAATATAAACTTACTCAATTTCAATATAAAAAAATAAACTTAAACTAAAAACTGTTAAAATGGCTTCAATTAATATGGATGTAATTTTATCCCATTTAGAGCATCGTTTATATTTATATAATAGACAACATTAGCATAAGCTGCTAACAGAGAGTAGTAAACATTATAAAAATTATTGATCCTAGAATAGTATTAGAACAATATGGAAAAATATGGTTCTGCACATATCTAACGTAATGAACTTTATTTCCAACTTCGCTTTTGTATTTTTGTTATAGATATCACTGCATTATTTGAAAGATTGGAGTAAAAAATAAAAGTAGTAGAGAAATATTAAAGCTGCAAATACAGTGGTTAAAATACTTCGAATATTATCTATTCGATTATAATTAAGTTGTAAAATTACTTTAAATATCAAATCCCATGAATTTAAGTAAATTAGTTATCGAATTTAATCACAATTAAAGAGATATCGTATTCTAATTAATTATTTGACACTTTTACCTAAATACAGTATAAAATTAATAATTGCCATTAAAATCTTAGATTTAGTAGTTTAGATATAGTAAATAACCTTTTTATATTAAAGTAATTTGAATAATAAATTATGAATTTTTTTAGTAAAACGAAGCAGTGTTATCAATCCAAGAAATTGAATCATCTGTGGAAATATATTGGTAAAAAGATCAGCCTCTATATTATATTCTTTAAATTTTCCCTTTAAATCAACATATTATTATTCTTTTCTAGTTATAAAGTCTAAATAATCATCTAGTTAGAAGAATTGTAAATAAGAAGTTATTGATAGCAAGTCTTACGCTTAAAAATAGATAAATAGGTTCTCAGGATATTCAATATTAATAAATCTTAAGTAGGATTGATATTATAGAACATTTAAAGTTTCAACAAATACAGAACTTTCACCTGAAATTAAAGAAATTACGCATAAACAAATTGCTCCAATCATAAATGCTTTGTTTGATTATTATGCTTTTATGGATGTCGATTTGATTGACTCAGAAATTACTTTTGGTATGTAAAGGGTAATTGTTTAATTATTTTCTTAAAGTGTCTAATTATTTGAGTTAATAACTTCTTAATTTAGTGAAATAAAAAGGATTGGCCTATTTACAAGTTGTGGAAATATTTCAACAACAACTTAATAGAAAGCATTTTAGAGATCAAAAGAGACTTCTTATATTGTATTAACAGTAATATTATAATCTTTGGGTTCTAAATCAAGAATACTGATATTGAATAGCTCTTGTTGTTTTATCACCGAATCACTAAATTTTATTTCTTAATCGAAACTAATGTCAACATATTAGTAAGAAAATTGTTAATAATTATAAGTAAGTTTCATGTTTGGTTTTTTTGAGTATGCGCATTCTGAGTCTCGACATATCTCATTCGATTCTAAAACTGACTCTTATTATTTAACACCATTACTATTAATAGTATTATTTTTGTTGTTATTACTGTTGCCATTACTATTGATACTTGAGTTGTTATTAAAAGACCCAGGATTAGTATTATTAATAAGTTTCTTTTAGTTTAAAACGCAAAGCGCATCAATCAAGGCATAATCTATAATACATTCAAGACATATTCCTTCTTCACAGATATTGCATTGCTAATTGCACTAAAATTAACAATTATGGCAGCCGTCATATTGAATTTAGTTTCCATCATCACATTATTCATCACCTGCAATTATTTTATCTCCACAAATAGCTTAACATTAGTCTTTTAGCCAATATGTACCATCGTAACAAAATTCTCTTAAGCAATTACCTTCTTCACATATTTCACAATTTTACTGACATTAAAATCTACATTCAAAACATCCATCAAATTGTTCATCATTTTAATCATCACATTCTTCAAAGTCACTTAATAATATTCCATCTCCACAAACAGGTATGCATTCATTTTAATTTATTGAAAATCCGTTAAAGCATTAGAAACACTAATGTACATTACATTAGAGACAATAAGGTTAACAATAAAATTAACAATTTAAACACCCTTCATCTTCTTCATCGCATTATTCACTTGTAAATGGAATCACAATGCCATCTCCGCATTCTGGTTCACACATATAATTATTATTTAGAATATAACCACTATTGCAACTTTCACATTTTCCAAATTGACAATTAATACAATTAACATCACATTAAAATTTGCATTAATAACAACCATCAAATGGATAAGTATTGCCATCCTCACATTCTTCATTGATGCTTAATTTATAATCTCCACATAAATCTAAATCGTCATTCACATATAAAATATTAGTTATAATATTTGGTATGCACTTATTATTGAATAAATAAAAGCCTTATAAACATAGGTCACATATCCCAATTATACAACTTATGCAATTGACATCACATTTAGAGTAACATTCTATAGTATCATAGTTGTTTTAATCAAAACAAATTTCTTCTTCAACCACTATGCCATCTCCTAATTATGGGATACATTTAAATCCATAATATCCAGTATAACATTCCAAACAAATTTAATCTAAGCATAATTTACAATTCTTCATACACTTTTTATATTACAAGTTTACTGAACAAGTTTTTGTTATTTGATTCAATTATGCGAAATCTTCACACTATTTACAAGCATTCCCTATCTATAATTTACAGTATTCAAGTTAGATGTCTTATTATTAATAATCTCTTTAACAACTTTACCCATCAGGAGGCATATGAAAACCAACTTAGCAGAGTTAACACATTCCGAATAAGCAAATTTAACAATTTACATCACACTTGAATTGACAATTAACGCACCCTTCTGAGATAGATTAATCTATAATTTCGCATTATTCATCATTTCTCAATATAGCATCTTCACAGATTGGATGACACTTATTTTATATTAATTGATAACCATCTAAACAATTATAACAGAGTCCTGAAATGCAATTACCACATGAATCCTAACAACTGAATTAACAGAAATGACATCCATCTGCTAATTTAAAATTACCATCATCACATTATTCATCATCTGTAACTATCTGATCGCCACAAATTGAAAAACACAAATTATCAATTCTTTCGTAACCAAATTGACAAGCCAAACAACCTTTTCCATTATTATCACAATCTATACAAGAGGATTAACACTTAGGGATACAATTTTAACACCCTTTATATGGTAATATAAAACTATCTTCACAATTCTCATCAAACAATTATTATTAATCACCACAAATTGGAATACAAATTTTATTTTCAGATAATTAATAATATTAAGCACATGTTTCACATCTGTTGTTAACGCAATTAGTGCAGATATAAGATGGTTAACATTAAAATTAGCACCAACTACTGCAACCATCATAATTAGATGTATTAGCATCATCACATTATTCATAATAGTATCCATAAGGATCTGTGACGACTAAACCATCTCCACAAATATTTGTGCAAAAATAATAATATGGAGCAAATCCAGGGAATTCACAACTTAGACAAGAACCTGTAGAGTAATCACAAGATGAACAACCAATTCTACAAAAATATTTACAATCTTTGCATCCATCTGCATCAGAAGTATTTGCATCATCGCATTATTCAATTCCAACAATTAGTGAATCTCCACATCTTTCTTTACATTACTAAGGTGTGACTGCAGGATCAATAAACCAACCCACAGTACCACATTCTTAACATTCTCCTTTTATACACTTAGTACATGAAGGTTAACATTAAAATTTACAATGATAACATCCATCATATTAAATAGCATTGCCATCTTCGCATTCTTCAATTCCAGTTATATATCCATCACCACAAATGTCTGGACATGGTAAATTAGTAGATTAATCACAAGTTAAACAATGAGCTGGACATTGATATTAACAATTATAACATAAATCATCAACAACATTATTATTATGTTCACATTATTCATATCCTTTTATTTATGAATCTCCACAAATAGGTTAACATTCTCCATATTGTAATTGGAATCCTCCATCACAAGAACTACATATAGTTGTATGCCATATCTATTAATTATTATTACATAATTTATAACATTAAGTTAATGAATTATCTTCTGTATTTGGACAATCTATAATAAATATAAATATTTGAAATACTTATACAAATATCATTTACTTCATAATAACCAGGTTTACATTCACATTTTAATCCTTTTAATATTCTCTATAAAGATAGATTACATGTTAAACAACCATTAATAGCAGAACTAAAACATGATTAACAGGATGAATGACAATTAGAACAAGTTTATGTTGAATCTTTATAATATAATCCAATTGAACATTTACATGTTGTTCCTATTTATTCAATATTAAGAATATTCTTGCAAGTTAAACACTCATTAGAAGTTGGCCCAGTACAAGTTTAACATAATTGATGACATAAAAGACATTAAGGATTTGATATGATTGGATAATATCCATCAATACAAATACATTACCCATTTTATAATTATCTATTATTACTAATTAAGCATTCTATACAATAAGTTTAACTTAAACATTAATTACATTCAATTGGACAATCATAGCATTGATTTGATTGTTCATATTAATTCTATTTACAAGTACATCCTAATTTACTTAAAGTATAAGTAGGTTAACAACTTAAACAATCTAATTTAGATCTACAATATAAACAAGGAATTGGACATTATATGCATCTAACTTATTCTTTATCATAGTATTCATGAATATCACATTCTGCTTATGAAAATTTGACAATATTCTAATCATATGTGCTATTCCATTATGTACATGTATTTTAATCTGAACATTATAAGCAATAAGGTTTGCATTTATGAACAGCTATATAATAATTATAGAATCCACAATAGGCCTCAATTGGTTCATTATTGAGTCCATAACATTCCCAATAAATTGTTAATGTATTTGTATTGTGGGATATTCTTTCATATACTTTATCATATTTTGAACCATCAGAATAATCTGATTATGCATTAGAGCTTGATTTATAAACTGGTGATTTATTTTCTATTGTATATATGAAATATCCATTTGAAGGAAATGTTGGACCATAAAGGATATAAAAGGCAATAGTGAGACTATGATGAGGATCAAGTATGTTATGAACTCTTTTAAATTTAGCCTAGGCCCAAACAAAAGGGCCTCCAAAGACTCGATATGATTACCAATATGAATAATAAATATCTAATCCTTTTAAAAAATTGATTCCATTTTTAGAAATCAAAGTATATTAAGAATATTATTCAGGATCATTTGCAGTGTTTATATATTCTTAAACTAAAAACATAGAGTCTAAATTTATCTTGGTATATATTTACATGGTGTTTCATCATCATAATCTTAACAATAAGAATCGACTATTTTCTAATATGGCAATGAGCAGCTACTTATACAAGTACCATCTTTATAATAATAGTATCCACTATTGCAGGTTTTACATTTGAATGGTACTTCACATAATTTACAAAATTAAGGGCAATAACCTGAAGTAGCTTACACTTACATTATTCCCCAACCAGCAGAGTTATCACTAACCTATAATAATTGAAATTTACCTAAAATTTCCGACAGCTGAAAATAGTAATGGGTTCTTAGGGATATCATAGTATGTAACTAAAACATATTTTTTGACGGAGGAATACGTTGGATATGAACCAAAGTCTGAAGTTTCATAAATACTTAACTGATGTGCCTGAATTCCTTAGTCATTTCTAGAAATTGATCCATAATAGGTATTATTAATATTTATTTAGATTCCACAACCAAGTGGGATATCATTGAATGTTATTAATGTAATCTTGAATCCAATTAAGTAAGTTGAATAATTAGAAGATAGTTCGTTAATAAATCTGTTAACTCCTGAATGATATTTAAATATCCCGTATATGTATTGATAGTTTACATAAATATTTGGAAGCAAAGTATTGTCAACATGTAGTGGATCAAGGATTAATGACCATTTCATATTTTCTGGGGATGAAACATTAGGTGTAAATTAAGTAGATATGAAACTTTGAGCTAAGAAGATATTATTCATAATTACTTGGATAATTTTGACAGAATCCCTTCTTAATTAAAGAAGATCCAATATCACAAATTGGCTTGCATCCTATATGCTTCGCATAATATTAATTTGTTGGGCAAGAGGGGCAAATTCCATTAGTAGGGGTTTGGAAATAGCAATCTGTACATTCGTTGAATCCAGAACCACTACAAGAGGAGCAAGAGGGATAACAATTAAAAGAAGATATATAAAAATTTCTAATTGAAACCCACCCAATATTGAAATAAGAGAAAATAAACTAAATTTTTTCATAATTAGTTGTTGTAATTGAAAAATTTACTGTTTTTACATCGACAATTTTATTATCACAAAATTTATAAGTCAAAGGATGATCTGATGGTTCATAATAAATATATTAATATTCAAATGAACCAAATTTAAACCTTATAACTTAAATATCCCAAGTACTTTTAAAAAATAAATCAAAAGCTACAAAATATCCACTTTATAAAAAGTAGTTTTAATCTGTTTCAACACTAGGATATTAACTATTTAGGGTTATATAGCTTGTTTTTGGGTTTGTGCACGTGATAAAATAGGCTGTGATTTATGTATTAAATTGCAAAAAGGTTCCTGATTGTTAAGATGCATATGGGCCAGTTTATTAGGTAAATAATGTGTTTGATGTTAATAAAGCTAAATTGTTTTGCCATTAGCAATAAAGAACTTCAACATAGGTAAGAACGATGATTATGAGCAAAAATTGCATTGTTTTAATATATGATTATTAGATTCTATAAGACGGATTTATATAGAACAGG